TCTCTAGAGAGAGGCGTAGCGGCCCATCCCGGCGCCCGGGGCAAACTTTAAATTTTAAGCTCCCCCCCCCTTTCCATTTAAATCTATACTTATTCATGTTGGTGAAAAGAGTGCCCACCCCTAATACGCCGCTGTATCTAGAATGAAACAGCTTCAAACGCTACAATTCTCGACCATCAATCCATTAATAGCCCTGACCCCAAAACTAGATCTTAAGTACCGGTAATCGCTTTTCGATACAAAACAAGATTACCCATCTCCCCCCCCTCCTTAAACTTTTCTGTACTAGAAAACTGTGTCAGCTGTTTACGGCATGAAAGCTTGATCCCACCACCCCTGGCCACCCCACCACCCCTGGACAACCTACCCACACACCCCACCACCCCTGGCCACCCCACCACCCCTGGACAACCTACCCACCCACCCCACCACCCCTGGACAACCTACCCACACACCCCACCACCCCTGGCCACCCCACCACCCCTGGACAACCTACCCACACACCCCACCACCCCTGGCCACCCCACCAACCCTGGACAACCTACCCACACACCCCACCAACCCTGGACAACCTACCCACACACCCCACCACCCCTGGCCACCCCACCACCCCTGGACAACATACCCACCCACCCCACCAACCCTGGACAACCTACCCACACACCCCACCACCCCTGGCCACCCCACCACCCCTGGACAACCTACCCACACACCCCACCACCCCTGGACAACCTACCCACCCACCCCACCACCCCTGGACAACCTACCCACACACCCCACCACCCCTGGCCACCCCACCACCCCTGGACAACCTACCCACACACCCCACCACCCCTGGACAACCTACCCACACACCCCACCAACCCTGGACAACCTACCCACCCACCCCACCACCCCTGGACAACCTACCCACCCACCCCACCACCCCTGGACAACCTACCCACCCACCCCACCACCCCTGGACAACCTACCCACCCACCCCACCAACCCTGGACAACATACCCACCCACCCCACCACCCCTGGACAACCTACCCACCCACCCCACCACCCCTGGACAACCTACCCACCCACCCCACCACCCCTGGACAACCTACCCACCCACCCCACCACCCCTGGACAACATACCCACCCATCCCACCACCCCTGGCCACCCCACCACCCCTGGACAACCTACCCACACACCCCACCAACCCTGGACAACCTACCCACACACCCCACCAACCCTGGACAACCTACCCACCCACCCCACCACCCCTGGACAACCTACCCACACACCCCACCACCCCTGGCCACCCCACCACCCCTGGACAACCTACCCACACACCCCACCAACCCTGGACAACCTACCCACCCACCCCACCACCCCTGGACAACATACCCACCCATCCCACCACCCCTGGCCACCCCACCACCCCTGGACAACCTACCCACACACCCCACCACCCCTGGCCACCCCACCAACCCTGGACAACCTACCCACACACCCCACCACCCCTGGCCACCCCACCACCCCTGGACAACCTACCCACACACCCCACCACCCCTGGCCACCCCACCAACCCTGGACAACCTACCCACACACCCCACCACCCCTGGCCACCCCACCACCCCTGGACAACCTACCCACACACCCCACCACCCCTGGCCACCCCACCAACCCTGGACAACCTACCCACACACCCCACCACCCCTGGCCACCCCACCACCCCTGGACAACCTACCCACACACCCCACCACCCCTGGCCACCCCACCAACCCTGGACAACCTACCCACACACCCCACCAACCCTGGACAACCTACCCACCCACCCCACCACCCCTGGACAACCTACCCACCCACCCCACCACCCCTGGACAACCTACCCACCCACCCCACCACCCCTGGACAACATACCCACCCATCCCACCACCCCTGGCCACCCCACCACCCCTGGACAACCTACCCACACACCCCACCAACCCTGGACAACCTACCCACACACCCCACCACCCCTGGACAACCTACCCACCCATCCCACCACCCCTGGCCACCCCACCAACCCTGGACAACCTACCCACACACCCCACCACCCCTGGCCACCCCACCAACCCTGGACAACCTACCCACACACCCCACCAACCCTGGACAACCTACCCACACACCCCACCACCCCTGGACAACCTACCCACACACCCCACCACCCCTGGCCACCCCACCACCCCTGGACAACCTACCCACACACCCCACCACCCCTGGACAACCTACCCACCCACCCCACCACCCCTGGACAACCTACCCACACACCCCACCACCCCTGGCCACCCCACCACCCCTGGACAACCTACCCACCCACCCCACCACCCCTGGACAACCTACCCACCCACCCCACCACCCCTGGACAACATACCCACCCATCCCACCACCCCTGGCCACCCCACCACCCCTGGACAACCTACCCACACACCCCACCAACCCTGGACAACCTACCCACACACCCCACCACCCCTGGCCACCCCACCAACCCTGGACAACCTACCCACACACCCCACCAACCCTGGACAACCTACCCACACACCCCACCACCCCTGGCCACCCCACCAACCCTGGACAACCTACCCACACACCCCACCAACCCTGGACAACCTACCCACACACCCCACCAACCCTGGACAACCTACCCACCCACCCCACCACCCCTGGACAACCTACCCACCCACCCCACCACCCCTGGACAACCTACCCACCCACCCCACCACCCCTGGACAACATACCCACCCATCCCACCACCCCTGGCCACCCCACCACCCCTGGACAACCTACCCACACACCCCACCAACCCTGGACAACCTACCCACACACCCCACCAACCCTGGACAACCTACCCACACACCCCACCACCCCTGGCCACCCCACCAACCCTGGACAACCTACCCACACACCCCACCACCCCTGGACAACCTACCCACACACCCCACCACCCCTGGCCACCCCACCAACCCTGGACAACCTACCCACACACCCCACCACCCCTGGACAACCTACCCACACACCCCACCACCCCTGGCCACCCCACCACCCCTGGACAACCTACCCACACACCCCACCACCCCTGGCCACCCCACCAACCCTGGACAACCTACCCACACACCCCACCAACCCTGGCCACCCCACCACCCCTGGACAACCTACCCACACACCCCACCAACCCTGGACAACCTACCCACACACCCCACCAACCCTGGACAACCTACCCACACACCCCACCACCCCTGGACAACCTACCCACCCACCCCACCACCCCTGGACAACCTACCCACCCACCCCACCACCCCTGGACAACCTACCCACCCACCCCACCACCCCTGGACAACCTACCCACACACCCCACCACCCCTGGACAACCTACCCACACACCCCACCAACCCTGGACAACCTACCCACCCACCCCACCACCCCTGGACAACCTACCCACACACCCCACCACCCCTGGCCACCCCACCACCCCTGGACAACCTACCCACACACCCCACCACCCCTGGCCACCCCACCAACCCTGGACAACCTACCCACACACCCCACCAACCCTGGCCACCCCACCACCCCTGGACAACCTACCCACACACCCCACCAACCCTGGACAACCTACCCACACACCCCACCAACCCTGGACAACCTACCCACACACCCCACCACCCCTGGACAACCTACCCACCCACCCCACCACCCCTGGACAACATACCCACCCACCCCACCACCCCTGGACAACCTACCCACACACCCCACCACCCCTGGCCACCCCACCACCCCTGGACAACCTACCCACACACCCCACCACCCCTGGCCACCCCACCACCCCTGGACAACCTACCCACACACCCCACCAACCCTGGACAACCTACCCACACACCCCACCAACCCTGGACAACCTACCCACCCACCCCACCACCCCTGGACAACCTACCCACCCACCCCACCACCCCTGGACAACCTACCCACACACCCCACCAACCCTGGACAACCTACCCACACACCCCACCAACCCTGGACAACCTACCCACCCACCCCACCAACCCTGGACAACCTACCCACACACCCCACCAACCCTGGACAACCTACCCACCCACCCCACCACCCCTGGACAACCTACCCACCCACCCCACCACCCCTGGACAACCTACCCACCCACCCCACCACCCCTGGACAACCTACCCACACACCCCACCACCCCTGGCCACCCCACCACCCCTGGACAACCTACCCACCCACCCCACCACCCCTGGACAACATACCCACCCACCCCACCACCCCTGGACAACCTACCCACACACCCCACCACCCCTGGCCACCCCACCACCCCTGGACAACCTACCCACACACCCCACCACCCCTGGCCACCCCACCACCCCTGGACAACCTACCCACCCACCCCACCACCCCTGGACAACCTACCCACCCACCCCACCACCCCTGGACAACCTACCCACCCACCCCACCAACCCTGGACAACATACCCACCCACCCCACCAACCCTGGACAACATACCCACCCACCCCACCAACCCTGGACAACATACCCACCCACCCCACCACCCCTGGACAACCTACCCACACACCCCACCACCCCTGGCCACCCCACCACCCCTGGACAACCTACCCACACACCCCACCACCCCTGGACAACATACCCACCCATCCCACCACCCCTGGCCACCCCACCACCCCTTGACAACCTATTCATCTACCACTGCCCACTATACCCCACCACCCCTTGACCACCCCGCCACTACCAGTGCCCAACTACCGACAGACCAACAAACCGCTGCAACACTTGAAGTGGTAGATCAAGTTTCAGGCCCCGAGTAGCAATACAAGCACTAGAAGACGTTGTCGATATGATTTATGTTGACAGCTGGAGTGGAATTCGCTAAATTGTTGCTTCTAGAGACATGGAGGGGAGGGGTAAGGTATAGCTGGGGTTGTGTATAGGGGGGGGGGAGAGTATATGTTACACAAGAATATGCTAGAACCGAAATAGTTTAGATACTCCAGCGGCCGTAGATAACTTCTGCTATTATGTTGGAAACTCGATTCTTTAGCTAGAGAAAATGTAAGGATTCGATGTAGGAAATGTTCGCTAAAACGTAAGAAATATTTTTTGTCATACGACATAATTATGTGATATATACGACACGACATACACTATAAATGTCATATGTTTTAGAGTCATACCTTGTGTCACATGTGTCAGTGTCATAGTTTGGCACATGTGTCATAGGTTGGCACATGTGTTACAGTTCGATTTGTGACAGTGTCATAAGTTGACACATTTGTCAGTGTCATTTTGTGACAGGTTGCTATTCTTAGGTGCAGCAAAAGAAAACCTATTGCTTGACCACATGCGGATGTCATGTTGACCTAGCGCCTACCACAACAACACAGCGTAGCCTTGACCTTGTCATGTGATCTTCCACTTACAAACGTGTCCAGTTCAAACCCCGGTCAGCCGCACATTCTATCAGAAAACCTGCGCGAGTAAAGCTGGCATATCAATCAGAACTTGGTGCTAGCTAATTAATTAAAGGCCAATCAATTATTTATTGGATCCATCACAACTTGGTGCTAGCTAATTAATTAAAGGCCAGTCAATTAGTGGTTGGATCAATCAGAACTTGGTGCTAGCTAATTAATTAAAGACCAGTCAATTATATATTGGATCAATCAGAACTTGGTGCTAGCTAATTAATTAAAGGCCAATCAATTATTTATTGGATCCATCACAACTTGGTGCTAGCTAATTAATTAAAGGCCAGTCAATTAGTGGTTGGATCAATCAGAACTTGGTGCTAGCTAATTAATTAAAGACCAGTCAATTATATATTGGATCAATCAGAACTTGGTGTTAGCTAATTAATTAAAGACCAGTCAATTATATATTGGATCAATCAGAACTTGGTGCTAGCTAATTAATTAAAGACCAGTCAATTATATATTGGATCAATCAGAACTTGGTGTTAGCTAATTAATTAAAGACCAGTCAATTATATATTGGATCAATCAGAACTTGGTGCTAGCTAATTAATTAAAGACCAGTCAATTATATATTGGATCAATCAGAACTTGGTGCTAGCTAATTAATTAAAGACCAGTCAATTATATATTGGATCCATCACAAGTTGGTGTTAGCTTATTAATTAAAGACCAGTCAATTATATATTGGATCCATCAGAACTTGGTGCTAAATAATTAATTAAAGGCCAGTCAATTATATATTGGATCAATCAGAACTTGGTGCTAGCTAATTAATTAAAGGCGAATCAACTAGTGGTTGCATAAATCTAAACTTGGTGCTAGCTAATTAATTAAAGCCAGTCAATTATTCTCAACACTCGCCTCATGTTCTTACACCAGATACTATTGAAACGATTGTATACACCGTCTATAAATATCAGCCAATGGCTGGCGAGATCGGATCAGCTGTCGCTGCCAGTGTCCACAGGAAACCTACCTGAATGCCAACGTGTGATCAAAGAGATCGAACCTACCTCCAGTTGAGGTTCACAAAGTTTGATCGTATCGATGTAGGAGACAGTCTGTCGTGCGCTGATTTTTTTATGGAGCGGACTTCGAAAACCTGGTACGATCTCTAATTTATCTTGTGATAATCTGTGTCGACTCTTGTAATAAATTATCAGGAAAGTTTTATAGAGATAAATCTAGATTTGTCACGCTAATTAATTGTTTAACGGCTTTAGATATCTCTCTTACTTTATATATAACATTGTTTTCAAAATTATTGATGAATATATTTTATCTCTATTTTCTCCCTCCCTCTCTCCCCCACCCTCTCTCTCCCTCTCTCCCCCACCCCTAATATAGAGACTAACCCTAACATAAAATGACTAATCTTTATCAAGTTTTCTACTAATCCAAACACGCAATCTTCCCCAAAGAAAAGTCTCCCCTCCTCTCCCCCCCCCCCCCCCCGATGTAATCAACAAATCTCTCAATGAAAACACCTGCCCGACAGCCGGTATTATGTAATCAGCCGTTCACCTGTTGTTTATGTTCTGTCCGAAGCCGGCTCTCCTTAATTAGCTGATCAATAACGATTTAGGATCTGATTTCTCACAATCTTGTTCGATTTTTTTTTACAGCGAATCATAAATTATTTCATACAACAGTTTGTAGGGCATAGAGAAGTCGGTAGGTTGGGTTGTAGGGCATTGAGAAGTCGATAGGTTGGGTTGCAGGGCATAGACAAGTCGATAGGTTGGGTTGTAGGGCATAGACAAGTCGGTAGGTTGTGTTGTAGGGCATAGACAAGTCGGTAGGTTGGGTTGTAGGGCATAGACAAGTCGGTAGGTTGTGTTGTAGGGCATAGACAAGTCGATAGGTTGGGTTGTAGGGCATAGACAAGTCGGTAGGTTGGGTTGTAGGGCATAGACAAGTCGGTAGGTTGGGTTGTAGGGCATAGACAAGTCGGTAGGTTGGGTTGTAGGGCATAGAGAAGTCGGTAGGTTGGGTTGTAGGGCATAGAGAAGTAGGTAGGTTGGGTTGCAGGGCATAGACAAGTCGATAGGTTGGGTTGCAGGGCATAGACAAGTCGATAGGTTGGGTTGCAGGGCATAGACAAGTCGATAGGTTGGGTTGTAGGGCATAGACAAGTCGATAGGTTGGGTTGTATAACTGTCTCCGTGGGGTGGGGGATTTTAAGGTGCGGAGGGCTGGTGTGAGGTTGACCCTCAGGTAGGCCTATCTAGCTGTTGATATCAGATGATTGTAAGGACAGCAAGTCAGCTGGTCTGTCTGGGGACATTATCATATGGGATCTGGGGACATTAGCATATGGGATGGGGGGACATTAGCATATGGGATGTGGGGACATTAGCATATGGGATGTGGGGACATTAGCATATGGGATGTGGGGACATTAGCATATGGGATGTGGGGACATTAGCATATCGGATGTGGGGACATTAGCATATGGGATGTGGGGACATTAGCATATGGGATGTGGGGACATTAGCATATGGGATGTGGGGACATTAGCATATGGGATGTGGTCCACACCCAATGTAGCACTTGACGGTGACATACTCATATCAGGTGTATGTGTACACGCCACTCAAGACCTGTACATGTACATTGTGTACATGTAAGATGTGTACATGTAAGTTGTGTACATGTACATTGTGTACATGTAAGTTGTGTACATTACATTGTGTACATGTAAGATGTGTACATGTACATTGTGTACATGTAAGTTGTGTACATGTACATTGTGTACATGTAAGATGTTTACATGTACACGTACCAAACCTGTGAGACTAAGCTTGATCGACAAGAATACTTGTCAACTACTGATTAGTGCACCTTTTGCATTCTTTTATTTCTGCTCTGTTGTAGCCTGTATAAATTGTGGTCTTCTGTTTACCCCCACCACCAGCCAGAGATTTCCTGCTCACCCACAACAATAAACTGACCCACGTCTGGATCACGTGACCCTAACGGCCAGAGATGAGTGTGGATAAACCAAAACCAGCCATGAAGACCCCCCACACTGCCCGGCCCCGCCCCGGCCAGGCTGACAGGCCGCAGCGGTTTGACCTGTACAGGAAACCCGCGGAGAAAAAGCCGGTGGCAGAGGTGAGTGAGGGGCTGCCCGACCCCTCGCGTGAGTTCAAGGTCACCCACCTGTCGGACAACTGGAAGATAAGGAAAGGTGCAAAGGTCAAAGGTGAAGGTCAGACCGCAAACAAACCAGCGGTCAAGGCTGAGGGTCAGACCACGGACAAACCGACAGAAAAGGTCTTGGTGTTCACACGCCGCGCGTCTCTCTTCGACAAGCCCGGGGTTCAAAACCCGCTGACGCCCGGCGCTGACCGCAGACAGTCGGTCGATGACGTCATACTGTACCGCCAAAAAGAATCGGTCAAGGACGCTTTGAACAAAATCCGTGAGCGCAAACAATCGCTGCAAGTCAGTATCGATACCAGCCTGTCTACAAAACCAGGCGCCAAACTGATGCTCAAGTCACGTGACCCAAAGTTCCGGGCGGGTCACCGGAAGTCGTTGGGCAACAACCTTGACCAGCTGTCTGACATTGAAGACGAGCTGTTCGAGGACGAGTTGGTTGACGAGTTGTCAGACGATGAAGATGTCGATCCCGCCTACCTGGAGGATGACGCGTCCTCAGGGTACTCGGATACCTACCGAGATCCGGAGGAGTTGAACTCAGACGATTACGATACCGATTTAAGTGGGAGTGAAGCCAAACATCAAGGTGAGTTTGTTTAGGTCATTTCAGTAGGTGAGTTTGTTTAGGTCATTTAAGTAGGTGAGTTTGTCTGTTTAGGTCATTTAAGTAGGTGAGTTTGTCTGTTTAGGTCATTTAAGTAGGTGAGTTTGTTTAGGTCATTTAATTAGGTGAGTTTGTTTAGGTCATTTAAGTAGGTGAGTTTGTTTAGGTCATTTAAGTAGGTGAGTTAGTTTAGGTCATTTAAGTAGGTGAGTTAGTTTAGGTCATTTAAGTAGGTGAGTTTGTCTGTTTAGGTCATTTTAGTAGGTGAGTTTGTCTGTTTAGGTCAGTTCAGTAAAAATTATTTTGTTACACTATCATTTAATAACTAGCCCCACCCCCTCCTCCCATCATTAGAAAGTAGTTCACCCTCCCAATTTATTTGTATTCCTCGTAACTGTTAGCCCACACAACTAAAAAAAAACCATATGAACATTTATAAATGATGACGCATAACCCTCATATAGCCCCTATAAATACTGATCCATCCCACCCACATAACCCTTATAAAGCTGGCCCCAATAAATCCTCTATAAATGCTGACCCCCTCCCCCGCCCCCCCCCCCCCCCCCCACATAACCTCTTGAAATGCTGACCCCCATAAAACCCCTATAAATGCTGACCCCTATATAACCCCTATAACGCTGAACCCCATATGACCCCTATAAAGCTGACCCCGTATGACCCCTATAATTACTGACCCCCATAAAAATGCTGACCCCCACAGACCCAGAAGACGAGAAGAAGAAGAAGAAGCACTTGAACATGACGCTACAGAACTACAAGACGGCCTGTGCCCAGGGGCAACTCAAGCCCAACCCCACCTTCCTCAGACAGTGTGGCCGTCACACGCTGGACATTAGGCACCGGATGTTGACAGAGAAGGATGCCAGACCCATTGCTGTAGCACTAGTGGTCAGTACATCACGTGGTCATCGTGTTGTTTAGAGATGGTCAGTGGATCGTGTCATCAGTTCAACTTTTATTGTCTCGATGGTTTTCCATAGTCATCCTAAGCGGCTTTGATAAAATTAAATGTACAAGTCACTTGATGTCTGATATAACGTGTGTACATGTCACTATGTCTGATATAACGTGTGTACCTGTTAATTGATGTCTGATATAACGTGTGTACCTGTCAATTGATGTCTGATATAACGTGTGTATCTGTCACTGTCTGATATAACGTGTGTATCTTTCACTGTCTGATATAACGTGTGTACATGTCACTGTCTGATATAACGTGTGTACATGTCACTATGTCTGATATAACGTGTGTACATGTCACTGTCTGATATAACGTGTGTACATGTCACTATTTCTGATATAACGTGTGTACCTGTCACTGTCTGATATAACGTGTGTACATGTCACTATGTCTGATATAACGTGTGTACATGTCACTATTTCTGATATAACGTGTGTACCTGTCACTGTCTGATATAACGTGTGTACATGTCACTATGTCTGATATAGCGTGTGTACATGTCACTATGTCTGATATAACGTGTGTACATGTCACTATGTCTGATATAACGTGTGTACCTGTCACTTGATGTCTGATATAACGTGTGTACCTGTCACTGTCTGATATAACGTGTGTACATGTCACTATGTCTAATATAACGTGTGTACATGTCACTATGTCTGATATAACGTGTACATGTCACTATGTCTGATATAGCGTGTGTACATGTCACTATGTCTGATATAACGTGTGTACATGTCACTATGTCTGATATAACGTGTGTACCTGTCACTTGATGTCTGATATAACGTGTGTACCTGTCACTGTCTGATATAACGTGTGTACATGTCACTATGTCTAATATAACGTGTGTACATGTCACTATGTCTGATATAACGTGTACATGTCACTATGTCTGATATAACGTGTGTACATGTCACTTTATGTCTGATATAACGTGTGTACCTGTCACTTGATGTCTGATATAACGTGTGTACCTGTCACTGTCTGATATAACGTGTGTACATGTCACTATGTGATATAACGTGTGTACTTGTCACTTTATGTCTGATATAACGTGTGTACCTGTCACTGTCTGATATAACGTGTGTACATGTCACTATGTCTAATATAACGTGTGTACCTGTCACTGTCTGATATAACGTGTGTACATGTCACCATGTCTGATATAACGTGTGTACATGTCACTATGTCTAATATAACGTGTGTACCTGTCACTGTCTGATATAACGTGTGTACATGTCACTATGTCTGATATAACGTGTGTACATGTCACTATGTCTAATATAACGTGTGTACATGTCACTTGATGTCTGACAGGGGGACAAGAAGACCAGTTTCCTTGACCTGTCAGACAACCATCTTGGACCAAAGGGCGTGGCCTGCATCGCTGAGATGATGTCAATCAACAAAGGCATCATTGAGATGGTGAGTACACATGCACGTGCATTTAACCTGTAGACTCGACCTCAAGGGTTCTAACACCATACAAACAACATACAAACAACATACAAACAACATACTAACAACATACAAACAACATACAAACAACATACAAACAACATACAAACAACATACTAACAACATACAAACAACATACAAACAACATACAAACAACATACAAACACAATTAAAATAACATCACGCATTCACATCACATCATCATCTGTCACAATCATATCACCATAATGTCACCATCTTGTCACTACCTGTCATCACCTGTCAACATCTGTCACCTTAATGTCACCATAATGTCACTATCATATCACCACCTGTCACTATCATATCATCATCTGTCACCATCTGTCACCACCTGTCACCATCTGTCACCATCTGTCACCACCTGTCACCATCATATCACCACCTGTCACCATCTGTCACCACCTGTCACTATCATGTCACCACCTGTCACCTTCATGTCACCATCATGTCACCACCTGTCACCACCTGTCACCACCTGTCACCACCTATGACCATCATACCACCACCTGTCACCATCTGTCACCATCATGTCACCATCTGTCACCACCTGTCACCACCTGTCACCACCTGTCACTATCATGTTCCCACCTGTCACCACGTGTCACCACCTGTCACTATCATGTCACCACCTGTCACCTTCATGTCACCACCTGTCACCACCTGTCACTACCCCCACCAGAACCTGTCCAACACTCAGCCTGGCACAGAAGGTCTACAGAGCCTGACCAAATCCTTGCAGACCAACAAAAATCTCAGACGACTTTTCCTGGACAGCAACCGTATTGACCAGTCCCACGGGGAAATAATCGGCCAACTCATCACAGTAAGTTGTCTGCCCTTGGTTTTATCATCGGCCAACTCATCACAGTAAGTTGTCTGCCCTTGGTTTTATCATCGGCCAACTCATCACAGTAAGTTGTCTGCCCTTGGTTTTATCATCGGGCAATTCATCACAGTAAGTTGTCTGCCCTGGGTTTTATCATCGGCCAACTCATCACAGTAAGTTGTCTGCCCTTGGTTTTATCATCGGCCAACTCATCACAGTAAGTTGTCTGCCCTTGGTTTTATCATCGGGCAATTCATCACAGTAAGTTGTCTGCCCTGGGTTTTATCATCGGCCAACTCATCACAGTAAGTTGTCTGCCCTTGGTTTTATCATCGGCCAACTCATCACAGTAAGTTGTCTGCCCTTGGTTTTATCATCGGGAGACTCATCACAGTGTTGTCTGCCCTTGGTTTTATCGTTAGCTATCTCACCAAAGTTGTCTGCCCTTGCTTTTATTATTGGCCAACTCATCAAACTAAGTTGTCTGCCCTTGGTTTTAGCTCTGGCCAGCTCATCAAAGTTGTCTGCCCTTGGTTTATCGTAAGTCTTGTCAAGTTTCTTCCCCAGGCAATTCTCCATGACACTGAGCTTCTAGTCAAAAACTTCGGGATTTGATTGTTGTCCCGGAATGTTCTAGAAATTTGGAAATTCATCTCATCCCCAGAATGTTCCAGAACTTTTCCAATGTTCCTTGTCCCCAGAATGTTCCAGAACTTTTCCAATGTTCCTTGTCCCCAGAATGTTCCAGAACTTTTCCAATGTTCCTTGTCCCCAGAATGTTCCAGAACTTTTCCAATGTTCCTTGTCCCCAGAATGTTCCAGAACTTTTCCAATGTTTCTTGTCCCCAGAATGTTCCAGAACTTTTCCAATGTTCCTTGTCCCCAGAATGTTCCAGAACTTTTCCAATGTTCCTTGTCCCCAGAATGTTCCAGAACTTTTCCAATGTTCCTTTTCCCCAGAATGTTCCAGAACTTTTCCAATGTTCCTTGTCCCCAGAATGTTCCAGAACTGAGAGAACTGTACCTATCAAACAACGCCCTGGGTTTTGCAGGCGGGAAGAAAATTGCTATGGCGCTAGCAGCCGACAAGGGGAACCTCACCGTCCTTGACCTTCAGTACAACAACATACGAACAGACAGCGCCATACAGATCGCCATGTCTCTGTCGGTGAGTTCCCGCCGTCACGTGGTAGGGTCACGCCTGTCACGTGGTTCATGTCACAGACCGTTACACTAAACCTTGGAACAGTTACTGTCACGTGTCACGTAACAGTTCTAGTCAAATTGTTTTAAATATTATTTTAAGCTGTGAGGTTCGACAAAATTAGAACAACATTGAATTAAAATCTATTTTGAAACGTTAAAATAAATCTAACTTAACATTTGTTTTGTTCACAACCATTTTTAATTAGTTTAATTAGTTTCTTTGTCAGTGTCACAACAAAGACGTACACTGTGCAGGTAAAGATATTTTTAGACCTACCTAGACTGATCCCTAGATCAATTATCTAAACTAGATCAAATTATCTCGACATAATCTCCTCGACTTAACTTAGTCAACAAGCTAACCTGGGTGATTCTATAAATAGATCGTAAACGGATCACATGACCATCAGTCCCAGAGATCCCTTGCCATTGTCTCAAGATATTGCAGACTTCTCTGTCTGCTGTAAAACAAATAGATCGATATCGAAATCAATCGATAAAATTAACAGAGATTTTAATTACAGTGAACATGAGATCAAAATTATCCAATTTTTCATAACACTGTACACATGTATTGACGCTGTATTAGACTTGTAATAACACTGTAACACACGTATTGACGCGGTATTAGACTTGAAATAACACTGTAATACGCGTATTGACGTTGTATTTTGAACACATGTATGGACGCTGTATGTTGACTTGAAATAACATACTTGACTTGACCTGTACTTGACTTGGTGTCTGATTGACTTCAGTCTGCTTGTCCTACATTAAAAATGACTTCAGTGGTTTCAGACCATTTTTAAATTCATTAGATCTGGTAAACTTGACCATTTTTAAATTTATTAGATCTGCTAAACTTGACTATTTATTTAATTGATTAGGTCTGGTAAACTTGACCATTTATTTAATTGATTAGGTCTGGTAAACTTGACCGTTTTTAAATTTATTAGATCTGCTAAACTTGACCATTTATTTAATTGATTAGATCTGGTAAACTTGACCATTTATTTAATTGATTAGGTCTGGTAAACTTGACAATTTTTAAATTTATTAGATCTGCTAAACTTGACCATTTATTTAATTGATTAGGTCTGGTAAACTTGACCGTTTTTAAATTTATTAGATCTGCTTCTTCTTCTTCTTCTTCTTCTTATGCGGAAACCGGCTCAGAAGGGGGACTTCCATTAGCCAGGCAGGCCTCAATGTAGTAAGCCCCGGCCCCCGTTAAAGGGCCAGGGCTCCCCACACATTGGTCGCTAAAACCGCGGTTTTCTCACCAGGCTTTTCTTCCCCTCCCACCAGACGCAGGACGTCGTCCCACCGCCTGGTACCCGGCTTGATCGTGGGGGGCATCTCAATTCGATCTGCAATTAGATCTGCTAAACTTGACCATTTATTTAATTGATTAGATCTGGTAAACTTGACCATTTATTTAATTGATTAGGTCTGCTAAACTTGACCATTTAAATTCATTAGATCTGGTAAACTTGACAATTTAAATTGATTAGATCGGGTAAACTTGACCATTTATTTAATTGATTAGATCTGGTAAACTTGACCATTTATTTAATTGATTAGATCTGGTAAACTTGACCATTTATATAATTGATTAGGTCTGGTAAACTTGACCATTTAAATTCATTAGATCTGGTAAACTTGACAATTTAAATTGATTAGATCGGGTAAACTTGACAATTTAAATTGATTAGATCGGGTAAACTTGACCATTTATTTAATTCATTAGATCTGGTAAACTTGACCATTTATTAAATTCATTAGATCTGGTAAACTTGACAATTTTTCCTCCCACAGAAAAACACGACTCTACGATCCCTGAACTTGGCATGGAACGGGCTGGGGGCTGAGGGGAGTCGGGCCCTGGGCCTCGCCCTGGGGGCCAACAACTCGCTCTCAGAGCTAGACATTTCCTACAACAGACTGGGGCTGGGGGCCATACAGTACCTGACCCAGGGGCTGAGCAAGAACACCGGGCTGACCACACTCAAGGTACAACCCAGGTTAAGGACAAGTCTAGCCTTAAACACCCCACACTAAAGACTCTAGAACCCAGACTAAGAGCCACTGGTCTAGCCTAAACATCCTACACTAAAGACTCTAGAACCCAGGTTAAGAGCCACTGGTCTAGAATCAGACCCCCTACAGTAAGGCTTCTATTCCCTGGTGATCCAGGTATGTGTCTCCTGTCATGTTGACCTGCATGAGCAAACAATGTCTTATCTAGACTGGCCACTGAAAATGGAATAGTAAAAAAAAACGTGATCAGGGAAACCTCTACACACCAAGCAAACCCGGTAGTGAAACTCCACAAGAATGTAACACACAAAAACTGGCAAATAAACACAATAAAACATTGACGTATCAAAAGATACAGTCACAGTGTTATCTAGTCTAGTAATCTGGTAGTAGGACCTTTTGGCAATATCAATATGGATCAAAGTAAGCAAAGTAATGATTAATGCCTCTTCTCTTAAGTAAGCAAAGTAATGAGTCACTCCCCCCCCCCCCCCCCCAACTCCGATGGGAAGAGAATATCATTACTGCAGTATAAAAACTGTTATAATATTACAAGTACAATGTTTAAATCGAGCCTAGTTTATTCTCTAACCCCTGATATAACCCTCCTATTACCAGATTGGCCACAACCCAATGACGACAGAGGGCGTCAAGCTGCTGCTAAAAACCATCGTACAGGCAGAAAAATCTGGCATTGAACATCTGGATTTAAAGGTCAGGGTTACGTCCCTTTTTACTTTCACTTCTGTCTGGGAAGTTCTTTTCTCCTTGTACACACAAGTAGAGTTGGTGACGTCACAAGTAGAGTTGGTGACGTCACAAGTAGAGTTGGTGACGTCACAAGTAGAGTTGGTGACGTCACAAGTAGAGTTGGTGACGTCACAAGTAGAGTTGGTGACGTCACAAGTAGAGTTGGTGACGTCACAAGTAGAGTTGGTGACGTCACAAGTAGAGTTGGTGACGTCAAAAGTTAGGGGCTAGTTCAAGTACAATCCATGTTTCGACCATACGTCTTTGTCAGCACATAGTCATGTGATTAAAGACTAAACAAACAAAAAATTACCACAAAATTGTCACCAAATTGTTACAAAAAATTTACAAAATTGAGACAAAATTGTGACAAAAATGTGACAAAATTGTGACAAAATTGTGACAAAACTGTGACAAAATTGTGACAAAATTGTGACAAAATTGTGACAAAATTGTGACAAAATTATAAACTTGTTACCTGCCACTTGTCCATGCCCCACTAAGACTAACCCCTGACCCACATGTCACGTGACAGGGCATCCCCCTGGACGCCGAGTGCCACGCCCTGATCCAGCAGCTGAAGACATCCAGGAACGTCTACTTCCTCCACGACAGCAACATCCACATGGCCACCACCGACCAGACCAAGTCGTTTGACGGTACCAACCTGGACAGGTTCGATCCCGCCATGGTCATGTTCGAATACATGAAGAAAGACAATCTGAGAGTCATCGATTTGTTCCAGGTGAGTCGTGACGTCATCGAGTTGTTCCAGGTGAGTCGTGACGTCATCGAGTTGTTCCAGGTGAGTCGTGACGTCATCGATTTGTTCCAGGTGAGTCGTGACGTCATCGATTTTCTCCAGTTCATTCGTGACGTCATCGATTTGTTCAAGGTGAGTCGTGACGTCATCGATTTTTTCCAGTTCATTCGTGACGTCATCGATTTGTTCCAGGTGAGTCGTGACGTCATCGATTTTTTCCAGTTCATTCGTGACGTCATCGATTTGTTCCAGGTGAGTCGTGACGTCATCGATTTATTTCCAGTTCATTCGTGACGTCATCGCTTTGTTCCAGGTCACTCGTGACGTCTTACATTTTTTCATCTAAGTTGTTAGGTCATTGATTTGTCTTAAATGTCAAGCCTTTAATTTGAACATTTATTTTCCTGATAAAATATTTAACCCACTAGCTTTTAATCCAGTCACGTGATGTTGTTTCAGTTTCTGGATGCCAAGAAGCGAGATAAGTTGAGCCGGAATGACATCAGATCTGGCTTTAATGTAAGTTTTTTTGTTTCGTGTTCAAACTTCCAACTTTTTACACAATATGTTTTAATTGGTTCCCATTGATAGCATCGAGTCTATTTTTAGATCCTGATGATCCCGTTCACTGAACACGCAATCGACGAGATCATGACGTCAGTGGACACAAACAAAGATGGCTACATCACGCTAGAGTAAGTTGAACTACGTCAGATGACTGGTTTAAAATGGCATTAACTGTGTGGATTATTTTTTTAATCTGACGTATTTTAATTGTTTTAGCCTTAATCTAAAAAATCGGGAGGAGAGTGGAGGGAATCATCGTGTTGTGAGGCTGTAAGATAATTTTAAAATAAAGACCCGATAATTTGTATTCAATTTGTTCCCCAGTGAAATGACAAAGGCCTACCAAATCAGCGACCGGATGGTCAAACTCCGCAGAATCCGAGCGGCCAAAAAGAAGCGCAAAGATTTGGGTCTAGAGGATCTTTGGAAGATCATTAAGGAGATCATCAACAAGCGAAAAGTGGAGAACGAGAAGCGAACAAGTGGCGGCCAGTAGCGACACCTGGCAGTTATTGGCGGCAAGTAGCGACACCTGGTGGTGAATGGCGGCCAGTAGCGACACCTGGCAGTTATTGGCAGATACTGGTGGACAGTGGCTACTTATGATGGCTAGTGACGACTTGTGGTGTCTAGAAAGAGAAGGGGTCGCGACATTGCCGGCGGACTGTGATATATTGCAAATGAACTAAATACAAAGTGCTTTAGGACTAGCCACATGACGAAAGATGACATGAATGTCCCTTGATGACTAGCCGCATGAAGAAAGATGACATGAATGTCCCTTGTTCTGTGGTGCAGGTCCCAACATTGCACCAAACGGTATTGGCTCTGAAACTCTTGTACAAAACAAACCTGTCAATAGCATGTAATGTTTTATGTAAGGAGGATTACTTAACTGAATCGTTCAATGTTTTAATGTGTGAAAGATGAATGCACTTAACGGTTCCTATTTTTTTAAATAAAATACTTTGTTTATCAAATCCAAAGATATTCTGGGGTTTTTTTTGTTGGTTTTTTTTTTAGATGAAAATATTATTTTCACCTGTAAGTTGTATGACTTAAGTGTTGTGTATGACTTAAGTCTTTCAACAACTCCAATTAGAAAAGCAGTGTAGGCCTACATAATACGACCGCAGAATAACGTAAATCCTTGCATGATATTCTGCTGAAATTGGTTGGTGTAAAATTTGGCGTTACTTCTCCAGTTAAACACAATTAGAATAAATGATTTTCTTCTTTAAATGTATGACAATACACTGCTATTTAAATTACTATAATGAAAAGCATGGGTCACTATATTATCAATTTGAAACCTTTACTAATATTTAGAAAGAGACCCTAAATATTAGTAAAGGTATGCAATTATTAAAGTATTTAAAGAAAATCATTTATTTTCTACTTTTAAGTGCATTATTACATAAAAGCTTGTTATCAAAACGTTTTATATTAAAAAAAACTTTTACAAGCTTTTATTTAACTTGCTTTCTCTGACAGTCTGTCGTCATAGATCGAAACGCTCGAGCGAAATTTCGGGCACTTCTAACTGAGAGATTCGTTTCAAAGTTGACGCGTGGGTTAATACATGAAGATAATGCAATCTGACATTAAATTTGACTTAAATGGATGCCTAATTAATTTGTTATGAATTAATGGACGCGAGCGAGTAAAGTTTCAACGGTATTCGAGAGGCCCATTAAATATTTAAAAAATCATACACGGCGTAGTTACAATTAAAAATCCTGTCTGTCTGGGTTTTTTTTTTTTGACTTAACTAAAGATTGGATCTATTTTATGTTTTCAATATTTTCGATAACTAAATACAAATATTTAAAAAAGCAAAAACAATATAGTTTTCAAATGTAACGGTGACATGAACAACAGTGGCGTAGCGAGGTTGGGTGTCACCCGGTGCGGCACTTAATGGTGTCACCCCCCAGAGGCGTAGCGACCTTTCCCAGCGCCCGGGGGCAAACTTTCAATTTTCGATTAGCCCCCCCCCCCCCCTCCTTCACTTATGTCGGGATTTGTCAAATTTGCTCTTAAAAGACTTTTTAACACTCGATATTATCACTTAATTAAGTGGAATTATCATTTTTCTCTATATATTTTGCTATTTTTTGCCTTGGTGTTACCCCCCTAAATGGTGTCACTCGGTGCGGTCCGCACCCTCCGCCCCCCCCCCCCCCCTCGCTACGCCACTGATAAACAATGGCATCCTGCTATTCAATAGGCTACCATAAATTTTATTGTACACATTGTAAGCGAGAAAAAAAAAGGAAAACTTGGTCATGGGGTTTAAATTTGCATTGTTATTTAAAAACTTTATCTGCAAAGTTTTGTAAAAAAAAAAACTATGATGTGGGGCTGTCAGAAAACGATCATGGAGCCAATCAATGTTTATAAAATTATATTTTAAAAGTATACCTTAATGTGCCGACAGATCTCTGTTACACATCCTGATGATTTCCCATCTATTGTTTCGCTTGATATACATCTTTTTAATATATATATATATATATATATATATATATATATATATAATATTGTGCCTTTGTTTGAACCGCTGCTGCTCTGACCTGGAAACCTGCAGTCACCAGTGTATAGGCACTGTTCACTGTGACCTTCTAAACTGAGATTTTTTAAACAAATTTTAAATTTTTTAGACAAAATTTTGGAAAAATATCGATGTTTAAAAAAAAATTCAACTGCAATTTTGAGGGGGATTGTAGGTTGAGGTGTGACGTCATTTTAGGGGGGGGGGTCTGGCTTTTTGTGACGACGTGTGACGGAGGGGAGGGGGGAGATAAACATCGTCAAAAAAGCGTGACGTCATTTATGGATGACCCCATTACAATAAAACGTAAATCCTGATGTGTTTGGGGATATTTCAGGCATTTGAGTAGGCTTATTTATTTTTTATCAAAAGAATAAATAGCAAAAATGTAACCAAATATATTTAAAAAGCGACATAACAAAGTGCCTCTATGTAACACCACCAGGTATACGTAACACCGTGCTAATTAATTTCTGTAGAATCCATCTAAATATTAGTAAAATATCAACATATTTTCTTTTCAGAAGATTAACAGTAGATCTAGGTAGTTTTCTGTTTCGTCAATTAGTGCGACCAATGAGTTGAATCTTTTGAGATAAAGTTATAAATATGCGATTCTTCATCATCAACGATCAATAAATGTTACCCTGTGTCACTATTGCAAATGGTAGGACCGACACTTCAGCATTAACAGTAAAATAGACAACAGGCCTTGATATTTGATTTGAAATAGGTGTACTACTCTTTCAACAAATGGTATTGATATGATTAAATAACTTAAATCAGATGCCAGTAAGTATTTTCTAGGTTTAGGCCTATTGTTTTTAACTTTTTAATTAATCTCAAGCAAGTAAGTCAGAAGTGACGAATGAAGTCTAGCTAGATCTATGATCTAGATCTAGAATCTAGAGTCTAGAACTAAAAATTAAAAACCTTTCAAAATCATCAGATCTAACAGTTCTAGATCTAGAATTTTTGGTGTTTCTAGATCCTATAAGGCTTCTAAAGAATCTATAGTCTTTATTATAGCATAGGGGCATAGGGATAGTAGTATCTAGAGGAGTTTACAGTAACACTTTTCGGACACACACCAAAAATTACGTAGGAGCGAACACTTCGTCGGTTTTTGGCTCATAGAAACTTTAATTAGCATGTCTCACGCGAAACCACGGCGCCTGCACGTAAACTGTTCATTTATGAACACTTCCGTGTCAAGTACTTCCGTTTCCTTTCTCAAGAATTATTTTTAGAAATTTTTTAACGTTGCATGGTACGCACATTTCTATTTTTACACCAGCCGGATGAAGTGACCTAGGGTTGGACTTAGGGGCAAAACTTGAACCAATCAATGCTTAGCTAAAAGGTTACACTATAAATAGCTTCTATATATGTATGGAACATCGTAAATGTCAAGGTTAATGGGTTTTTTTGTGCTTGAACAATAAAAAAGGGGTGTTCGCTAACTTATTTGGCCTTACATGGGAGCGGACAGCAACACAAAAATATTACTAAATAAGAATTTAGAGCATAAAAGGGGCTGGTTATTGAAGGGAAAGGGTCAAAATAAGGTCAAGAAGGCAGTGGAATGCGAAAGAGGAGGGGGAATCATGTGACCTGGCTGGCTTAGCAGCGTACTGCGCGAGCCGCAATGGCTGAATGGGATGAACTTTGGGAGTGTGGGAAAAAGGTTTTATACTATTAAAATTACCTCACAAACAATCAATAACACAATATACAAGCATATAATATATGTTTTTATTCATTAAATTGACTTTAACTTATTCTAAATGAACAAAAAGTGCTATGTCCGATGATGGGTAAAGGTGTCCGAACACATGTAAAACTGTATTACATGTGTTCGAACACACGTTAAGACCCCCCAGTCACTATAACAAGAATAGCTTAAGTTCTATGCGTATGAATACAAAATGACACACACATTATTAAAGTAGAATGGTTGCGGATAGATATGATACTTTTTTTTGTTTTCTATGTTAAGCGGTTACTGAATGAGACCGCATGGAATTTTTATGTTGCGTTTTTTCGCTATGTGTGTCCGAAAAGTGTAAGCTCCTCTACTAGAGTCCTAGTTGCTAGTAGAGTTATTTTTTTTTTTAGTTTAAGAGTTTAAGATTTGCTGATTTAGGCCTAAAGAAAGTTAGAATAGTAGCAGTGTCAGTGTATCTTAACTTGTAGTATTGCTCACTTGCATGGAGGTGTGGCTGGCTGCTAACAACAATAAGGCATCCACACCTGATGTATGACTTCCCGACGATTTTAGTTCTTAGTCTTAGTTCCAGTGACCTAGTGTTTAGCCCTTAAAGCACGCCTAGCCACGATCGTGGCTTTGCTATAACACAATGTATAGCGCTTAAGGCCATGATCATGGTTTCATGTGTTTGTGGCACAGGGTTCGTGCGGCCTCCTGAAATTCCAGGAGGTCCTGGAAAACTCCTGGAATCTTAAAAAACGTAAAAATCTCCTGGAATTCTCCTGGAATTTGAAAAAATATAAAAACCTCCTGGAATTCTCCTGAAATTTGAAAAATTCTCCTAAAAATTACATGAAATTTTATTAACCCGCGGCGCAAAACCCGACCGAAATTATTTGATTTTGTTCCGCCAATAATTGAATAGTAGTTTTTAAATGGGACGAAAATAAAAATAAACGCATCGGCCGTCGTCCGACTAAATCGCACTGCCGTGATCTAGATCTACACATCGTGTGGCACAGCCGAGTGTGTGGTCACGTGACGCTAGGCGATTGACCCGATTGGATGATACTATAAACAATTTCTAAAGATAGATAGGCCTACATGTGTTCCCGTGTTTGACTTGTCGGCTTTTGGATTTTTAAAGTAGACAGGCATGTTTCATAACTTTGTCTTAAACTATTGAAACAGCAAAAACAAGTTGTAGTAGTATTTACGGCTCAGGACTAATCGTCAAAAATTAATCTTCTTTAGAAAACCCGGATAGCTGCGACCCGATCAAACAATGCTGATTCGCGTAACGTTTCATTATTTTATTTTATACATTACTTTTTCGTAAAAATGGCTATAGAAAATAAATTATATTTTTCCAGTGGCTCTTTTTTTCGGTTGACTAAAAATTGTTAATACGCGTAATACTAGCTTGCCAAATCGACCAAAATGGGCTGGGGTGGGTGGGGGAAGACAACTGACCATCCTACACGGTATGTAACACCCAACTTAACATCCATAGCTCAACCCGCCCCCACTACTCCGTGACGCGACAAGCCGACGATTGTCGCCTTTGATGTAGTGTAACACTCGTACGGTGGTTTCATACCCCACCTCCCTTCCCCCTTCACTTTGTGGAGTTGATGTTACTAATCATTGGGCATAGATCAAGAAATCTTGCCAGACTTTTGTCTCTGAAATTACATAATATTCGTCTGACACGTTCATCGGGTCGGCCGACTAGCCTAGCATCATTGGATTTGGCATAAAAAAAATCAATAAAATATCACGAAATGATATTAATTGGTGAAGTCTGCTTGCATTTATACCTCTTATAGTAAAAAACTCTTTAAAATTTGGTCCATACCCTCCCAGTATTTTGCCTCTTTCAGGGTCTATCCCGGTTGTCTGAAAAATCTATTTTTTTAAATGAAAAAAAAAATCATCTTTTTTGTTTATGGTCAGATTTTGAAAATTCAAACTGGTCTGTAGTCAGATTGATAGCCTCTATCCTAATATGTAACTAATATATTGTTTTACTTTTACTGAAATTAAATGTTTGCATTGGCTTAGCTAATTAAATGTATTATTAAGTACGCTTTTTTTTTTTAAATGTACAAATTGGGTTTCTTTTTTGTTTTTAAAATCTCCTTGAATTTTTTTTTAAACTCCTGGAAAAGTCCTGGAAAACTCCTGGAATTTTATTTGAACTTTTGAGCATGAACCCTGGTGGCAGTATTTTTCGTAAATACTCTGCAATTAGACCAGTAACTGTAAATATACGACTACTTCCACCATTTCTGATTTCAAACAAATTGTGGTTTAGCATTTGTACTGTGGAAGCAAAAATTTTTATAAATAATAATGGACAGCAACTCAAGTGACAGTGAAGTTGACTTTCCACTTTCCTAATCTCAAGAACAGAATTGAGACTGATGATGAATTTGATGGCAGCGATTTAGATGATTTTTCTGGTAAGTGTCCGAATTTAAATTTAATAAATACAAACACATTCTCTTCAACGTGGTATGGTGAATTTTAAAAATAAAGTAGAAAAATATTACATTATTTTATTTCTATGCTAAGTGTGTGGGTGTTAGAAGAAGTGCCATGCCTACCTCTTTAGGTAGATACTATTTTAAAATTTATGAATGAATTGCTAGATCTATATATTAAATATATTTACTACTTAGGTAAACAAATGTAAATGAAATCAATTTAATTATAAATAAATAATAAATAGGCTCTAATTATAAGTTTAATCTATTTTTCAGATTCAGAGGACAGGGGATCTCTTACAGCTGATGGACATTGGCAGCCTATTGTTGGAGAGGATTGTGGCCCTAGACCTATCCAGTTTACAGCCAATCCAGGACCCAAGCATAAACCAGCTGCTAATGCTAAGCCTGTTGAATACTTGGATCTGTTTTTAACAGCAGAGCTTACCAATGTTATCATAGCTGAGACCAACTGCTACGCTAGTGATTTTATAGACCAACAAAGTGAAGTTGGACAGCTCACCAATGTTATCATAGCTGAGACCAACTGCTACGCTAGTGATTTTATAGAGACCAACAAAGAGAAGTTGGACAGCCTTCCCCGATCAAGAGTCCACAAATTGACTCCACTCACCCTAGCTGCAAGAGTCCACAAATGGACTCCACTCATCCTAGCTGCAAGAGTCCACAAATAGACTCCACTCACCCTAGCTGCAAGAGTCCACAAATGGACTCCACTCACCCTAGCTGCAAGAGTCCACAAATGGACTCCACTCACCCTAGCTGCAAGAGTCCACAAATAGACCCCACTCACCCTAGCTGCAAGAGTCCACAAATGGACTCCACTCATCCTAGCTGCAAGAGTCCACAAATAGACTCCACTCACCCTAGCTGCAAGAGTCCACAAATGGACTCCACTCACCCTAGCTGCAAGAGTCCACAAATGGACTCCACTCACCCTAGCTGCAAGAGTCCACAAATGGACTCCACTCACCCTAGCTGCAAGAGTCCACAAATGGACTCCACTCACCCTAGCTGCAAGAGTCCACAAATAGACTCCACTCACCCTAGCTGCAAGAGTCCACAAATAGACTCCACTCACCCTAGCTGCAAGAGTCCACAAATGGACTCCACTCACCCTAGCTGCAAGAGTCCACAAATGGACTCCACTCACCCTAGCTGCAAGAGTCCACAAATGGACTCCACTCATCCTAGCTGCAAGAGTCCACAAATGGACTCCACTCACCCTAGCTGCAAGAGTCCACAAATAGACTCCACTCACCCTAGCTGCAAGAGTCCACAAATGGACTCCACTCACCCTAGCTGCAAGAGTCCACAAATAGACTCCACTCACCCTAGCTGCAAGAGTCCACAAATAGACTCCACTCACCCTAGCTGCAAGAGTCCACAAATGGACTCCACTCACCCTAGCTGCAAGAGTCCACAAATGGACTCCACTCACCCTAGCTGAGTTTAGGGCCTTTCTTGCTGTGGTCCTGAACATGGGCTTAAACCAAAAGCCCAATTCCAATGCTTATTGGGACTCCTGCCACCATAGTCAAGAAACACCATGGTTCCCTGCTCATTTTAACCGCGACAGGTTACAGATCATTCTGAAATTTCTTCACTTTGCTGACAACAGCCAGATGCCTGAAAGGGATGAGCCAGATTATAAGCTCTACAAGATAAAGGAGGTGGTGGATTACTTCAACCAGAAATTTATCTACCACTACCATCCCTTTCAAAATATCAGCATTGATGAGAGCATGATTGGGTTCAAAGGATGCACTCCCTACCTTCACCAGTACATGCCCAATAAAAGGCACTCACGGTTTGGCATCAAGTTGTGGTGCTTGTCAGACAGCTCAAATGGCTATCTATGCCAGTTTGAAATCTACACTGGTTTACACAGCACAAATGGCTATCTATGCCAGTTTGAAATTTACACTGGTTTACACAGCACAAATGGCTATCTATGCCAGTTTGAAATTTACACTGGTTTACACAGCACAAATGGCTATCTATGCCAGTTTGAAATCTACACTGGTTTACACAGCTCAAATGGCTATTTATGCCACTTTGAAATTTACACTGGTTTACACAGCACAAATGGCTATCTATGCCAATTTGAAGTTTACACTGGTTTACACAGCACAAATGGCTATCTATGCCAGTTTGAAGTCTACACTGGTTTACACAGCTCAAATGGCTATCTATGCCAATTTGAAGTTTACACTGGTTTACACAGCTATCTATGCCAGTTTGAAATCTACACTGGTTTACACAGCACAAATGTCTATCTATGCCAGTTTGAAATTTACACTGGTTTACACAGCACAAATAGCTATTTATGCCACTTTGAAATTTACACTGGTTTACACAGCACAAATGGCTATCTATGCCAGTTTAAAATTTACACTGGTTTACACAGCACAAATGGCTATCTATGCCAATTTGAAATTTACACAGGCTCTCAGGCTAAAAGACCAGCAGTTCCTCCAGCCAGGTCATTCACCCACGAACTTATCATTCGTCTGCTGACCAACGCAGACTTGCTACACAGAGGTCACCACTTGGGTGTGGATAATTTTTTCACCTCTGTGGATTTGTTCAATGAACTTTATTCTCTGAACACTACAGCTACTGGCACTGTCAGGATTAACAGGAAAGGGCTGCCTGAATTTTGTGTTACAAAAAATAAAGTATAAAGAAATAACATGCGCAAGGAATGGCAACCTTCTATGTTTGGGATATCAGGACAGAAAGCCTGTTCTGTTGTCTACCATGGTAAAGTCTGGCTTCATTGACACAGTCAACAGTAGGAACCAAGCTGTCAGGAGGCCTGATGTTATTCATGCTTACAATGTGGGTGGTGTGGACTTGGTGGTGTGGACTTGGTGGTGTGGACTTGGTGGTGTGGACTTGGTGGTGTGGACTTGGTGGTGTGGACTTGGTGGTGTGGACTTGGTGGTGTGGACTTGGTGGTGTGGACTTGGTGGTGTGGACTTGGTGGTGTGGACTTGGTGGTGTGGACTTGGGTCTGCTGTCATTCATGCTTACAATGTGGGTGGTGTGGACTTGGTGGTGTGGACTTGGTGGTGTAGACTTGGTGGTGTGGACTTGGTGGTGTGGACTTGGTGGTGTAGACTTGGTGGTGTGGACTTGGTGGTGTGGACTTGGTGGTGTGGACTTGGTGGTGTGGACTTGGTGGTGTAGACTTGGTGGTGTAGACTTGGGTCTGCTGTCATTCATGCTTACAATGTGGGTGGTGTGGACTTGGTGGTGTGGACTTGGTGGTGTAGACTTGGTGGTGTGGACTTGGTGGTGTGGACTTGGTGGTGTAGACTTGGTGGTGTAGACTTGGTGGTGTAGACTTGAGCCTGCTGTCATTCATGCTTACAATGTGGGTGGTGTGGACTTGGTGGTGTGGACTTGGTGGTGTGGACTTGGTGGTGTGGACTTGGTGGTGTGGACTTGGTGGTGTGGACTTGGTGGTGTGGACTTGGTGGTGTGGACTTGGTGGTGTGGACTTGGTGGTGTGGACTTGGTGGTGTGGACTTGGTGGTGTGGACTTGGTGGTGTGGACTTGGTGGTGTGGACTTGGGTCTGCTGTCATTCATGCTTACAATGTGGGTGGTGTGGACTTGGTGGTGTGGACTTGGTGGTGTGGACTTGGTGGTGTGGACTTGGTGGTGTGGACTTGGTGGTGTGGACTTGGGTCTGCTGTCATTCATGCTTACAATGTGGGTGGTGTGGACTTGGTGGTGTGGACTTGGTGGTGTGGACTTGGTGGTGTGGACTTGGTGGTGTGGACTTGGTGGTGTGGACTTGGTGGTGTGGACTTGGTGGTGTGGACTTGGGGGTTGAAAAACTTTATATGTACCTGGCTGAACGTCAAACCCTCAAATGGACAAATAGTTTTCTTCTCTTTATTAGGTAGAGCTGTGCTAAACAGCTATATCTTATACAAGCTGAACACTACAGACAAGCTTGTGCTTTCTAGGTACAACTTCATCATTTCTGTTTTGGAGAGCCTGTCCTCAAAGTTCACACCAGCAAAAATTGTTCGTCACTAACAAAGGAGGAAATAGCAACCACCAGAAATGGAGGAAATATCAACCACCAGAAATGATGTTGAGTCCCCAGTGCCTTCTGCTTCCAGTCATCCACTAGATGGCCATGACTTAGTGAAACTGCTTCCAGTCATCCACTAGATGGCCATGACTTAGTGAAACTACAAGTGTGCAAAAAAAGACAGTTGCAAGTCATTCTGTCAGAAGTGGGTGGGAGTGTTCTGGTTGCAATGTTGGACTGTGTCCAGAATGTGTACATTATAATTTATTCAAGGCATTAAAATTATTTGTGATGATGAAAAAAAATGGTTTTGTGTTTCATTTTCTTAAATTTTTACAATTGTGTTTTTATGTTAATAGTTAATGTGTTATCATATTCTTTATTAAGCTTTCCATTAATGTTTAGGCTTATAGGTCTAAAATGTATAGATCACACTTTAGTAAAATTACAAGGGGGATCAAAATTTGTAAACATTGCAATTTTGATCCCATTTTTTAATGCACTTCCTGGAAACCAGCTGAGCGCTTGAAGGGTTAAAATTTAAAATGTTATCCACAATCAAAATGGTGGGGATTTCACCTTATAAAAACAAACTATAGGTGGCAGTGTTATATATGCCAGAAAAGCAATTTAAAGTATGGTCTGCAGAATGTAGGCTAAGTTCAAAAGTTGGTTTCATTAAAATTAATAGAACTTTTAAAATATCAAAGGTGTAGGTATAAAATTGACCGAGTAAGTAAAGCATTATCAGTTTTATCAGTCTATGTAAAAAGAAATCAAATACTGTGAGCTGTTTTTTTTTATTCAAGTGACCCCTATTTGGTTGATCACTAGTGAGGATCTCTGGTACATATTCAATTAAAAAGTTGAACCGATTCGTGGTTTGCCGTGGCCTCATGGTTGTTATGAAAGAGTGTGTCGTGCCATAGCTTTAAGTGACAATAATATTAAATTAAGTAATTTAGTTTAAAACGAACAAAAAAAATATGGTTGTCTGTTATTCGGTGGTTATGTTTAAATTGAAAATTGAGTAAATTTTAGATTTAGCGGGAAAATCTATTAACTTGCGGTGTCAGTTCCATAGATCTCATCTCACTTTCTCACTCAAACTGAAATTAAAACTGTCCATTCCAACTATTCCTTAAATTCTTAGAATACACCTAAACCAAAGCCTATTTCCAGTAATACGTTATTAATTGATTTAATTTTAATGATGGTATGACACAGAATGGCGAGACACCTGCAACTATCACCCTGTAAATCCTTGGTAAGGATTTATTGGGTCCCTGATTTTTTCCACAGCCTAGTGAAAATCTCAAAACTGGACATGGTCTGGCAACCAGTTGTATTTTAGTTCTTCTCGCTTGCAAACATATTTACATAGAAAGTTTTTAAATTACCATGTGCACTAGATTTTTCCTGGAATGCTAAGAGAGAAAAACTTCTGATCATTGAATAGAAATAAAAAAAAAATAATGACTACTTATTGGATGAAATGGATGTTAGCCAAACTTTTTTTAAAACTAAGATTATTTTAAAAATGATAAAAAGTCATTTAATTTTCTCTTGACAGTGTTTAACTCGATGCTTGGCAAGCTGACAGGAAACTACAAGACACCTGACCAAAAGCAAGCAGAGTTTGAGACCCATCTTGTAGAGCTCAAACAGAAATGCAAGGCAAGATATTTTATCACATAATAAATACACCTAAAACATCTAACTTTTTTTATCAGTGTTTTCACTACCATGATTTTCTGTTATGAATACATTAGAACTGTGTCTCAATATGTTTGAAATGTGTGTTGATACATTAGAACTGTGTCTTAATGATGTAAAAGTAAATCAGCTTCTAGATTGATGGGTCTAATGTGTTGTCTCTGTCCTCAGCCTTTGTTTGCATCAAACCCAGAGCAGGTGAGTTTTACCTGGTCTGTTAAATCTTGTTTTATTTACAAACCCAGAGCAGGTGAGTTTTACCTGGTCTGTTAAATCTTGTTTTATTTACAAACCCAGAGCAGGTGAGTTTTTACCTGGTCTGTTAAAACTTGTTTTATTTACAAACCAGCAAAACATGGAATGAATGAAATCTGTTATGGTTTGATTCTTCCTGGGATATTTACAATGTTGACTGGGGTATTTACAGTGTTGACTGGGGTATTTACAGTGTTGACTGGGGTATTTAAATAGATTAATAATTGAAGGATTTTGCAGAGAATAGCTTGTCTTCTCTTATTAGTTTCATGTAATAGATACACCTTTAGACAGAGAGAATGTTTTATTTGTTGCTGCCCAACATGTATACCGTACTAAGACATGCACTTCCTTGTAGACCCACTCCGATGCGTCCCTGCGCAGATTCCTGCGTGGCTACACCACAGTGGAGGCTGCGTACATTGGCATCACCAAGTACAACAAGTGGAGGGTGGACTATGGAGTGGACCAGCTGTCCCCTGATGATCCAGCCGTCCTGGCAGAAATGTCCAAAGGAATTTGTCATTTACTGCGCACCAGGGACTGTATGAACAGGTTTGTTTTATGTGCAGCTGATTATTTGTAGACATTTTTAATGGGGATGTCATTCATTGAAACTGAAAGTTATCTCGATTAGGTTGCGTTAAATCAAGTTTTCAGAGGGGGGGGGGGATATATGTCTAGATGTTTGTGATGGTCTCCTTTGATTCATCAATTTCATCCCATAAGTCACACATCTTTGTTTAGTCAGTCATTGTATCCCATAAGTCACACATCTTTGTTTGGTCAATCATTTTATCCCATAAGTCACACATCTTTGTTTAGTCAGTCATTGTATCCCATAAGTCAGACACTTTTGTTACATATTTTGATCTGATAAGTTGTTATGTCTTCAGACCTGTCTTGTACATCATAGCCAGGAAACATTCAGCCACAGACAGAGACTTGGAAAGGCTGACAAGATTTACTGTTTATATGTTGGTCAGTACTCATCAGGGTTTTTTTTGTGTTTAAACTTTTAGTTGTCTGTTATCAGGAGCTTTAAATTTTAGCTCTGTTATCAGGAGCTTAAAATTTTACTTCTATAATCAGGAGCTTAAAATTTTAGTTCTGCTATCAGGAGCTTAAAATTTTAGTTCTGTTATCAGGAGCTTAAAATTTTAGTTCTATAATCAGGAGCTTAAAATTTTAGTTTTGCTATCAGGAGCTTAAAATTTTAGTTTTGCTATCAGGAGCTTAAATTTTAGTTCTGCTATCAGGAGCTTAAAATTTTAGTTCTATTATCAGGAGCTTAAAATTTTAGTTCTGTAATCAGGAGCTTAAAATTTTAGTTCTGTAATCAGGAGCTTAAAATTTTAGTTCTGTAATCAGGAGCTTCAACTTTAAGTTGTGTGGTGTGGAGCTGTGTAGTTTAATCATGGAATTGTTTTTATGGTACACACTGGGTGACCTACAGCAAAGCTGTGTGGAGAGTCAATTTAAAAAAGTAGCCTAGATAGTCTTCTAGTGGGAGGGGGGGGGGGGCAAAATCTTATTGAAGCAAAGGTGCCACATTAATATACAGTGTACATGGTGGAGCTCTTTACCATTTACTGTTGTAGAGTACAGATCTGTCCCCACAGTTGTGCCCCTTTACAAGCTGTCGGACATGAGTTATTTCCTACTTATTGGTTAATATTAATAAGTAAATATAGTATTACCATAGTAACACCATCAACAAATACATGATACAAATATACAATCAATTGCTAGCAAACTACATTAAAATATAACCAACTCATGCATATCATGAGCCATACTTGTATTTTTTTTAAATATTATTTTCTTTCTCCAGGAACTGACATTTAAAAGACTGGATGAATCCATTATAGACAATATCTGTATAGTTTTTGACATGAGGAAGTTCACAATGGCAAACATGGACTATCAGTTTGTTAAGAAACTCATTTGGTTGCTGGGCAAGTACTACCCAGAACGTCTCGGGATATGTATAGTGTACAACGCTCCTGTCATGTTTCAGGGCTGCTGGGCTGTTATACGACCATGGTATGCAACTACTGTTTCAGCCTCGATATAACACTGTTTCAGCCTTGGTATAACACTGTCCCACTGTTTCAGCCTCAATATAACACTGTCCCACTGTTTCAGCCTTGATATATCACTGTCCCACTGTTTCAGCCTCAATATAACACTGTCCCACTGTTTCAGCCTTGATATATCACTGTCCCACTGTTTCAGCCTCAATATATCACTGTCCCACTGTTTCAGCCTCAATATAACACTGTCTAACTGTTTCAGCCTCGATATAACACTGTCTGTTTCAGCCTTGGTATAACACTGTCCCACTGTTTCAGCCTCATTATAACACTGTCCCACTGTTTAAGACTCACTTTGTCTCACTATTTCAGTCTCACTCTGACTATAGTCTTGCTATTCCTGTAAATAAAATATGGAGTAAAAAAAAAAGCGATTAACCCACCACGCGCACTAACTTGCGTTTAGAAACAGATGGACACTAGTTCATCTCTCCCATATCTCGTGGGTATGAATGGGAAAAGTTGATGAAATCAAGATAATGATAATAGACTTCAATTATGTCACCCTTAAAATAATCAAAATAAACTTCATTTATGCCACCCTTAATTAAAGCTTGTTTTTCAGGTTGAATGAAGTAACAGCCAGTAAAGTCATGTTTGTCAACAATGAATCTCAGATCTGTCAGTATCTCAATCCTGACGGCCTTCCTCCATGTGATGACTGACTCTCAGAACAACTAGGGGAGATAATGTTATACAACTGAACAAAAACTGTTTGATTTTATCCTGGACTGGAAAACTTTTGATGATCTTTATACTGTGTATTATGTCATAATTTTGGTGAATGATCTCCCCCTGCTTTTGTTTCTTACCATGACCATGTTTCTGTGTTACATCAAGTTGAACAAATCTTCCCATTGAGCTGATCTCCTCTTTATTTGAGGTGTTTGCAGCAGTTATGTCCCTTACCTTCCAACTACTTAATGTGTGAATCAGGGTCCAAGTTTTGATAAAGTACTTACTGCTGAATGTTTGTCTTGTGCCAGATCTTGGTGTCTGCTGTTGTCATGGTTACACTGTCTGCCATGTCAACCCATATTAAATCTGGTACAAGAAATTTGGTTGTAGATCATTTCTTTCAACTGTTGGAGACATTTTTTTTTATTTCATAAGTTGTTTTATTTTTTGTTGTTTTTATGAATTTTTCCAGTTTTAATTACAATTTGGTTTTTTTAATGGCTGTGTGTATCAGGAAGCTGTGATATTGAAAGATCTGGGTTTTATCTTAGATTTCTTGTTCTTCATTTCTAAAGCTTTAACAGTTTGTTTTTTTTTAAATCCACTTTATTTCTTTATGCTAGAAGTGTTGTTTTCATTAGATACTTATGCCATAAAGAGACATATTTAAAACTATATTTTTATAACAATTAATGGTTCATATAATCTTAACAGTTTATACTTCAGCATTCCATGGTATTTATTATTGGTCAGCTAGTGGTCTAGTTGTGTCTGTGGTCCATCACGTTCTGTGGTCCATCACGTTCTGTGGTCCATTACTTTCTGTGGTCTAGTTGAGTCTGTGGTCCATTACTTTCTGTGGTCTAGTTGAGTCTGTGGTCCATTACTTTCTGTGGTCCATCACTTTCTGTGGTCTAGTTGAATCTGTGGTCCATCACTTTCTGTGGTCTAGTTGAGTCTGTGGTCCATTACTTTCTGTGGTCTAGTGACAGTTGTCCACCTTCTCGAGTCCTCTACAATGAAGCAATCATTGTTTTTAGTTTGTTGCAATGTCAAGTATAAAAACTGCTCAAGATATTACCAAGACAATTTTGTTGTTACTTTTTTATCAATTTCAGCATTTTTAAAACAACTTTTTAAAATCTTCTTTAAAATTAGTCTAAAATTTGGTGTTGTAAGTTGGTGTAGTGTGGGTGTTGTAAGTTGGTGTAGTGTGGGTGTTGTAAGTTGGTGTAGTGTGGGTGTTGTAAGTTGGTGTAGTGTGGGTGTTGTAAGTTGGTGTAGTGTGGGTGTTGTAAGTTGGTGTAGTGTGGGTGTTGTAAGTTGGTGTAGTGTGGGTGTTGTAAGTTGGTGTAGTGTGGGTGTTGGAATTGGAAGGTCGGTGTGGTGTCATTATTGTTACTGGTTAGTTATACCATTAGTTCCAGCCACAATTGGATCAAATCATTAACTGCATTCAGATGACATGACAAAATAGATGTCACGTGTATGAGGGACTGGGTGGATGTCACTTGTATGAGGGATTGGGCTGATGTTGTCAGACTTGAATGATCTGACAAATTACCATGACATTTATTTAGATACTTCATGACCTCATTAACCATGGGGTGGTGCAAGTCTCTGCAGCTATCTGGTAGTGTGGTGCTGACCACAGTGTTTGTTGACCATTATGTTGACCTTTGTATTTGTTGACCACTCTCTAATGGCCACTTTTTGTGTTCACTGACCACTATATTAACTGACCACTGCTACAACTTGAATCACTGACAGACCAAAGAAAACATGAGTTTCTGCCCCAACATAGATAAAAGAATCATGTGTTGCCATAGCAACCGGTATTTGAGTGATAGAATCATGGGTTGCCATAGCAACCAATATTTGAGTGATAGAATCATGTATAGCCATTGCAACCAATATTTGAGTGATAGAATCATGTGTAACCCTAGCAACCAATACTTGACTGATAGAATCATGTGTAACCATAGCGACCCATATTTTGACCAGGATTCTGGTGAACATTGGTTATTAATACTTCACACAGACAGACATTTAATTGGTCTTGTCTTAATTAAACAATACTGTCCCAGTGATTAAAGTGCCTTGATAGACACAGAATTGTGTCACATTTCATCACGTTCACTACAAAACACTGCTATTTTTTAATGGTTAATTTGTAGCCTTGGTTAATTAGCATTTTAGTGGTGTAGTTAGTAATTTTACATGTGTGCTGTGGACGAATGTCATCTAATCAAGATGACCTCCTGATGTCACTAGTGACATGAACTGTGAGACTGGTTTTTTTTTTGGGTCGTGGTGTTAAAACATGATTTGATTAGATTTGTTAGCTAGATAGTAAAACATCAAAATGTTATGCCCCAAGTTGATCAAACTTTGATCTCTTTGTTTTTTTTTGTCATGGACCAGATATGCCTGAGTTAGTTATATCGGCTGTCTGTAGCTGGGGATGGTTGAGGTAGTTATATCGACTGTCTGTTGGTGGGGATGGTTGAGGTAGTTATGTGTAGCTGGGGATGGTTGAGGTAGTTATGTGTAGCTGGGGATGGTTGAGGTAGTTATGTGTTGGTGGGGATGGTTGAGGTAGTTATGTGTTGCTGTTGATGGTTGAGGTAGTTATGTGTTGCTGGGGATGGTTGAGGTAGTTATGTGTTGTTGGGGATGGTTGAGGTACTTATGTGTTGTTGGGGATGGTTGAGGTAGTTATGTGTTGTTGGGGATGGTTGAGGTAGTTATGTGTTGTTGGGGATGGTTGAGGTAGTTATGTGTTGTTGGGGATGGTTGAGGTAGTTATGTGTTGTTGGGGATGGTTGAGGTAGTTATGTGTTGTTGGGGATGGTTGAGGTAGTTATGTGTTGTTGGGGATGGTTGAGGTAGTTATGTGTTGTTGGGGATGGTTGAGGTAGTTATGTGTTGTTGGGGATGGTTGAGGTAGTTATGTGTTGTTGGGGATGGTTGAGGTAGTTATGTGTTGTTGGGGATGGTTGAGGTAGTTATGTGTTGTTGGGGATGGTTGAGGTAGTTATGTGTTGTTGGGGATGGTTGAGGTAGTTATGTGTTGTTGGGGATGGTTGAGGTAGTTATGTGTTGTTGGGGATGGTTGAGGTACTTATGTGTTGTTGGGGATGGTTGAGGTAGTTATGTGTTGCTGGGAATGGTTGAGGTAGTTATGTCTTGCTGGGGATGGTTGAGGTAGTTATGTGTTGTTGGGGATGGTTGAGGTACTTATGTGTTGCTGGGGATGGTTGAGATGATCCCAGCCAGTATGCCTATGGTAATGCCAACATTTTAGACGTAGCCTTGTCTGTAGGCTCCAGTTGTATACATCTTGTGATGTGGGATGTCTGTGGGCTCCAGTTGTATACATCTTGTGATGTGGGATGTCTGTGGGCTCCAGTTGTATACATCTTGTGATGTGGGATGTCTGTGGGCTCCAGTTGTATACATCTTGTGATGTGGGATGTCTGTGGGCTCCAGTTGTATACATCTTGTGATGTGGGATGTCTGTGGGCTCCAGTTGTATACATCTTGTGATGTGGGATGTCTGTGGGCTCCAGTTGTATACATTTTGTGATGTGGGATGTCTGTGGGCTCCAGTTGTATACATCTTGTGATGTGGGATGTCTGTGGGCTCCAGTTGTATACATCTTGTGATGTGGGATGTCTGTGGGCTCCAGTTGTATACATCTTGTGATGTGGGATGTCTGTGGGCTCCAGTTGTATACATCTTGTGATGTGGGAACTATTTGAAGGGTGGGTGGCAGCACTTAGATCTAGAATAAAAAAACTTACAATCCTTGGTGTTTTTTCTTCATTGATTTAGTCTTTGCTGTTTTGTCAACATTTCTTATTTATTTAGTGAATCAGTGTGTGTATCCTGATACAACCTGTCTTGTCTACTATATCCTGTCTTCGATGAGAAAAATCTCTGTAGGTCAAAGGTCGAGTAAACAGTTATCTCGGTGAAGTCACTTGTCTTAGGACAAAAAAAATGATCGCAGAAACTAACAGGTACCACATGACCTAGCTAAAGAAAGATCAAGTGACGTCATTGCCGAAAGTGCCAGTGCATGTCCACTCTGATTAAATCTTGACAAGGCCACAGCTGGTGTTATCTCGGCAAACTTCACAACCAGATCAGGCTAGAGAAGCAGACGTTAAGACACGGGCAGACGACTATCATGGCTTCTGTACTAGGCTTCTTCTTTCTTTTTGTTGGCACAGCATGTAAGTATGTGGTGACAACATATTATAAAGCATGTATGTGGTGACACAACGTCAGCATGTAAGTATGTGGTGATACAACATCTAATTGCGTAACACGTAGAGCTACCTCATTATTCTGTAAGAAGACAGAACACAGGTTATCTAAGGCAGACACTTAAACGCTGCCAGCCATACTTACAAAACACTTGACGCTGAAAACATAAGGCAATGTCAAGTAGCCAAAAGTCAGCTACCTAGACGAGTAGCCAAAAGTCAGCTACATAGACGAGTAGCCAAAAGTCAGCTACATAGACGAGTAGCCAAAAGTCAGCTACATAGACGAGTAGCCAAAAGTCAGCTTGCTAGACGAGTAGCCAAAAGTCAGCTACATAGACGAGTAGCCAAAAGTCAGCTACATAGACGAGTAGCCAAAAGTCAGCTACATAGACGAGTAGCCAAAAGTCAGCTTGCTAGACGAGTAGCCATCAAGTTTAAATTCAGTCATACAGTGATCCCCCACCCCTTATATTTTTACTATACTAGTATCCCTGTATTTTCTATTGCCACATTATGACCCCTATATTGTACTGTGTCACATAATGACCCCTGTATTACTGTCCCACAATATGACCCCTATATTTCCTAATGTCGACCTATGACCCCTGTCTTTCAGTGTCTGTCCAGCCGTACCATGACCCCCACTGTGGGGGTAAGCAGGTCATTGTTCACTTGTTCGAGTGGAAATGGACGGAGATCGCCAAGGAGTGTGAGCGTTATCTGGGACCTAAAGGATTTTGTGGGGTGCAGGTAAAGACTTGACCATTAACCGGACCAAATGTCCCCATGTTTTCACCCAACCAAATGTCCCCATGTTTCACCTGACCAAATGTCCCATGTTTCACCTGACCAAATGTCCCATGTTTCACCCAACCAAATGTCCCATGTTTCACCCAACCAAATGTCCCCATGTTTCACCCAACCAAATGTCCCATGTTTCACCTGACCAAATGTCCCATGTTTCACCCAACCAAATGTCCCATGTTTCACCCAACCAAATGTCCCCATGTTTCACCCAACCAAATGTCCCCATGTTTCCATCTGACCAAATGTCCCATGTTTTCACCTGACCAAATGTCCCCATGTTTCACCTGACCAAATGTCCCATGTTTCACCTGACCAAATGTCCTATGTTTCACCCAACCAAATGTCCCATGTTTCACCCAACCAAATGTCCCCATGTGTCACCTGACCAATTGTCCCCATGTGTCACCTGACCAATCGTCCCCATGTTTCCATCTGACCAAATGTCCCATGTTTTCACCTGACCAAATGTCCCCATGTTTTCACCCAACCAAATGTCCCATGTTTCACCCAACCAAATGTCCTATGTTTCACCCAACCAAATGTCCCATGTTTCACCCAACCAAATGTCCCCATGTGTCACCTGACCAATTGTCCCCATGTGTCACCTGACCAATTGTCCCCATGTGTCACCTGACCAAATGTCCCATGTTTCACCTGACCAAATGTCCCATGTTTCACCTGACCAAATGTCCCATGTTTTCACCCAACCAAATGTCCCATGTTTCACCCAACCAAATGTCCCATGTTTCACCCAACCAAATGTCCCATGTTTCACCCAACCAAATGTCCCATGTTTCACCCAACCAAATGTCCCCATGTGTCACCTGACCAAATGTCCCCATGTGTCACCTGACCAATTGTCCCCATGTGTCACCTGACCAAATGTCCCCATGTGTCACCCACCCAGGTGTCCCCGCCCATGGAGCATGCGATGATCACCACCGATGGTGACCGCCCCTGGTGGGAGAGGTACCAGCCAATCAGCTACAAGCTGGTCAGCAGGAGCGGGAACGAGGCGGAGCTTAAGGACATGGTCCAGAGATGCAAGGCTGTAGGGGTCAGGTGGGTCATATCAGGGGTCAGGTGGGTCATATCAGGGGTCAGATGGGTCATATCAGGGGTCAGATGGGTCATGTCAGGTTATGTAGGGGTCAGGTGGGTCATATCAGGGGTCAGGTGGGTCATATCAGGGGTCAGGTGGGTCATATCAGGGGTCAGGTGGGTCATTTCAGGGGTCAGATGGGTCATGTCAGGTTATGTAGGGGTCAGGTGGGTCATATCAGGGGTCAGGTGGGTCATATCAGGGGTCAGGTGGGTCATATCAGGGGTCAGGTGGGTTACTTATGCAATTTAAGGGGTTAGGTGGGTTATCGCAGGGTCAGGTGGGTTTTACAAGGGTCATTCGGGTTAAATCAGGGTCAAGTGGGTCATACCATGTAGTGAGTGCTATCACGTGTCTCCACAGAGTCTACGTGGACGCCGTGGTTAACCACATGGCCGGGCTGGGCAGGAAGGGGGTGGGGACGGCAGGGAGCACGTTCGACTCAGACGCCAAGGACTTCCCCGGGGTACCGTACACCAAGGAAAACTTCAACGACAGGAGTGACTGTCCTTCAGGGGACGGGAACGTTAACAAGTAAGTCAGGGTTGGGTTCATGGGGTTGGGTTTATGTGTGTCATGGTGCGTCGGGGCTGGGTTCATGTTGTATTGTGGTTGGGTTCATGGTGCGTCAGGGTTGGGTTCATGGTGTGTCAGGGTTGGGTTCATGGTGTGTCAGGGTTGGGTTCATGGTGTGTCAGGGTTGGGTTCATGGTGTGTCGGGGTTGGGTTCATGGTGTGTCGGGGTTGGATCCATGGTATGTCTGGTTTGTTGGACGTGTACCTTACTGTGATTCAGTGTGCATAATTTTTGAGCGTGTGTAGATCTTTTTTTTTAAAATTACTGTTGAACTAAAAGCATTTAGTCGAATCATGAATTTATCACCTCACAACTCAGAATTCATGTCTCACGAAACATTCAAGTGAGAAGACTCTGGTTCACGTGACCAAAGAAAAAACCAAATCACGTAACTCTGCAACAAGCGAGACAATCCAGTCGTGACAATCGCGAGCTACGGCAATGTATCGGTTATCTCCCCGCTCGTGGAGGGAGTTAATCTCAGTGAGGGCCGTGAAATGTTTAAGCCGAGAAGTTGAGAGAATCGCTCACTAGTTATCTGGCCCTTTCTGTGTCTAGAATATTTTGTTCAACGGCGTTAACTCACACACGCTTGTCTGTGGGGGGTGGGGGGGGGGAGGGTAAGAACACCCTAAGGGCACATGATAGTGACAATTGTCTCACGTCAACGGTCGAGTTACAGCTATTAGTATTATGGACTAGGTATATATATATATATATATATATATATATATATATATATATATATATATATATATATATATATATATATATATTCCTACGTTATTTATCCCAATATCGCGCTATTGAATACCACCTCTGATTCCCCCCCCCCCCCCCTACATGTACTACCTCTACCATGTCTGCTACCACCCCTCATATACCACCTCTGCCCACCTCTGCCCACCACGCCCCATGCCCCACCTCTGCCCACCACGCCCCATGCCCCACCTCTGCCCACCACGCCTCATGCCCCACCTCTGCCCACCACGCCTCATGCCCCACCTCTGCCCACCTCTACCCACCACACCTCATGCCCCACCTCTGCCCACCACACCTGATGCCCCACCTCTGCCCCACCCCCAGCTATGGCGACCCCAAGAACGTCCGTGACTGCTACCTGGTGGGTCTGACGGACCTGAAGGCCAGCCAGCCCTACGTGCAGGACAAGATCAGCGGCTACTTCAACAGTCTCATCGACATCGGTGTGGCCGGCTTCCGTGTGGACGCCGCCAAACACATGTGGCCCAAAGATCTCGAGGCCATTCTCACCAAGGTCATCTCCACGTGTCTGTCTCTTGAATGTATCTGTGTGTGTATCTGTGTGAGTGTTTGTGGGCGTGTCTGTGGGCATGTCTGTGGGCGTGTCTGTGTGAGTGTGTGTGTGTGTGTGACTGTGTGAGGGTGTGTTTTGTGGGCGTGACTGTGTGAGTGTATGTGTGCGTCTGTGTGTTTTGTGGGCGTGACTGTGTGAGTGTATGTGTGCGTCTGTGTGTGTTTTTGTGGGCGGGACTGTGTGTGTGAGACTGTGACTATGTTATGTTTGTCTCTGTGTCTGTGTGCGCAACTGTGTGTGTATGAGTGTGTGTATGTGTGACTGTGAGACTGTGAGTGTATTTGTAGGGATGACTGTGTGTGTGTCTCTGTGAGTGTGTGTGTGTGTGTGTGTGTGTGTGTGTGTGTGTGTGTGTGTGTGTGTGTGTGTGTGTGTGTGAGAGTACTTACCCATGTTTAAAACATCTCGAACAGACCAAGGACCTGCCCGAGGGTGGGCGGCCATTTTTCTTCCATGAGGTCATTGACCGAAACGACGGTGCCATTAAAGTGGACGAGTACTTCCACCTGGGCTACGTCACAGGTAGGGTCAGCTGGGGTCAACGACCTTGACGAATCTAACACACCACTTGTACATCCTGATGATGTCACGTGACCTCAATGTTTTCCAGAGTTCCGCTTCCCACAGAAGGTCAAAGAGGGCGCCAGTGGGGATCTGGGTCGACTGGGGAGTGTCTACGACCCGGGCTGGGGCATGGCACCCCCCGACCAGGCGTTCGTGTTTGTGGACAACCACGACACACAGAGAGGCAACGAGGCACTCACCTACAAGGTTTGTTGGGCTGTTTGGTTGAGTAATCGCCGGGGTGTTGAGTTGGCTGTTTGATGAGCTGTTTGATGCTGTGTGCTGTATCCTATGACCGTTCGACCTTGACCTCATGTTGTGTTTACAGAACGGCGCAGAATACAAGCGGGCAGTGGCCTTCACCTTGGCCTACAACTACGGCTTCACGCGTGTCATGAGCAGCTACTACTTCACCGATAACTCTGCCGGACCCCCAAGGAACGCCGACCTGACCACCAAAGACGTGCCCATCAAAGCTGATGGCACGTGCGACAACGGCTGGGTCTGTGAGCACAGGTGAGCAACTCACCTGTACATGGTACACTTCACCTGTACAGGGTACACCTCACCTGTACATGGTACACTTCACCTGTACAGGGTACACCTCACCTGTACATGGTACACCTCACCTGTACAGAGTACACCTCACCTGTACATGGTACAACTCACCTGTACAGGGTAGACCTGTCTGTTGATTGGTTAGGTCGTGTATGTGGACGTCGTGTTTGTGTGACGTCTTGTTTTTGTGACGTCTTGATGTAGCTGACGTCTTGGTGCACCTGAAGTCTTGATGTAGCTGACGTCTTGATGTACCTGACGTCTTGATGTATTTGACGTCTTGATGTAGCTGACGTCTTGATGTAGTTGACGTCTTGATGTTGTTGACGTCTTGATGTACCTGACGTCTTGATGTAGTTGACGTCGTGATGTATTTGACGTCTTGATGTAGCTGACGTCTTGATGAAGCTGACGTCTTGTTGTAGCTGACGTCTTGACGTACTTGACGTCTTGATGTAGCTGACGTCTTGACGTACCTGACGTCTTGATGTACCTGACGTCTTGATGTATTTGACGTCTTGATGTAGCTGACGTCTTGATGTAGTTGACGTCTTGATGTTGTTGACGTCTTGATGTACCTGACGTCTTGATGTAGTTGACGTCGTGATGTATTTGACGTCTTGATGTAGCTGACGTCTTGATGAAGCTGACGTCTTGTTGTAGCTGACGTCTTGACGTACTTGACGTCTTGATGTAGCTGACGTATTGATGTATTTGACGTCTTGATGTAGCTGACGTCTTGATGTTGTTGACGTCTTGCTTGTGTGAAATCTTGATGTACCTGACATCTTGCTTGTGTGACGTCTTGATGTAGTTGAAGTCTTGCTTGTTTGACGTCTTGATGTAGCTGACGTCTTGACGTACCTGACGTCTTGATGAAGCTGACGTCTTGTTGTAGCTGACGTCATGATGTAGCTGACGTCTTGATGTAGCTGACGTCTTGATGAAGCTGACGTCTTGTTGTAGCTGACGTCTTGACGTACCTGACGTCTTGATGAAGCTGACGTCTTGTTGTAGATGACGTCTTGATGTAGTTGACGTCTTGAAGTAGGTGACGTCTTGATGTAGTTGACGTCTTGATGTAGGTGACGTCCTGATGTTGTTGACGTCTTGCTTAAATGACGTCTTGATGTAGCTGACGTCTTGACGTACCTGACGTCTTGATGAAGCTGACGTCTTGTTGTAGCTGACGTCTTGATGTAGGTGACGTCCTGATGTTGTTGACGTCTTGCTTAAATGACGTCTTGATGTACCTGACGTCTTGATGTAGGTGACGTCCTGATGTTGTTGACGTCTTGCTTGTGTGACGTCTTGATGTACCTGACGTCTTGATGTACCTGACGTCTTGATGTACCTGACGTCTTGATGTAGGTGACGTCTTGATGTAGGTGACGTCCTGATGTTGTTGACGTCTTGCTTGTGTGACGTCTTGATGTACCTGACGTCTGTCTCTAACATCCAACAGATGGAAGCCTATCGGCAACATGGCGATGTTCAGGACAGCTGTGGCCGGCACAAGTGTAGACAACTTCCGGTATGAAAATGGCGTCCTGTCCTTTAACAGAGGGAACAAAGGTTTCTTCGCCATGAGCGTCAACAGCTTCAGTATAACGGTCAACACAGGTGAGTGAGCGTCAACAGCTTCAGTATAACGGTCAACACAGGTGAGTGAGCGTCAACAGCTTCAGTATAACGGTCAACACAGGTGAGTGAGCGTCAACAGCTTCAGTATAACGGTCAACACAGGTGAGTGAGCGTCAACAGCTTCAGTATAACGGTCAACACAGGTGAGTGAGCGTCAACAGCTTCAGTATAACGGTCAACACAGGTGAGTGAGCGTCAACAGCTTCAGTATAACGGTCAACACAGGTGAGTGAGCGTCAACAGCTTCAGTATAACGGTCAACACAGGTGAGTGAGCGTCAACAGCTTCAGTATAACGGTCAACACAGGTGAGTGAGCGTCAACAGCTTCAGTATAACGGTCAACACAGGTGAGTGAGCGTCAACAGCTTCAGTATAACGGTCAACACAGGTGAGTGAGCGTCAACAGCTTCAGTATAACGGTCAACACAGGTGAGTGAGCGTCAACAGCTTCAGTATAACGGTCAACACAGGTGAGTGAGCGTCAACAGCTTCAGTATAACGGTCAACACAGGTGAGTGAGCGTCAACAGCTTCAGTATAACGGTCAACACAGGTGAGTGAGCGTCAACAGCTTCAGTATAACGGTCAACACAGGTGAGTGAGCGTCAACAGCTTCAGTATAACGGTCAACACAGGTGAGTGAGCGTCAACAGCTTCAGTATAACGGTCAACACAGGTGAGTGAGCGTCAACAGCTTCAGTATAACGGTCAACACAGGTGAGTGGCTGCATGTGTGTGTGGGGGGGGGGGTAGTTTGTGTGGCGAGGTGTGGGTACTGGTGTGTTGGTTGGTGTGGGTAATTTTTTATTTTATGATTTTATGATTACTTGTATGGATATCCTGTATGGTCACCTGTATGATTACTTGTATGATTACTTGTATTTATTTATATGATTACTTGTATGGATATCCTGTATGGTCACCTGTATGATTACTTGTATTTATTTATATGATTACTTGTATGATTACCTGTATCATTACCTGTATGCCAGGTTTACCTGCCGGCGAGTACTGTGACCTAATTAGCGAATGCGCCAAGAAGATTCGAGTTGACGGAAGCGGTAACGCTCAAGTCAGTCCACAAGATCCATCGGAACCTTTTGTCGCCATCATTACACGTGAGTTGTGTGTGACCTTTAGCGGACATGAGTAAAGTTTTGTGTGGCAGTAGACGTGAGTAAAGTTTTGTGTGACCTCTAGAGGACGTGAGTAAAGTTTTGTGTGACCTTTAGCGGACATGAGTAAAGTTTTGTGTGGCAGTAGACGTGAGTAAAGTTTTGTGTGGCAGTAGACGTGAGTAAAGTTTTGTGTGACCTCTAGAGGACGTGAGTAAAGTTTTATGTGACAGTAGACGTGTTCGATAAGGAAACCTGAGCAGTAAAAATAGCATAAAATGACTTTTAAAATCATGACCACATACAAGGTGTTACAACGTCCTCAAGATGAACCAAATTGTTACTCTGCTAATTACTGATTTGGTTGCTTGCAATATCCTAATGTTTCATCTTTTTATCTGGCAACTTTAAATCAAGTCATTTTTGACCTGGTCATTTGTCTGGACAGAAGGGGGAGACAACATCGTGGTTCCCATAGTAACCAGCAGCCCCGTGGTGACGGCGCCCACCTCGGGCCCCGGCCCCACCCCTGAGCCCGGGCCCACCACGGCCCCCACCACCCAGAAGCCGTATGTGCCCTCTGGCAGCGAGGACTTCAAGAGGACCGTCATCATGGTGGAGAAACAGACAAATCCTGGTCAAGATCTCTTCATTAGGGGAGGTATTGACCACACACAACGACCAGGTGAGGGGTCTTAAGGACAGGTGGGGTTCGTAGGACAGATTGGGATCATAGGGCATGTGAGGGGGTCATAGGATAGGTGGGGGGTCATAGGACAGGTGGGGGTCATAGGACATGTGGTTGGGGTGGTTGGGTAAGCTACACATTTGCACAACTTGAGTTATAGTTTGGTTAAACTTAGCACCTGTTAAAAATTTGATTGACTCTTACACCGGTTACTTTATCTTCCACCTCCAGGATGTTCCGATAGCTCCGCTGTGGCATCGAACCCCTGCAACATTCCCATCAAACACACAGTCGTCTCGACAACAGCACACTACGACAAGGTAGGCGTTGGTTCAAGCAGACAGGTGTATGGGCACTTAATCTGTGGGGATCCTCGTACAGACACGGGGTATCTGAGGGGACCCCTTTCTGCTGGGTACCTGAGGGGACCCCATTCTGCTGGGTACCTGAGGGGACCCCATTCTGCTGGGTACCTGAGGGGACCCCGTTCTGCTGGGTACCTGTTGGTCCGATGACTAATTTAACTCTTCCTGCTATAGTTATTCCCCTTTAATTAAAGACATTGTTACTGGCCCAGGTCAACGCTTGGAGCGTGGGCGACAACTTCCTGGACTGGGGAGGATCCGAACCTGGGCAGGGCTCGTACCTCGGCAAGCCGGCCGACGGTACGCCGGCATTTTGGTCCACCAACGACCGGGCTAACGCGGGATACAGCGCCCTGAACACGTGAGTCACCTTGACCATAACATTTGAGTGACTTTGGCCTTAACCCGTGAGTGGCCTTGACCGCAACACTGTCTGACTTCAACAGGCCACATTGACCCATGACGTAACACATGACGTCATTGACCCATATTTTGTTTGCAGGTATGGCAGCCATTACTGGATCGTCGACTTTCAGATGGATTGTTCTAGAACAGAAAACGAGTTTTTCGAGGTCAAGGCCTTGGTGAATGGAGCCTGGGAGGGGGACATACGAGGGGCCCCCGCGTGCACGGGCCTAGGGTCGGCTGTGAGCCCACCCTACGAGAGCAAGAACCATCTGGCTCGTTGTGGCTACAAGAACGTCTTCCACTTCGGCAGTTCAGCCTGTGAGATAAGCCCCCTGTAGACAGGGTTCAATCCTGCAGGCCCACTGTAGACAGGGGTCTACCTGCAGCCCTGCAAGATAAGCCCACTGTAGACAGGGGTCACACCTGCAGGCCCACTGTAGACAGGGGTCAATCCTGCAGGCCTGCAGGGGTCAAACTTTGTAATTAAAGAAACTTGTAAAATAAAGATTGTTGGGAACTTACAAACTCGAATCATTTTTTTTCTGATTGGACAAAATAGTAGCCCCGTTGTTTTCTGATTGGACAAAATAGTAGCCCCGTTGTTTTCTGATTGGACAAAATAGTAGCCCCGTTGTTTTCTGATTGGACAAAATAGTAGCCCCGTTGTTTTCTGATTGGACAAAATCCAGTTTGACCAGCAAAAGAGGCGACTTGTGTTCTATATAAAACGGTGGCCCAAAATTTAGAACCAGCGCCATGCAGCGGTGGGCCAAGACCTACCTTAATGTGATGGGCCAAGACCTACCTTAATGTGATGGGCCAAGACCTACTTTAGATTGTGGTGGGCCAAGACCTACCTTAACTAATGTGATGGGCCAAGACCTACCTTAATATGGTGGGCCAAGACCTACCTTAATGTGGTGGGCCAAGACCTACCTTAACTAATGTGATGGGCCAAGACCTACCTTAATGTGATGGGCCAAGACCTACCTTAATGTGATGGGCCAAGACCTACCTTAATGTGATGGGCCAAGACCTACTTTAGATTGTGGTGGGCCAAGACCTACCTTAACTAATGTGATGGGCCAAGACCTACCTTAATGTGGTGGGCCAAGACCTACCTTAATGTGGTGGGCCAAGACCTACCTTAATGTGGTGGGCCAAGACCTATCTTAATGTGATGGGCCAAGACCTACCTTAATGTGATGGGCCAAGACCTACCTTAATGTGGTGGGCCAACACCTACCTTAATGTGGTGGGCCAAGACCTATCTTAATGTGGTGGGCCAAGACCTATCTTAATGTGATGGGCCAAGACCTACCTTAATGTGATGGGCCAAGACCTACCTTAATGTGGTGGGCCAAGACCTACCTTAATGTGATGGGCCAAGACCTACCTTAATGTGATGGGCTATGACCTATCTTAGACTGCGGTGGACCAAGACCACCCCTACAGTAGTAGACCAAACATTGAAACACCTAGCTCGTGAGTGACCTCCCCTCCCCTAGCCATAAGCCAGAGAATATGTTGTGCTTTTGGAAAGGGACACGACTGATTTATTTTTTCCCGCACAGGAACAAATCAAAATGCAAATTTGGCGGGATTCTTCGCCGCTCAGCCTTCGCTTGGGTTTAGGGAAAGATCTGAACGTCGGCTCTTGGATTAATCAGAACCCGTTCGGATCGTGTACTCCTTACCTCGGGTGCACCTTAACCAGTGGCGCCCTAACCAATGGTGCACCTTAACCAGTGGCGCCCTAACCAACGGTGCACTTTAACCAGTGGCGCCCTAACCAACACTGCACCTTAACCAGTGGCGCCCTAACCAACACTGCACCTTAACCAGTGGCGCCCTAACCAACGGTGCATTTAAACAATGGCGCCCTAACCTACGGTGCACCCTAACCAGTGGTTTACACTACTGATATGTTTCAACTTTTCTTAACAACACACACTGGACACAGTAACTAAACACTGGACACAGTAACTACACACTGGACACAGTAACTACACACTGGACACAGTAACTACACACTGGACACAGTAACTACACACTGGACACAGTAACTACACACCTCAGATTTCTCTACCAGTCCTCCCAATAAATCAAGCAATAGTAATATCTCCTAAACTCTGAAATACAGGGCTATAAAGTAGGCCTATCAGTCTCTCTCACTGAAAATTCTAAATCTCTTTAGCTAGGGAGATATTTCAATTTTTGAACTAAATTAATTGTTGCAACATGATTCTCATTGATCACAAAAAAACAATCATGGCGGCTCTATGTTACTAGGCCTCGCCTCAATATTTTAAATTTACTAAGATTACCCAAAGTGTAATAATTATAAACATTTTTTTACTAATGATAGAATAAAATCAAGATTAGGTTAATAATATTGTAACTAGCTTAAGGACAACTTGCTAGGGATATCAATTAGTAACTAAAAACTGTAAGCTTCCTTACAAAAATCAACATATTACGAAAGCTATATTTACTTTCTCGTATATACGAAGTATACAGAAAGTATTGTAATCGTGCACAAAAATCACATGAAATTTTGACAGTTTTCACCGCTTTATACCTCAGTCCTTCATCACATCAGGAGTATAGAGGACTTTTTTTAATCGGGCAAAAATTATAAATACAGATGTATCAAAATTTTGGCGTTTTATGCGTAATCGAGTCTGAAAAACTGGGCTTTGTAATTCTGTCGGTATGTCTGTAAACACGATAACTTGAGTACCGTTACAGCTAGGTTGATGAAATTTCATATATAAGTATTTTATCAAAATCGTGGATCCGTATCAACTTGTGAGCGATTTCCGATAACCGGAAGTGGAACTTTTTTCTACTTTGAATTTTAGTACTATTTCGGATAGATAAATGAAATTTCACATGTAAGTAAAAAAAAACTAATTCTCTACCTTCTGTCAAATTTTGAGTAATTTCCGTTGTCCGGAAGTAGTAATTTACGCTCTTTCCGATTTCTCAAAAAACGCATGTAAATTTATAAAGTACTAATATTATTCCGAATAATATAATGGTTTCATATTTGTTTTATTTTTCACATTTTAGTCATTAGTTGTAAATTAAGTTGACACTAGACAGACAACAACTAAACGTATTTTTGTTAAAACCCTACCTGTAGCTTGTGTGCCATCAAAGACAGTTATCTGCCCCTAATTGGGTCATGCCCGACACGCAGACTAGAATCAACCAACCGTGACAGCTCACCGTTGTAAACAAGCTGATCAAGGTACTAAATTTAGACATTTCTAGTTTAAAATTTAATCAATTTTTTCGATTTAATTTAAATTAAAAACTATATTCGTGAATGGTCATAGAAGAAGTATTATCTGGAAAGGAAATCGTTGCATTAGAAGTGGGTCAAAACTGAGTTACAAGATTTGCCACAAACCCACAAAAAGCAAACAGACGTTAAAATAACTGAAAAAAAAAGTGTTGAATTTATCGTGCTTACTTCTAATTCAGGTGTCTAAAAAAATTGGGAGTGCTCTCCCCTAAACTTTCTCGAATATTCTTAGATAACACTGAGGGGAAGGCCAATCGGGATATAGACGTGATTAATAATCAATTTTTAAAAAGATTTTTTTTTTAAAAAAAGCATACAAATCACGTAGAACAAAAAATTGCGCACCAATTGAACAGCAAACAACGTGTGTATAATCGTGCAGGACAAAACACAAACGCAACGCGCAAACACAAAAGAAAAAACAAACACAAACACAAACACAATGCAAACACACACACAAAAAAACACAAACGAAAACGCAAAAGCATAACGTAAACACAACTTAAATGCAAACATATAGTGCTCACAGTCTAGCCCGTGGCGCTAAATCGCACCCGGCCGGGGCGCCGGCTGAACCGCCTGATTCAACTTAGGAAACGACCATAATACCCCAACTTATCCATAAAATAAACAAAAGGCAGTATTTAAAATATCATTGTTTTACCTACCACGGTGCATTTTATCAATCCCAGCTAATTTTAATAGTCTAACAATAATGTCCTCTTGCACTTCCGCAGAATTTGCATTCACATTTTTTTTATTAGTGTGAGTTTAATTTCGTTTTAAATTACCTCCCTTTACAAAATTATAAAAGATTTTAATTAATTAGTTGTTTTTACCCTACTGTTATAACAATGTATCCGATTTTTCTAGTTATCTAAACGAAAATATTATTTGACATTAATCCGTTTAATATGTTTTAGCAATGTGCGTTTATTTAATATTTTATTCACGTTATACAAAAGAGTAAAACCAGTGCCAACTATCCAAAAAGTTAAGTCGTTATATAAATAAACCCTACCCAACTATTTATAATTAGACACTGCGATGCAAGTAAAAAGCACGACATGTAATGTATTTATTTTTTGGTTCCAAAATCTATAGCGATTGAAACACAACCAGCAGTGTTATATTATACAATTTAAATGTTTAATTAACTGAAAAATTAATCTTTGTGTACTTTATCAAACACGACTCTTTGGCTCTATTGTTTGCGTTCATTTGATGCGCAATTCTTTTTCCATACGACTATTCCATTTAAAAAAAATTGAAGTATCAAAACTATATTTGTAAAACATTTATATAGTCGATAGCAGTGTTATATAAGAATATACGAGAACGTTTAAGTAAGAATACTCGCTTTATTTTGTACAATTACATTTCTTACTCTACACTCTTATACCGGAAAGTAAAGTAGGAAAACATGCGCGCGAAGAAAATCTATTTATAGCCCTATAGTAACCGTAGCTGTTGCCAGAAGGCGACGCGTTTATTATGATATGCACATCTTTAATGTCTGCTTGCTGCTCGGGGAATCATTTTTCACAATTTTGTTTGTTGTTCAAGTTTGCGCGCGCTTTCTCTCTGTTCTATTTTTGGCTTAACGCGAGGGCTGGTGTGACGTCAAGGGCTAAATTTATCCAAATTTCTGGTGAACGACGGGAGATCTAGTGGCACATCTCGCCGGAAATAGAATTACTTGTTTACCTTGTTGCTCCCCCTGGCGTTCGAGCATCCCCACCACCCCGCCACCTACATTTGGATGTTTCTTAATGAGAGAACTCAACAATATCAGGAAGCGCAACCAGCATCAGGGGAAGCTACTCGTAAAACCTCGCTGTCAAAGGCGGAAACTCAAAAGTTACAAAGGTGGTGTCTCTTGGGGGGGGGGGGGTAGTGGTGTCTTGTAGGGGGAGGGTGTATGGGGATCTAGGGTTTCTCGAAAGGGGGGGGGGGGGCGTAAGGGGGAATCTGGCGTGTCTCGTAAGGGGGGGGGGGGGGCGTAGCCGGGCATCTGGGGTGTCTCTAATGGGGGGGGGGGGCGTAGGGAGGAAGTAGCCGGGGATGTAGGAGTGTCTCGCTGGGGGAGTGGTGTAGAGAGGGCGTAACCGGGGGTCTGGGGTGTCTCGTAGAGGGGGAGGGCGTAGAGCGGTGTCTCCTCAGGAGCGTAGCCGCTGTTCTGGGGTGTGTTCATGGACAGCACATGAGGTGTTGGTAGAAGGGGTGGCGACACACTTCATGTCCCAGACAGCCACCTCTAGTCGAGTAAAACCATCAGAGATTTGTACAGGGCGCAGTGGTAACCATGGTTACCATGTCGAGTGGTTACCAACGTTTCGGGGTTTTATTTGACGATCTAAACCTTGACTCAAGTTACGAACTTTTTTTTTTCTATATTGACATCATCGGCTATTTCCGGATATCACCGGCTATCTCCGGCTATCTCCGGACATCACCGGCTATCTCCGGACATCACCGGCTATCTCCGGACATCACCGGCTATCAGTGGCTCAGGAGGTGACTCCCATTAGCCAGGCATATTCAACGCGACGAACTCCGACTAACTGGCTTGGGCATTGGTTTGATCACCGTGTATCGGGCGCTCTGTACCTCACTGTCCAGTACCCGGCTCAACAGTAGGGATAGTTCGGACTAAAAGGTTTGAACCAGTAGGGATAGTTCGGACTCAAAGGTTTGAACCAGACCTTCCTTCCTCCGCTGGTACATCGTAAAAAGTTTGACGCGGCGTCCGTAACCGTGACGCAAGGTTTGACTCGGGCACGCCTTCTTAACGCCCCAACACTCATGTCGCAAGCCAAGGGTGTTAAGACTCTGCTGGAGTACACTGACTCGGTGTACGAACTAACTGATGCCAATGACTCGGTGTACGAACTAACGGATGCCAATGATTCGGTGTACAAACTAACTGATGCCAATGACTCGGTGTACGAACTAACTGATGCCAATGACTCGGTGTACGAACTGATGCCAATGACTCGGTGTACGAACTAACTGATGCCAATGTCTCGGTGTACGAACTAACTGATGCTAATGACTCGGTGTACGAACTAACGGATGCCAATGACTCGGTGTACGAACTAACGGATGCCAATGATTCGGTGTACAAACTAACTGATGCCAATGACTCGGTGTACGAACTAAAGTGCAATTCAGTTATATAAAATGCCAACTACCATATATAGAGATATGGAGACAGGTATGTTCTTGTATGCTGATGCGGTTCGTTTCTCACAAATGTTAGATAAGTCTTATCTCAATAGCTCTCAGTTGTCTTTATAGGGCTCTCGAACTGACGACATGATGCCAATGACTCGGTGTACGAACCAACGGATGCCAATGATTCGGTGTACAAACTAACTGATGCCAATGACTCGGTGTACGAACTAAAGTGCAATTCAGTTATATAAAATGCCAACTACCATATATAGAGATATGGAGACAGGTATGTTCTTGTATGCTGATGCGGTTCGTTTCTCACAAATGTTAGATAAGTCTTATCTCAATAGCTCTCAGTTGTCTTTATAGGGCTCTCGAACTGACGACATGATGGGGACCAAACTAAACATGTGACGGCAAATAAAACGTGACAGTTACAGATTTTATCAAAACCCAAAAATACAAACAGGCTACAACCCCTGACCCCCCCCCCCCTCCCTCACACACCCCCTCCCTCGGCCCTCGAGTTTTGAAAGTTATGACCCTCGCCACAAGGGCAACTTGTTATTAACGGCGTCCCCCGTGGCTGGGGCGGCCACACCAAACCAATCACCACACGAACACGTGGTGCGCGTCCTTCCGCTCACCACCCCACATGTGGCGAGCAGACGACGGCTGGCGGGCAACAGGTGGCGGGCAGAAGTCAGCCTCAGTTTCGTCCAACTATCACAGTAGTCGTGCACGCGAATATCTGCATGCAGGGTCTTGTTTGTTGATATTCATCATATCGATTCCAATTTTTTTAAATGGCATCGGTATCGTAATAGACAGCGTGGGAGTTGGGGTAATTGAACTAATTGGAAATAATTAAACGGTGCGCACACAATTTAGCAGCTTCTTTGATGCCCGTAGTAACGCGAAGAGTTTTTTTAAAACAGGGGATGTAATCAATGCAAGTCATATCTTCATGCCACGCCCTAGCACGCACTAATCTAGTCCGGAACTTAATTCCTTGTACATTGGGCGCTGCAAGTACTCTGTGGTGATCTCCCTTGCGGATATTTGTGGTGATCTCCCTTGTCGAGATTTATGGTGGTCTCCCTTGTCGAGATTTGTGTTAATTTCCCGTGAGTGGATTTGAAAGATATTTTTAAAACCGTGCGGGAAGCGATTGTTCATTTTCTTTTGGATATTTTCTAATTGAATTAGTTTTATTGTGTATCAGTTTACGTTTTTATGAATTGATGTTTTGGTTTGTTGAATTATTTGAATTGAGTAAGGACACCAAAAACACAGAGGTAAGATACTTTTCTTCTAATTAACGTGTAATCAATCTAATAATTAGCTAAGTGTGTCCAGTTGCAGCTTTTTATACTGAAACTATAATAATAGATCAAAAGATTCTTGTCTTATAAGTACCTAGGGTGGACCAACCATTCCATCGTTTGGTCAGCCCATGTAGTTGCCGTGAACCTTAACCTTTGGGACTGACCTAGACATCTGAAAACTTAACAAAACACGTTGCAAACCAAATAATTGTGATACCTCTGCACCGATCATAATTAAATTTAGCTAATTACTTCCATTTGTTTCCCGCTAATTTGCCGTTGATATCTGGGTCACAAGTTAGCTCAGAGTTCAGAATACAGAGGTGAGATCTTGGTCACAAGTTAGCTCAGAGTTCAGAATACAGAGGTGAGATCTTGGTCACAAGTTAGCTCAGAGTTCAGAATACAGAGGTGAGATTTAAATGCCTTATTGGGCTAACATTATTTCATTCTTATAATTGGCATTATTTGTTTTGTTTGTTTTTTTTTGGGGGGGGGGGGGGAGGGGGGGGGGAGAGAAAATAACATTGAAATAATCAACATCATTTTTAACCCCTACTACATCATCATCTTTAACCTCTCTAACAACAACATCTTTAACCTCTCTAACAACAACATCTTTAACCTCTCTAACAACAACATCTTTAACCTCTCTAACAACAACATCTTTAACCTCTCTAACAACAACATCACCGTCAATCTCAAGCACTCCTAAATTTTCAACACGTTTAGCACCACAAGTAATGTCCCTGTCGTTTTAGGGGAGGCGAGTTAGAGCTACGTGGAGGTAGGGACTTAGGGGAGGTTAACTAGAACTAAGTGGAGATAGGGACTTAGGGGAGGTGAATTAGAGCTAAGTGGAGATAGGGACTTAGGGGAGGTGAATCAGAGCTAAGTGGAGATAGGGACTTAGGGGAGGTGAATTAGAGTTCATCTGAGCTACGTGGAGATAGGGACTTAGGGGAGGTGAATTAGAGCTAAGTGGAGATAGGGACTTAGGGGAGGTGAATTAGAGCTAAGTGGAGATAGGGACTTAGGGGAGGTGAATTAGAGTTCATCTGAGCTACGTGGAGATAGGGACTTAGGGGAGGTGAATTAGAGCTAAGGGGAGATAGGGACTTAGGGAGGTGAATCAGAACTAAGTGGAGATAGGGACTCACTTAAATTCGGGATCCGAACTCGAGACTTTCGGCTAGCGATTGTTGTCTCAGTATCCGACCACACCTTCTCACCTTTCAACAGGTAATTGCATTGGATAATTTAAAAGACATGTGTATCATAATGAGAGGATGTTTATTTTGTAGTTGATGCTAACTAAATGCTTGTTCACATGTGTGAATTTGTTAGAGACGAAATGAGCTCCGAATAGCACATAAAGAAACATTACTCGTATATGTATGGTGGGCTAACATTGTTCATATATGTATGGTGGGCTAACAATACTAACATTGCTCGTACATGTATAGTGGGCTGATTATAAAGAAACATTACTCGTACATGTATGGGGGATAATTAACAAGAAACTTTACTTGTACATGTATGGGGGATAATTAACATGAAACATTGCAAGTCCACTGTTTACACGGTTGTTAAAGATAAACTGTTTCAAAGGTGATGTGTCTCAGGTCAATGTGTCTCAGGTGGCCAATGTGTCTCAGGTCAATGTGTCTCAAGTCAATGTGTCTCAGGTCAACGTGTCACATGTCAATGTGTCTCAGGTGGCCAATGTGTCTCAGGTGGCCAATGTGTCTCAGGTCAATGTGTCTCAAGTCAATGTGTCTCAAGTCAATGTGTCTCAGGTCAATGTGTCTCAAGTCAATGTGTCTCAGGTCAACGTGTCACAGGTCAACGTGTCTCAAGTCAATGTGTCTCAGGTGGCCAATGCGTCTCAAGTCAATGTGTCTCAAGTCAATGTGTCTCAAGTCAATGTGTCTCAGGTCAATGTGTCTCAGGTCAATGTGTCACAGGTCAATGTGTCTCAAGTCAATGTGTCTCAGGTCAACGTGTCACAGGTCAACGTGTCTCAAGTCAATGTGTCTCAGGTGGCCAATGTGTCTCAGGTCAATGTGTCTCAGGTGGTCAATGTGTCTCAGGTGGTCAATGTGTCTCAGGTGGTCAATGTGTCTCAGGTCAATGTGTCTCAGATACTGTCATATCTAGCCTTCCCATGATGATTTTGTCACTGTCACGTGATTTATACTTACCTGTTTTCATGTGATTTTTATTTTATTTTTTACAGACCAGGATATCTGGAGCATGCGCTGTGAACGAGGTAGGATATCAACCAATCAAATCATGGCGAATCTCAGTTATCTACACAGACGCCATTTAGCTGGATATTAGTAGGACCCGAGAATATTTGCTGTTGACTCTTCACACCGTGAGACGGTCGGGGCACTACCTGCACTCTGCGACCCTCTGGACCTCCATCAGCATGCGTCAGACCGCCTCCCCCCTGGGGTCGTCCCCCCTCTGGTCAGTGGTCATCCTGCTGGTGCTGACCCCCGCCTTGGCCATGGCCCAACTCACGCCCAGCCAGGCCAGAAGCTTCAAGCACCTGGCCGGCGACATAGACCAGTTCGTCCACCATATTCTGGCATGCCACCAGTCCCCGGCCTTGACCTTGGCCGTGGTCAAGGACGGCCACGTCGTGCTCACCAAAGGCTATGGTAACACCAGCACCAACAAATCTAGGCCAACTACAGCCAAAACGAGGTTCGCGATTGCGTCATTGACCAAGGCCTTTACAGCCACCCTCATCGCTAGGTGGGTGCACTCTCAGAAGAAGTAAGTCACCTTTGTATTCAGTCACATAAGTCACCTTTGTATTCAGTCACATAAGTCAACTTTGTATTCAGTCACTTAAGTCAACTTTGTATTCAGTCACATAAGTCACCTTTGTATTCAGTCACATAAGTCACCTTTGTATTAAGTCACATAAGTCACCTTTGTATTCAGTCACATAAGTCACATTAGTGTTCAGTCAAATAAGTCACCTTTGTATTCAGTCACATAAGTCACCTTTGTATTAAGTCACATAAGTCACCTTTGTATTCAGTCACATAAGTCACATTTGTGTTCAGTCAAATAAGTCACCTTTGTATTCAGTCACATAAGTCACCTTTGTATTCAGTCACTTAAGTCACCTTTGTATTCAGTCACATAAGTCACCTTTGTATTCAGTCACATAAGTCACCGTTGTATTCAGTCACATAAGTCACCTTTGTATTCAGTCACATGTGTATTCAGTCACGTAAGTTACATTTGAATTGTAAAGTCAGTCATAATTGTATTAAGTGAATAGTTCTCTTCAGTCAGTCTTTGTGTGGTACACATCACGTGGTGCCCGTAATGTTTTGGGTGGGATTTAAAATTCAAATGATGTGGTCACATGCTCACAAGAGTCGTCTGCTGATGTTTTCTAATGGCGGCAAATTTAGATGACCGCTGTGTAGTCGCTAGTTCTAGCCAGAGTCTGGACATGTTGGTGGCTGGCTAGCTGTTTAGGGGAGGGGGGGGGGGGTCCATACTACTTAATTTGTGTGTGCCGGGCAGCCGTTGAGGTAAGGGGGGGGGGTGACCGTTATTTTCTCGACCCCCCCCCCACACACACACACTGTGATGTATAAGTAGCTGCTTGCAGAGTTCCCCTGGGAGCCGTAAGGTGGCTCTAGAATAGATTTCTTCCCTACCCCCACCCCCACATCCCACACCAACCGCTTGACAAGGGACCAGTACTAAACAAGAATGCGTATAGAACCAAATTAGGCTACGTGTGGTTTATTGCAGCAATATAGCACCCCCCACATCCCTAGCCACATCCCTACCCAGTCATTTACACTTGACTGGACATCACATGCCATTTATTGGACTTACAAAAGTGCCGCGTTCGAAAATCATGATCAAGTGGCCCATATAATTCCTGCATATTATCAAGTGGCCCATATGATTCCTGTATATAATCAAGTGGCCCATATGATTGCTGTATATGATCAAGTGGCCCATATGATTGCTGTATATAATCAAGTGGCCCATATGATTCCTGTATATAATCAAGTGGCCCATATGATTGCTCCCCCTAAAATTATCCCAATCCTAAACACTAAATTTATCATTATTACTATCGCTATCCCTATCCCTAATCCTAATCCTAACCATATCCCTATCCCTAATTCTAACCATATCCCCCTCTCTATCCCTAATACTAACCATACCCCCATCCCTAATCCTAATCATAACCATATCCCTATCCCTAATACTATTCCTTACCTTAAGACTAAAATGTTGTATCGAGTTAGAAATGACAGGATGACATTGTATCGAGTTAGAAATGACAAGATGACATTGTGTCCAGTTTGAAATGACCGGTTGACATTGTGTCAAGTTAGAAATGACAAGATGACATTGTGTCCAGTTGGAAATGACAAGATGACATTAGAAAATCTGTGTACTGATGCAGATGTTAATGTAGATGAGGTCATTGACCTTTGTTTACTTCCTGTTTCGTGTCGCGATCAGCGGATATGACGTCAGATTTCATCTAGGGTGGGGAGGGGGATAGGACGATCACGCAATCTCTGACGTCACTCTAATTAAAATATTGACAAGCGATTGGACCGTATTTAATGAAATAACCCGAGCAGCGGCCCTCTATGTGGCTCTGGTGACGTCAGAGCTGGTCCTGTCAGCCGAGGTCAGGAATCTGATTTTTGACACCCCCCCCCACACACACCCACACACACCCTCACACACCCACACACCCACACACACACACCCTCACACACCCTCACACACACACACACACTCACACCCTCACACACCCACACACACCCTCACACACACACCCACCCACACACACACCCTCACACACACACACACACCCTCACACACCCTCACACACACACACACACACTCACACCCTCACACACCCACACACACCCTCACACACACACCCACCCACACACACACACCCTCACACACCCACACACACCCTCACACACACACCCACCCACACACACACACCCTCACACGCACCCACCCACACACACACACCCTCACACACACCCACCCACACACACACACCCTCACACACACCCTCACACACACACACACCCTCACACACACCCTCACACACGCACACACCCTCACACACACCCACCCCCCACCCACCCACACACACCCCATACACACACTCTCTCACACACACACACACAACCCACCCCCACCCCCTCAATACTCTGTTGAATGATTTTTAATTCAATTGGTTTTCTTTGGTGTTTCATAGTTGTTTTTTACTTTCTCATATAGAGGAGGCAAAAAATCGAAATTTAGATTTTCACAAATATAGACGTTTTAGACCTCCCTAAGTCCGAAAAACTAAATTTCGCAATTCTGTCTCTGTGTGTGTCTGTCTGTGTGTGTGCATGTGCGTGTGCGTGGACGTGGACGTGTATAAACACGATAACTTGAGTACCGTTACAGCTAGGTTGATGAAATTTCATATATAAGTATAATATCAAATCTGCAGTTTGTATCAACTTTTCAGCGATTTCCGGTAACTAGAAGTGGAATTTATTCTACTTTTGTTTTTTCAAAAGCCTATAACTTGAGTACTGTTTCTGACAGATGACATTTCACACATAAGAAAAAAAAAAAAAAAAAAAAAACATGCCTTCTCTGTTTACTTTCAAATTTGGATGAATTCCGGTGACCGGAAGTAGTAATTTACGTTATTTCCGATTTCACAAAAATTGTTTGCATTTCAGTGGTGCGCAATACTTTTTTCTAGTATATTCTATTCTATTTTTAAACTTTAAATAATTAAAATTGATTTAAAAAATCATGTCTATATCACGAGTTGCCATCCCGCGTAATGTTTTATAAGAATATTCGAGAAAGTTTAGGGGAAATCACTCCCACTTTATTTCTAAAGTTATCCTCTAGCCCCCACTGCTAAAGTTATCCTCTACCCCCAATGCTAAAGTTATCCTCTACCCCCACTGCTAAAGTTATCCTCTATCCCCACTGCTAAAGTTATCCTGTAATCACCACTGCTAAAGTTATCCTCTACCCCCAATGCTAAAGTTATCCTCTAGCCCCCACTGCTAAAGTTATCCTCTACCCCCACTGCTAAAGTTATCCTCTATCCCCACTGCTAAAGTTATCCTCTATCCCCCACTGCTAAAGTTATCCTCTAGCCACCACTGCTAAAGTTATCCTCTAGCCACCACTGCTAAAGTTATCCTCTACCCCCAATGCTAAAGTTATCCTCTAGCCCCCACTGCTAAAGTTATCCTCTAGCCACCACTGCTAAAGTTATCCTCTAGCCCCCACTGCTAAAGTTATCCTCTAGCCCCCACTGCTAAAGTTATCCTCTAGCCACCACTGCTAAAGTTATCCTCTAGCCACCACTGCTAAAGTTATCCTCTAGCCACCACTGCTAAAGTTATCCTCTAGCCCCCACTGCTAAAGTTATCCTCTAGCCACCACTGCTAAAGTTATCCTCTAGCCACCACTGCTAAGTTATCCTCTAGCCACCACTGCTAAAGTTATCCTCTACCCCCACTGCTAAAGTTATCCTGTAATCACCACTGCTAAAGTTATCCTCTATCCCCCACTGCTAAAGTTATCCTCTACCCTCAAGGCTAAAGTTATCCTCTACCCCCACTGAATTGCTTCCCTAAAACTGGTCCGAAGAAATCGAGCCGTCAATGTGACGATTTTTGATATCCCAAAATACACCGCGTGAAGATTGTGTGGGCGTGGTCAAGAGGTCATTGTTGGGCGTAGAGTGCGGGGGTGGGGGTGGGTGCAGGAACGTATCTGTCCGCAACACAAGGGAGACAAGATTAATTACTGAATGTAAGGGACACAATTCGCGCTTTACAGCCCGGCCGTAACTCGCTGGTGTGGGTGGAGATGGAACTCAGTGAGTCGAAACGGGCGCGTCGAGTAAGGGAGGGGTTGGCGTCGAGTAGGGGGGGGGGCGTCGAGTAAGGGGGGTGGGCGAACATATTTTTATACATGGTCTCTTACCCCCCCCCCCCCACCCCACCCCCGTGGAGAGGTAGGACGTGACACAGATCGCCACACCGATCTCTTCTTCGTCATGGTTTCCATGTGGGGCAGATGAAGTAGAGTTCGTCTGTTTTAATGACCTCAGCACTATGTCCAGTCAGGTAACGTCAGGTAGGTAGCCATCAGGTAGCATCGGGTAGCTCTCAGTGATTTCGTCAACCCCCCCCCCCCCACCCCCTCTGTCGATATGGCATTCGTGTTGATATACACCGTACAGACTAATGATACACAATATACAGTCTGTTTATATACATCGTACTGACTGCTGATATACTGTACCGGCTGTTGATAAACAGCAGGCTGTTGATATACTGTGCAGGCTGTTGATATACTGTGCAGGCTGTTGATATACTCTAAAGATCATGGACACAATGCGCAGGCCGATATTAACATCCAAAAGTCCCTCTCTTGCCGTCCGTCTGTCCGGATTAGGAAGGGGCTGATTGGGCAGCAGCCAAGGGCCCCGTTACTTTAAAATCCACAAATCCGTCAATATAAGTAAACAATTGTTCTACGTATTAGTATTAGATGGATATAAAGTATAAACAAAGAGTAAAAAAAGTTCTATAGTCTGAAGCATATTACGTTGATAGAATTTGTATTTTAGATAAAATGGCAGAAAACTCAAAATAAAATGTGTGGTGTTTTAAACGTGTAATTTAATACCCAATTTGTCTCAGCCATTTTGTTTTTGCCATCATCTCATTCACCTCACCAAGAACCCAGACGTTCGCGATGTGTTTAAAGTTTCTGGTCCATCATCGACTTTAGTTCAAGTCAGAGATTTGACCAATCACGTGGGTTCGTGTGTGCACGTATGCTGGAGACAACCGAATTGTTCTATAGAAGATCGTGCTTAATAAGCTTCTAATAACCCAGTTCTCGCAATGAAATTGCATTGAATGCGACAGATACAAATTAATTACGCTCCACTAGCCTACATTGTGACAAGCCCGAATCATTCCGTACGGCTGCGTGGAACATAAAGGGATTGCGTGGAGATGTTGCTGAATCTGATTTTTGTTTTGTGTCAGTAAGACTCAGTTAAATGTTCGCTCTTTTTTACATTTGAATACTTTTTCTGTAGCCAGGGGTACATCCAAATTGTTTGTTTGTCCATCGGTCTGTCTACCTGTCGGTCTTTCTAGTCTGTCCAGTCTGACTGTGAGGTTTTTTATTTAAAATTTTGAAACTCCGTTTTTTCTCATGATCACAGGATTAAATACAAATATCTTAAGATTACTGGATTAAATACAAATATCTTAAGATTACTGGATTAAATACAAATATCTTAAGATTACTGGATTAAATACAAATATCTTAAGTCGAGTAAAGTGGCCAAACTAGGCAGTCATTAAAACAAGATGGCGGCATGTTTTTGTTGAACATGATTCCCGTGCCTTTGCTGGTTGTATTGTGTGTCTCGTTTTTGGAACCTCCGTTTTTTTTCATTCCAACAATCTTCCGTTCTAAAAATAGGTTGTAGGCGTGGGTGTGGGGGGGGGGGGGGGGGGGGTGGTGGCTGATATATGTGAACGTTAATATCTGGTGGCGTCTCCCAGAAAGTTATAAGAATCTAATAGGCATCGAAGGATTTAGCCAAGGGAGTGAATCAATACCAGAACTCGGGGTGTAAGGAGTTATCTGGATTGTTTAATCAATTGGGTAATAGCGGGCGTGGGTGGGAGAGATCTATTTGTGTGTGTTGGGGGGGGGGGGGGGGGCTGGTGGGATGTGTCGTGTAGGACTGGGTGTTGGTGGGCTGGTGGGCTTGTGGGCTGTGTCGTGTAGGGCTGGGTGTTGGTGGGATGTGTCGTGTAGGGCTGGGTGTTGGTGGGATGTGTCGTGTAGGGCTGGGTCGGCTGTGTCGTGTAGGACTGGGTGTTGGTGGGATGTGTCGTGTAGGGCTGGGTATTGGTGGGATGTGTCGTGTAGGACTGTGTGTTGGTGGGCTGTGTCGTGTAGGGCTGGGTCGGCTGTGTCGTGTAGGGCTGGGTGTTGGTGGGATGTGTCGTGTAGGGCTGGGTATTGGTGGGATGTGTCGTGTAGGACTGTGTGTTGGTGGGCTGTGTCGTGTAGGGCTGGGTCGGCTGTGTCGTGTAGGGCTGGGTGTTGGTGGGATGTGTCGTGTAGGGCTGGGTATTGGTGGGATGTGTCGTGTAGGACTGGGTGTTGGTGGGCTGTGTCGTGTAGGGCTGGGTGTTGGTGGGATGTGTCGTGTAGGACTGGGTGTTGGTAGGCTGTGTCGTGTAGGGCTGGGTCGTCTGTGTCGTGTAGGACTGGGTGTTGGTGGGGGATGTGTCGTGTAGGACTGGGTGTTGGTGGGGGATGTGTCGTGTAGGGCTGGGTGTTGGTGGGGGATGTGTCGTGTAGGACTGGGTGTTGGTAGGCTGTGTCGTGTAGGGCTGGGTCGTCTGTGTCGTGTAGGACCGAGTGTTGGTGGGATGTGTCGTGTAGGACTGGGTGTTGGTGGGATGTGTCGTGTAGGGCTGGGTCGTCTGTGTCGTGTAGGACTGGGTGTTGGTGGGATGTGTCGTGTAGGGCTGGGTGTTGGTGGGCTGTGTCGTGTAGGACTGAATGTTGGTGGGGGATGTGTCGTGTAGGACTGGGTGTTGGTGGGGGATGTGTCGTGTAGGGCTGGGTCGTCTGTGTCGTGTAGGACTGGGTGTTGGTGGGATGTGTCGTGTAGGGCTGGGTGTTGGTGGGCTGTGTCGTGTAGGACTGAATGTTGGTGGGGGATGTGTCGTGTAGGACTGGGTGTTGGTGGGATGTGTCGTGTAGGACTGGGTCGTCTGTGTCGTGTAGGACCGAGTGTACATGTAAATACTTTCCAGCACGGACCAAGGACATCAACGATGACGTAACCAACCCCCCCCCCCCCCTCCACTGCACCCCCACCCACTTCATACTTAGTTTAATTTGCGAGTATTATTTCACGTTACCAAATCCTTGGAGAGAAGATCAATTTTAAATTTAACTTTTTGTTTTTGTTTCCTCATTATTTTAATAGCTGCATATTCTATTTTTAGTATCACTATGGATTCACCAATCAAATCGTTCTACCCAGAGTTCCGAGTGATAGATGACCTGCGCAGTGAGACAGCCACCTTTCGAGATCTACTGGCCCATAGGATGGGGGTCCCGTCCTACTTCAAGCCACTAGTCATGGGCTACCCCAGCGACATGACGCGTGATATGCTGGCTCAGTAAGTTTACCTGTCTAGTTTACCTGGCTATTTTACCTGCCTAGTTTACCTGGCTAGTTTACCTGGCTAGTTTACCTGGCTAGTTAACATGTCTAGTTTACCTGTCTAGTTTACCTGGCTAGTTTACCTGACTAGTTTACCTGGCTAGTTTACCTGGCTAGTTTACCTGCCTAGTTTACCTGCCTAGTTTACCTGGCTAGTTTACCTGGCTAGTTTACCTGGCTAGTTAACATGTCTAGTTTACCTGTCTAGTTTACCTGGCTAGTTTACCTGGCTAGTTTACCTGCCTAGTTTACCTGGCTAGTTAACCTGGCTAGTTTACATGTCTAGTTTACCTGCCTAGTTTACCTGGCTAGTTTACCTGACTAGTTTACCTGGCTAGTTTACCTGGCTAGTTTACCTGGCTAGTTTACCTGGCTAGTTAACCTGTCTAGTTTACCTGTCTAGTTTACCTGGCTAGTTAACCTGTCTAGTTTACCTGTCTAGTTTACCTGGCTAGTTTACATGTCTAGTTTACCTGCCTAGTTTACCTGGCTAGTTTACCTGACTAGTTTACCTGGCTAGTTTACCTGCCTAGTTTACCTGGCTAGTTTACCTGGCTAGTTAACCTGTCTAGTTTACCTGTCTAGTTTACCTGTCTAGTTTACCTGGCTAGTTTACATGTCTAGTTTACCTGCCTAGTTTACCTGGCTAGTTTACCTGGCTAGTTTACCTGCCTAGTTTACCTGGCTAGTTTACCTGGCTAGTTTACCTGGCTAGTTTACATGTCTAGTTTACCTGCCTAGTTTACCTGGCTAGTTTACCTGGCTAGTTTACCTGGCTAGTTTACCTGCCTAGTTTACCTGGCTAGTTTACCTGTCTAGTTTACCTGACTAGTTTACCTGGCTAGTTTACCTGCCTAGTTTACCTGGCTAGTTTACCTAGCTAGTTTACCTGTCTAGTTTACCTGTCTAGTTTACCTGGCTAGTTACCACTGGCCCACCATGTGATTAACCCCGTGTTTCTTGTGGTCCAGGCGACTGGCCCACATGCCCACAGACCTCCAGTTCCGCCACAAGCTGGTCTACAACAACTACATGTACACCCTCGCCGCCCACGTGCTCGAGAAGATGTCAGCTGACCGGAAGTGGGAGGAGCTGCTGAGGGAGGCTATCCTACGACCTCTGGAGATGAGTGGCACCGGGTACCTGGAGGACGTCAACAATTTCTCGGACTTTGCCCTGCCCTGCGACCTGGTCAATGGAACCATGGTCGACCTCTCGCCGGAACTCTTTAAGTAAGGATTTGTGTCACGTGCTTTCATTCCATCCAATCACAGGCCTGTAGAAAGTGAAGTCATATTTCTCACCTGTAAATAATTGCACAAAAAAGTTACCTCACATGTAGAACGATGACCTAACTTTGTCTCACCTGTAGAACGATGACCTATCCTTTGTCTCACCTGTAGAACGATGACCTAACCTTTGTCTCACCTGTAGAACGATGACCTATCCTTTGTCTCACCTGTAGAACGATGACCTAAACTTTGTCTCACCTGTAGAACGATGACCTAACCTTTGTCTCACCTGTAGAACGATGACCTATCCTTTGTCTCACCTGTAGAACGATGACCTAAACTTTGTCTCACCTGTAGAACGATGACCTAACCTTTGTCTCACCTGTAGAACGATGACCTATCCTTTGTCTCACCTGTAGAACGATGACCTAACCTTTCTCTCACCTGTAGAACGATGACCTAACCTTTGTCTCACCTGTAGAACGATGACCTAAACTTTGTCTCACCTGTAGAACGATGACCTAACCTTTGTCTCACCTGTAGAACGATGACCTATCCTTTGTCTCACCTGTAGAACGATGACCTATCCTTTGTCTCACCTGTAGAACGATGACCTAACCTTTGTCTCACCTGTAGAACGATGACCTAACCATTGTCTCAACTGTAGAACGATGACCTATCCTTTGTCTCACCTGTAGAACGATGACCTAACCTTTGTCTCACCTGTAGAACGATGACCTTTGTCTCACCTGTAGAACGATGACCTAACCTTTGTCTCACCTGTAGAACGATGACCTTTGTCTCACCTGTAGAACGATGACATAACTTTGTCTCACCTGTAGAACGATGACCTATCCTTTGTCTCACCTGTAGAACGATGACCTAACCTTTGTCTCACCTGTAGAACGATGACCTAACCATTGTCTCAACTGTAGAACGATGACCTATCCTTTGTCTCACCTGTAGAACGATGACCTAACCTTTGTCTCACCTGTAGAACGATGACCTTTGTCTCACCTGTAGAACGATGACCTAACCTTTGTCTCACCTGTAGAACGATGACCTTTGTCTCACCTGTAGAACGGTGTCGCCGTGTGGACCTGCCGGCTCAGTGTACTCTAACGCCGAAGACATGGCCAAGTGGATGACCTTCCTGCTGTCCGGTGGCCTTGGACCCCGGGGAACGCGGGTCGTCGACCCTGAGGTCATCAGACTGACCTTTGAGCCGGTGATGATCTCGACCCTGCCCTTCCAGGAACTGAACAAGCCCCACTGCCCCGTGGGTCATGTGACCTTGAGCTATGACATGGGCTGGGTCACGGCCAACTACAGAGGTCAGTCAAGGTTATAGCCTTACGTTGTCACATAAATTACGTTCAATTATAGCCGAACAGCTTAAATGTAGTATTAACCCTGCACCGACCTCCCCCCCCCCCTCCCCAGGTTACAGGCAGGTGTACCACACAGGTGGAATAGTGACCCACTCGTCCAGACTCTGGCTCTACCCTGACATGAAGGCTGGCATCTACATCAGTGTCAATGGCCCGCAGGAGAAGAACGACAAGAAGAATCTCTTGGAGTGAGTTGGATGTGTGGGAGTTGGTGTGGGTGGTTGCGTGGGTGGTTGTGTGGGTGGTTGTGTGGATGGTTGTGTGGGTGGTTGTAACTTATGTATCTGACGCCTGACTCATGTATCTGACGCCTGACTCAAGTATCTGACGCCTGACTCAAGTATCTGACGCCTGACTCATGTATCTGACGCCTGACTCATGTATCTGACGCCTGACTCATGTATCTGACGCCTGACTCATGTATCTGACGCCTGACTCATGTATCTGACGCCTGACTCAAGTATCTGACGCCTGACTCATGTATCTGACGCCTGACTCATGTAAGTGACGCCCCTCTCAAGTATCTGACGCCTGACTCAAGTATCTGACGCCTGACTCAAGTATCTGACGCCTGACTCATGTATCTGACGCCTGAATCAAGTATCTGTCGCCTGACTCATGTATCTGACGCCTGACTCATGTATCTGTCAGGTCACTGATGTACTACGCCTCCGACCTACTTCTGAACGAGCCGGCATGGTTGAACCGGTCACTGGCCTGCCCGGACCTGTCCTCTCGCCAGCAGACGACCTCCTCTGACAGCCAACCCCGCCCCACCCACCCCGCCGACCCGGCGCCCACAAACCGCACCCCCCACGAGAGCTACAACTTGACGGCAGGCCGCGACAACCTACAGGACTTTGTGGGGGAGTTCTGGCACCAATGTTTCGGCCTCATCGAGATTCTCCTCAGCCAATCAAACGACAGCCTCGTCTTCAAATTCGGCCGTTTCGGTTGGATGAATTTAAAGCGCGTCTCTGACCTTGAGTTTCAAGGTCTCTACTACGGCCCCCTGAGCTTCTTGAACTCTCACGAGACTGAGCTGATCTCGTTCGCCAGGAACTCTCGCGGGACTGTGGACGTGGTTATGGTCGACCTTGACGACGACAAACTGATCGCGTTCAGGCGACGTCATGCCAACACTGACGGCACTGGGGAGAGAACATTCGAGAACAGTAGCGGACGGCTACACCTGGCCCCGCCCACCAGGCTACACGTAGCCCTACAAACATGGACCCTTCTAGTTTTCCTTATATCTTGTTATGTCTAGATCTCGTCGCGTCGAACTGGTTTTAAATTATTTTTATATTGGTGCTTTCCTACATGCTCCTGGTGTATTTGTCTTCAATTGGTGACATTTTCATGTGTACATTTGATATAGGTGACAATATTTTCATGTGTACATTTGTCTGATATAGGTGACAATATTTTCATGTGTACATTTGTCTGATATTGGTGAATATTTTCATGTGTACGTTTTATGTTGGTGACAATATTTTCATGTGTACATTTGATATTGGTGACAATATTTTCATGTGTACGTTTGATATTGGTGACAATATTTTCATGTGTATATTTGTTTGATATTGGTGACAATATTTTCATGTGTACATTTGATATAGGTGACAATATTTTCATGTGTACATTTGTTTGATATTGGTGACAATATTTTCATGTGTACATTTGATATAGGTGACAATATTTTCATGTGTACATTTGTCTGATATTGGTGACAATATTTTCATGTGTACATTTGATATTGGTGACAATATTTTCATGTGTACATGTGATATTGGTGACAATATTTTCATGTGTACATTTGATATTGGTGACAATATTATCATGTGTACATTTGATATAGGTGACAATATTTTCATGTGTACATTTGATATTGGTGACAATATTTTCATATGTACATTTGATATTGGTGACAATATTTTCATGTGTACATTTGATATAGGTGACAATATTTTCATGTGTACATTTGTCAGATATTCTGTATTATCCTGCTGCCATTTAACCTTTTGCTAATTTGTTAATTAATGATCTCGTGTTAATCATTGGCTAGGATCTGGTAGAAATATATAGGTCATCTTATTTGTAACTAATGTACCTATCTGCAGACTCCTTGTCTCATATTTTCCTATGGTTAAATTTCTAACTGTTCAATCATTTATCAGATTTCTGATTGTTCAACCATTTATCAACTTTCTAATGTTCAATTATTCAGGCGTTATTGCATCAAGTGGTCAACCCATCATTTTGTTCTGTCATTATATTTGGTTGTCTGTCTATAAATGACGTCATCATGAGAATGGCTTAGAGTAAGGTCGCTGAATACAACACACAATCCTTTGTATATATTCACCCCACAATCTTCTGGTCACAATCACGGGCACACAATCTTCATTTCACCAAACATAACACCCAAACAATCTTCCAATCACAACAACCATACAATCATTCCTTCACAATCATGAGCACCATATTTTTATCACAATCTTCCATTGCTAGCAGTCCGACGCTCACAAAACTACCTCCCTCACAAAACTACCTCCCTCACAAAACTACCTCCCTCACAAAACTACCTCCCTCACAAAACTACCTCCCTCACAAAACTACCTCCCTCACAAAACTACCTCCCTCACAAAACTACCTCCCTCCCAAAACTACCTCCCTCACAAAACTACCTCCCTCACAAAACTACCTCCCTCCCCTCACAAAATTACCTCCCTCACAAAACTACCTCCCTCACAAAACTAGCTCCCTCACAAAACTAGCTCCCTCACAAAACTACCTCCCTCCCCTCACAAAATTACCTCCCTCACAAAACTACCTCCCTCACAAAACTAGCTCCCTCACAAAACTACCTCCATCACAGAACTACCTCTGTCATAGAGTTATAACACCCTCTGTCAAGACGCTCTGTCAACACGCTCTGTCAACACGCTCTGTCAACACGCTCTGTCAACACGCTCTGTAATCGAGCTGGCTACACGCCTGTGGTGTGTCGCTCAACATAAAAACAACACATGTGTACTGTGCACTTTTGTCACATCAAATTTCCTACTGTATGTTTACAAACTTTGATGACGAATAAAGTTCATTTCAAATTGTCGTTTCGCTTTGATGATAAATGTTTGTGCAAGCAGCTAGTTTAAACATGGAAGTCTGAGGGCGTCTCACTCTATGTGGTGACACAGTGGGGGGGGGGGGGGGTAAAGCGGCTCACTCCATGTGGTGACACAGTGGGGAAGGGGGGAAGGTGTCTCACCTCACACTTTTAAAATAACTGAACTATCAATAATCTAAATGTAAGACTATCTGTGTTTGTGCAGACAAACAGCAGACGACAGACTACGAACAGGAGACAAACGACAGCGGACAAAACGTGTGCATTGATGAAGAAAAGCAGGTCAAGTTGACACAAGTTTTATGTAAACATTTGCTTGAGCTGGCGGTACACCATTCACTTGTAGAACAACTTTCCATCTGGGCTGACCGCTTCTTTGGTCTTGTCTGACATCAACAGCGGGTCAGTGTACGAGGCTGCCTGGCCATGTTTCATTGTGGTTTTAGATATGATGGAGTTCAAGGTCATCAAACGTTTCGTCTCATCGTCCAGGCACAGGCCCAGCGCGTGCTTACTGTGCAGACCCTCCATCTGTGTGCCCGCGGCTCCAGAGGTCCTAGCCTCGCTGCCGTCCTTGAAGGTCAAGGACGTGTAGTCGCTGGTGGGGGCGGGGTAGCTGGTAGGGGCGGGGTAGCCGGTGGGGGCGGGGTAACTGGTGCTCCTGGAGGTTTTGTAATCAGGCAGGAGGTAGGGGGTCGAGTACTCACGCTTGCCATCACCCAGGGGACATTTGAGCTCCGATGTTTTATCCGAGTAGCTGTTAGAAAATGTGTACCCCGAGCTTATGTAGTCGCGTTTTATATCGCTCATCGGACTTTTCGTGTCCGTCCTTTTGTCCGAATAATTGTTGGAATACGAATACGGTGTAGAACTATAGTCGCGTTTTATATCGCTGATCGGACTTTTCGTGTCCGTTTTTTTGTCCGAATAATTGTTGGAATACGAATACGGTGTAGAACCATAGTCGCGTTTTATATCGCTGATCGGACTTTTCGTGTCCGTTTTTTTGTCCGAATAATTGTTGGAATACGCGGTTGGCCTCTCGAAGCAGTACATGTTCTGGAAGTCCATGGCCTGGGTTTTGCCCAGGTCGATGGTTTTGACGCTAGGCCTCTTGTAGTCCAAGCCTGCTATTGAGGCGGGAGGTTTGGAGATGTCCGCCAAGCTAAAATATTTCTGCTCCGTGGGTCTCCGGGCGGGGCTCTGGGTCCCAGGCAAGCTGTAGCGGTCGCTGAACTTGTCAAGTATGTTCTGACCCTGCCGGAGGGTCTCCCGGTCCATACTGGGACTCCGTGTCCCGGGCCTGTCAGAGAAGTTCCCCGTGGGCTGCGACTTCATGTCGGGGGTGCCGAGGGTCCAGCTTGGAGTGGTGTCCAATTTCTTCCCGTACCGGAGGGTCAGGCTGTCGAGTGAACTCCCCCGGGGATGGAGACTGCGCTGGCCCCAGGCGTTACTGCCGTGTTGATCTAGAAACCCCAGCGTGGTGCCCCCACCGGGAAGTGAGCTGAGAGACCGACTACGCGGGTGATATGTACTCATGCCGGTGGACTCCGCCTGTCTAGAGAGCCACCCCGACCCCCAGTCAGACGGTCTGGACGAGCTGTCGTTTTTCCTGATGCTCTCCGTGGACGAGGTGTCCGTCAGGTATTGCTCGTACTTCTTGCGGTTCTCGTTCGTGTTGCACATGTAGTTGCTGGCTGCCATCCGGGGCTTCCCAAAGACGTACTTCTCCATCAGCTCTAGGTTCTTCTCGCGCTGGCTCTGCATGGTTTTCCTGAAGAAATCCATTCTCTGGTAGTCCGAGGCTAGAGTGGACATGACGGTGGCATCGCAGTTGACGGCAGGGCTGAAGATGTTCGTCTTACTGAACAGCTCTGTCTTGTACTTGGCCAATCCGAAGTCAAAAGATTTGCTCGGGTCCGTCAACTTTTTAGGGTCATCCATCATCAGCTTCGGCTTGGAGGGCAAATAAAAACTGGCGAGTAGCTTGTCTGTACTGTAGAGTGACGGGGTGTATTTGTTCTGGCTCCAGTCCCGACCCCCCTCCTTTAACTTGCTTTTGTCCTGCGTGTCAGCGGAGTAGGAAGTTCCAGAGATCCAGTCCGTCTTGGCAGGCGGCAGACTGACATCGTTGCTGTAGTAGCTTTTGTTGTCGTTGAACGACCTGAAGGCGTCGGAGCGGAACTTGTCTTGGTTGTAGTTGCTGGTGTTGTTCTGGCCGTCGCCGTAGTAGGACGAGTACTTGGAGAAGTTTGGCGTGCTGTAGTCCGTGCTCTTGTATGGCGAGGTGTACCTCCGCCTGGTCACGTCTTGGGCGCTAGATTTGAACGACAAATCCCCGTAGGCTGGCTTCTTGTCCATGGAGCTGGTGAAGGCTTTGGGTCGGGTGCAACTGAACTCGTTGTACTTGTTCATCAGCTCGTCCAGCTTGAGGGTAAACTTCCAATTTCTATCGCTAGAGCTATTTTTAGATGTGTTGATGTAGCGGTTTTTGTAGGTCAGGAGACTATCGTTGGCCTGGAAGTTGTAGGAGGTGGGCGCCGAGTTGCCGCTGGAGTAGCCGGTGTACAGCTTGCAGGAGGAGCAGTTGGGCGTGTAGCAGATGCTGGTACCGCTGGACGTGTCGCCGGAGAAATTGTTGGAGGAGAAACTTTTGGAGGCGGGTTTGTATTTGTAGTCTCCCTGGTGGTAGCCCTTCATGGCCGACTTGCCAGCGCAGGGTGGGGGGCTCATGTCCAGGTGCCCGCCCCTGCCGCAGCAGTTGTTGAAGCGGACACTCTTGTTGTTCTGCATCTGCTCCTGGCTCCTGCAGTGGAAGTGGGGGACGACTTTGGACGGTGTAGACGACGCCCTTTTCCAAATCGGCTTGGGGGTCTTGGCCTTCTTGCGGCTCCTCCCCCGGCTCTCGAAGTCTTTGATCCGCTCGTCTAGGGCCGAGAGGACGCGACTGCTGTCTGCTAACGGATAAAACTCCTCGGGTTTTCTACATTTTTTCTTCTTTAAATTCTTTCGTTTAAGCATTCTATGTGATTTAAGTTTTCTTGACCGAATGAGGATTGGTAATCTTTGGATGCGTGGCTGTGTGTAGCAGCTTTGATGTAATAGTCTGGATGATACGGGGAGCGCTACACTTCCATGCGTGGAGCGCTTTCCTCTGTCTGATGTTTTACTCGATCTGGTACAATGCGCTTCTATCTAGGCATGGTCGTCTCCTGAAAGTTGACACGACAGAAATGTCAACATTTGTCTCATACTAATGTTAATTTTGTTCAATGTTTGTCTCATTTAAGTGTCAATATTGATGTCAATATTGATGTCAATATTGATGTCAATATATCAATATTTATGTCAATATTGACATCAATGTTTGTCATAGACTTGGTCATCACACAAGCTAAACAGCTCAACCAAGTACCGATACAACAATCAACATGACCGATACAGCAGTTCGATACTATCACAAACCCTCAACTGGGCCAGTTCGATACTATCACGAAGCCTTAACTAGGCCAGTTCGATATTATCACAAACCCTAAACTGGGCCAGTTCGATACTATCACAAACCCTTAACCTCAATCGGGCCAGTTCGATACTATCACGAAGCATTAACTGGGCCAGTTCGATACTATCACGAAAACTCAACTGGGACAGTTCGATACTATCACAACCCTCACCCTCAACTGGGCCAGTTCGATATTATCACAAACCCTAAACTGGGCCAGTTCGATACTATCACAAACCCTCAATTGGGTTAGTTCGATACTATCACAAACACTTAACTGGGACAGTTCGATACTATCACAACCCTCAGCCTCAATTGGGCGTGTTCGATACTATCACAAACCCTCAATTGGGCCAGTTCGATTCTATCACGAACCCTTAACTTGGCCCGTTCGGCGCATTCTAACATTCCTTCACATGCCACGGAACCAAATAGTTACCAGAATAGGGGACACAAAGTTAGAGCGGTCCTGACTAAATAATAGGGAGGCTCACTAACTTAAAAGCGTCCTTGGTTGCTAACCAGAACATGGCGTAAGGATCGGACCATGACTTCCGGCGAGTTTTTCGACTTAGTTCCAGAGACCTTCTTAGAATTACTTTTAAAAATGTTTATCACGAGTAAAATGGCGGGTTTTCACGTTATAAAAACATGCTATAGGTGGCAAGGCTAAATATGCCAGAAAAGCATTTTCAGAAATTGCTTTGGGGAATGTAGGCTAAATTTAAAGTCGGTGTCATTCAAAATAATTTAACTTTTTAAATATAGATCTCCCTCTCACAAAATTGATTTCCAAAGTAAAGCATTATTAGTTTTATCATTCTATGAAAAAATAAATCAAATATCTTCAACACTTTTTTTTATAAGATGTGTCCAAAAAATGACAACCAAATTTTTTTTTTTTTTTTGACCACGTGACCGCTATTTGAATGGATACGTTTACCTGGCATGGTTTTTTATTTTGCTCTTTTGTACAATAAAAAATGTTATAAAATTAAAGAAATAAAAGAATTTAAACATCACTTCTGTCTTGTCTTTTTTAAAATTCTTTTCTGATGACATTCTCTTAAATTTTTTCCCTCTATAAATATATCCCGACGATAGACGGGCCAATTCTACTTTTAGGAACTCTCTTGTAAAAAAAAATTAGATCTATTTCACGGTCAATTAAAAAGTTAAACCCTTCAGCTTTTAAGCAGGTTGTCATGGATGGATCCCTCATACCATAGCTGTGAGTGACCAAAAAATTTAAAATTCAATAATTTAGTCTAAAACTTGCAACAACTCCCAAAATTAGTGCCTAGTGGATAAAGTATGGACGTTTTTTATTTAGTTGTCATGTTTAAGTTGAAAATTGAGTACATTTCAAATTTACTAAGAAAATCTACTAAATAACATCCCCCCAATTTTGTATTGTAAAGAGTTAAGAAATGTCAACAACATAACTTATCGGAAACGTCTAGACTCTAAACTAGATCAGATCTAGATCTAGACTAGATCTAGATCTCTAGGGTCCCGTGCCAGTCTACCTAAACAAACACTGGCAATAAAATTAGTCTAGCGAATGATCTGTTTAACGTTCGCCTAAAATTGCTGAAAAAAACCTGTATTTCGAGTATACAATGGTCTTGAATGAAGATAAATAGGAAAGCATGTATCTGTGACCTACCAATCTAAAATAAACGTGGCAACAAATCAGCACCTGTGCTTTCAATAGGCCATCTTTGTAACGATAACAATCTGGACGGACCCGGTGCTTTTTGGTGCGGAACTACATTTCAAATTTTTGTCGTTTGGTGCGCAATATTCCCTCTTATCATTGACGGCAATTTTCCACCTACATGTTAAAGATGTTTTTGTTATCGACTGCATGTTTTTTGTTTCACTGGCTAAAGCTACTGAAAAATGAGCGAACCACTGACAACAACGACAGACCTACAAACCACTGAAAGATGAAACAAGCTGATAATTGAGTTGGTTCTTAATTTTATTGCTGTCATTGACAATCTATATTCTAGAACTGATTCATCGAAACAACTATTCTCACGTGTAAAAACAAACTATCACATGTTTCAAATCTATTTTTAGCACGTCTAAGTGTTAAATATCTACAAAATCAAACTCAAATGACATCAAAATTGTATTCGCTGCAAATCAGAGTTTTCATCGTTTAGACTTCTATACATCGAGAAGGTTATACACAAATGTGAGGTTATATGGAATAACTTATGCACATCTATTCACATATTATTATCTGAGCAGATATCTATCTATGGCGACATATTAAAAGTATAAAATGCATGCATGAATGACTAGAAATCATATAATTGACAATTTTCGTGTAATCTTCCATTTTGAAAATCCTTGTGCTTTAAAATTGTACTAAAATTGTACTAAAATCGAAACAACTTTTTGTGGCTTCTTTTTTTTTTTTTGTAAAAGAAATATTTTAAAATCTCATCTACAGGTTGAATATTTACAAATAAAAATCTATTTACAGATGTACCAAATGGTTGTAAAGTGTTTATGTATTTAAATACACAGTCTATTTGTTTAAATACACAGCCTATGTGTTTAAATACATAGCATTTAAGCATTCAGATTATGTACTTTAACATAAAAAGCTTTTGTGAAAATAAAAAAAAACTTGCTGAAGTTCATTTCTAACACAGAACAAAAACTTGACATTTAAAGATGACTAGACCACCCGTCATCCTTTGGATAAATATTGCTTTCGGGGTCATCCATAAATGACATCACGTCTGTCACTTATCGTCACAAAAACCAGACCCCACATCCAAAATGACGTCACACCTCAGACGTTTTTGTCTTTTAAAAACACCGATTTCGGTTGACAATGGGTCTGACCACACTACCCCTTTATATGCTGACGTCTCAGGTGAACTCTACACCTACCCAACTCTACTTCACCTGCTCAGTGTCCTGGCAAATCTCAGACATTTTTTTATTGTTTAAAAAAAGGGATTGGCCGAGCAAGCCTCTGACCACAGTATCCCTTCATGTGCTGAGGACACAGAAACAGGTGAACTCTACTTCACCTGCCCTGTGTCCAGCCAATTCAGATAGGCAACTTTATCATTCACATTTTTTTTAATTGAAAAAAAAATATAACTGCCATGATGTGTCTCGAACCCGCGCCACCCGCATGGTAACCTATAACACTAATATACTAGCTAGCTATACTCTTCGTATTGGATACATATTTAGTTGAATCTTTTACTTTGAATCTCTGTAAGAAACTTGATTTATGCGAATAGGCCCTTGTATTATTTCAAACTAAATTTTATCCCAAATTAGCGAATTCGATAGCTAAACAAACAAAAACTTATAAAAAAGGTTTAAGGACTAACATAGTTTAATAAAAACTATAATTTATAGTGTATTTATAATTGTTTTTGTTTTTAACTAATTGATTTTGGTTGACCTAGATTCTAGATTTTACATCTAGGATTGACTTTCCATTCCTCCGACAGCGTATCTGTAGATCTAGAGACATTTATTGAAAACTCAAATTAGAAGAACTGTTGAAAATTGATAATAGTGTTTGAACCTAATAAAAATAGCAAACGGGCGTATCGTTAAAGCTATAGCCGACAGAAAATTAGCGTTATAATGCGTTTAAACTTTTGAATGGACAATAAAATCTTCGATGGAAGCCGCCATTTTTTTTCTTTAAAAAAGGAATCCTGTCACGTTACTATAAGTAAAGTCATAGTTCTGAAATTTTATATTGAAAGTGGTGTATCTACCAATGAATATATCAAAAAATTAATTAAAGTCTTTAAATGACGTTGTGAATAACAGTTTGGTAAAAAAGAACATTATTCTCTACCTAAATACGTATATTACAGCTCTACACATAGTGCTGATTCTCTCCTGTAACCAAAGAGATAAACAAATATACAAAAATGTAAACAAACTTGAGATTTAGCAATATATAGAAAGATTGCATCTATTGCTGATGGCACTAATACCTATTACTGATATTTATCGGCGATAACATATTGACAACTTGATGAAGCCATCTAATTTAAAACAAATGAATGGACTAATTAAGACAAATTATCATATCGTGAAGGTGTATGCACGTACATGGAGGGTGTAGACAGGTCTTCTCACACAAAAGTTTTTAATACAGTGGCCTAGACAGAAATTGGTCAAAGGGAGGGGTGTTCAAAAGGTTTTATGTTATATATATATATATATATATAAATACAAATATGAATATATATACATATATATATATATATATATATATATATATATATATATATATATATATATATATATATATGTGTGTGTGTTTATATATATATATATATATATAAAAGTAAAGTTTCCCTTTCAAACCTGACGGTCTATGGGGCAAGTGAAGTAGAGTTCACTTGTTTCTATGACCTCGGCATATGAAGAGATAGTGTGGTCAGCACTATGCCCAGCCGCCTTTACTTTCCCTAACGTGAGTTAGGTACCCATCATAGTTGGGTGGACTCAGGGAAGGTCTACTGACTTGAACCGGATTCGAACTCGAGACTTACGGGTTAGCAGTCCAGCTCTCTACCGCTAGACCACTCCGTCCCCATATAAATTTATATATATATATATATATATATATATATATATATATATATATATATATATATATATATATATATATATATATATATATATATATATATATATATATATATATATATATATATATATATATATATATATATATATATATATATATATATATATATATATATATATATATATATATATATATATATATCATTACTAAATGGCCATAGAAAGTAATGATGAAATGAAAGATCGAGGTACATGTGAGCGCCTGTAACCTGTCTATGCCACCAACTTGTCTAGGCAACTAACCTGTCTAGGCCACTAACCTGTCTAGGCCACTAATCTGTCTAGGCCACCAACCTGTCAAGGCCACTAATCTGTCTAGGCCACTAACCTGTCTAGGCCACTAACCTGTCTAGGCCACTAACCTGTCTAGGCCACTAACTTGTCTAGGCCAACCAAAACAGTTTGACTCGAGTGTCGGATCACACATTGAACATCACATTGTTTATATCAGCACATTTCTACACACAATCACAGAGAAATCACATCAGGTTAGAGGTTAGAAAACTTATAACAACAGTGTTTCACCAGTTTTCACCAATGTGTCACCAATGTATCACCAGGTTTGTAAGCAGTATACATTTTTTCAAAAGTTAAATTTGTTAGCTAAGTAAGACAACGTACACAACACGCTGAGAATGGAAGATTGAAACACCATGCATCTAATGAATTTTGTCTTGTCTCCTGACCTTCCCCCTGACCTTCCCCCTGACCTTCCCACTGACCTTTCCCCACAATTTCTCTCACCTCCTACACCCCCTCCCCCTCCCTCCCCCAAGACAATTCGAATGATACAACTTTATTTTTTCGTGACAAAATACCTGCAAAAAATTGTCCTATACACAACATTCATAAGAAATAATCCAAGGGAAGCTAATCAATTTTGTGATTTATTATACAGTTGCTTCCCTTTCATTATTATTTAATGTCGAATTATTAATTCAAACAATCTCACTACTTCATGTTGTCTAAGAACTACTCCTACAGTTTAAGATAAAATCGTTAGTAATATCAAAATACGTATTTCAACCACCCCCTGCCCATAATAGTCAAAATGTATGGCATAATTGGAGTGTGCTATGATGGTGATTATATAGAGTACAATGACAGTGTGTTGTGATGGTGAGTATATAGAGTATAGTGTGGTGTGGTGGTGAGTATATAGAGTATAGTGTGGTGTGGTGGTGAGTATATAGAGTATAGTGTGGTGTGGTGGTGAGTATATAGAGTATAGTGTGGTGTGGTGGTGAGTATATAGAATATAACGACAGTGTGTTTGGATAGTGATTATATATACAATGACTGTGTGGTCTGATGGTGATTAAATAGAGTACAATGACAGTGTGTTGTGATGGTGAGTATATAGAGTATAGTGTGGTGTGGTGGTGAGTATATAGAGTATAGTGTGGTGTGGTGGTGAGTATATAGAGTATAGTGTGGTGTGGTGGTGAGTATATAGAGTATAGTGTGGTGTGGTGGTGAGTATATAGAGTATAACGACAGTGTGTTTGGATAGTGATTATATATACAATGACTGTGTGGTCTGATGGTGATTAAATAGAGTACAATGACTGGTTTCTCTAGACTAGACTCGAACCCTGGACGGAAAGATGACTGTTGACAAGATGGGTGAGTTCACATTTGAGACTGCTGGGGTCCGGTATCTCCAAAAAGGTTAAGACCCACTGAACAGCAACAGCTATCATCTAGTGTGAGTGAAAGATGCAGGATCTAACTAGAGAAACTTAGTGACCTCTTGCACATGACCTCTAACACATGACCTCTGACACATGGCCTCTAACATATGACCTCTAACACATGACCTCTAACACATGACCTCTTTCAAATGACGTGTTGCATATGTTTTGTCGTACATGTTTTGTTGCAGATGATTTGCTGTGTATGATTTGTTGTACATGTTTGTTGTACACTATATTTTGTACATTGGTTTACATGTAGCAGTGATATCTAATATACAAATAAAAAAACCATTGAATATTTCCCGCGATGTGCAGTCATTCAAGTGCTGAATCTCTACATAATTCTGGAGTCCTCGTTGATTTAAGTACTGCACGGCAGTACAACTGGCTACTTTCTCTAGCAAGGTCAAGTTTTACAAGTTCAAGGCCGAGTTACGGTCCGAGTTGAAGGGCACCAAGTTGACCCCTGCCCCGTCGTCCTGAATGCTGTGGTTGCCCCTGACGTCACTGTTGAAGTGCGAAGACCGGATGTCCGTCTTCATGTTGAGCCGGATCTGCCGGAAGATGACGATGATCTCCTCCACGGGCGCCACAATGATGACCACGGCAGCCATGACGAACGTCCAGATCTGGGGTCAAAGGTCAAAGGTCAGTAGATTGAGCTTAGATTTTAATAATTCGCTTGAATAATTAACGCTAATCTTTTAATTGACCACCCAACTACCTGTCAAATTATCAGTTATAACCACCTACTCACCTGTCGAATGATCACCTACTCACCTGTAAAATGACCACCTACTCACCTGTCGAATGACCACCTACTCACCTGTAGAATGACCAGCTACTCACCTGTAAAAATGACCACCTACTCACCTGTAGAATGACCACCTACTCACCTATAAAATGACCACCTACTCACCTGTAAAATGACCACCTACACACCTGTAGAATGACCACCTACTCACCTATAAAATGACCACCTACTCACCTGTAAAATGACCACCCAGGTCCTGAACTCCACCTTGTCCAGCACGTGCAGACTGGCCATGCTGCCAGGGATGACCACTATGAAGATGAGCAGGCTGATGGCACCACCGATGTACGCGGTCAGTTTGGCCGTGCGAAACACCTGACATAAAAGAGTGGTACAAAATGTGGGGGAGGGTATGATGGGGTGTGTATTTGTTTCTATCTAGCCTTTACCACCGACTCCGCCCCAGACCTTAACCCCGCCCCTAACTGACCTTGTCGAGCTCGTCATAGGTCGGCTTCTCGCCGTCCTTCATGTGCGGGAACTCCTCCTTGAAGAGCTCGTTCCACGGCTTCAGAGGGTTGTCGATGTCCCTGACCTTCTGCCACTCCACCAGCTCGTCCTTTGTCGACTTGATCTGCACGGAGGTGGGTGTTTAGAGGGTGTTTAGAGGGTGTTTAGAGGGTGTTTAGAGGGTGTTTAGAGGGTGTTTAGAGGGTGTTTAGAGGGTGTTTAGAGGGTGTTTGACGGGTGTTTAGAGGTGTTTAGAGCGTGTTTAGAGGCTGTTTGACGGGTGTTTAGAGGGTGTTTGACGGGTTTTTAGAGGGTGTTTAGAGGGTGTTTAGAGGGTGTTTGACGGGTGTTTAGAGGGTGTTTGACGGGTGTTTAGACCGTGTATAGAGGGTGTTCGACGGGTGTTTAGAGTGTGTTTGACGGGTGTTTAGAGTGTGTTTGACGGGTGTTTGGAGTGTGTTTGACGGACGGATGTTGAGATTCTATTTTTATGGGTGTTTTAATCGTGATTCAGTGGTGTAGGCAGGGGGCAGGGGGACAATACAGTGAGCTAACCCATACATTATCATTATGTTAAAAAATGATCTTTAAAGAAAACAAAAAACAGTAGCTAATTTAAATAAACCGGGAGTGATCTCCCCTAAACTTTCTCGAATATTCTAATATAACACTACGGAGGATGGAAACTCGGGATATAGACTTCTAGACATGATTTTTAATCCATTTTAAATACTCAAATTTTTTAACATAGAATATAATCTCGTAGAAAAAAGAAATGCACACCAAGTGAACGCTACATAAAGATGTGCGCAATATTATTGTACTTTAAAAATTTACATTAGTTTTTTGAGAAATCGGAAGTAGCGTAAATTACTACTTCCGGTCAACGGAAATTACTCAAAATTTAACAAAAGGTAGAGAATTAGATCTTTTACTTACATGTGAAATTTCATTTATCTATCTGAAATAGTACTCAAGTTATAGGCTTTTGAAAAATTCAAAGTAGAAAAAGTACCACTTCCGGTTATCGGAAATCGCTCAAAAGTTGATACGGATCTACGAATTTGATAAAATACTTATATATGAAATTTCATCAACCTAGCTGTAACGGTACTCAAGTTATCGTGTTTACACACGGACAGACAGACAGACACACAGACAGACAGACATACGGACAAGATTGCAAAATTATGTTTTTCCGTATCAGTGAGATGTAAAACGTCGAGATTTGCATAAATCTCGATTTTTTTTTGCACGATTACAAGACTTTCTCTATACTACGTATATACGAGAAAGTAAAAAAGAATGATGTGAACTACGTGTGATCAGTATGTTCAGCGATATATGGAGATAAAGATACGGACTTTTGTTGAACAAAATATGGTGGATGTTATAAATGTATAAACTAAATTTTATTTAAAGAAGGAAAATGAAAATACTAAAGTGACCCACGCTTTTCTTTATAGTTATTTAAATAATAGTCTATAATTTATTTTCTACATTTAAGTGCATTATTACATAAAAGCTTGTAACTAAAACGTTTTTTATGATTTTTTTTTAATTTTTAAAATTTACAATAGGTTACATGATTAAAAACTATTGCGCACCTAGTGAACGTGTGACGCGTGTATAGTAGTGCGGGATAGTTGGATGAAACAGCCTAATAATTTGGACAAAATTGTATTTAATTCATAAAAAATTAATTAGGATTCCAATTAAGTCAAATTTAATGTCAGGTTGCATTGTCTTCATGTCTTGACCCATGTGCCAACGTTAAAAAAAATCTGTCAGTTAGAAGTGTCCAATACTTCAATCGGGCGTTTCGATCTAGACAGACAGACTGACGACGGACAGATTGTCAACAGACAGACAGAGGAAGCTTGTTAAATAAAAGCTTGTAACACTAAAAGAAATTCCATTTAACAGCCAAATTTTTTTTTTATAAAAAGAAATTCTCAAACATGTTTAACACTAAAAATATATAGGCCTATAACTCATGTATAACGAGTACCGACCGCTAGTTGTTCAGAATGTTCCACCTCTTAGATTTAGTTTTTCTAAAGGGTTCTCTTCTTCTTCTTCGTTCTTAATTTTTAGTGTTGAAAGGGATCGAGATTTATCTGCTAGTGGGTTTGAAGTCGAGACTTTTTTTTTTCGAATTTATCAACCATGAGCTTTTTGCCGACTCGACCACGCCTCCAACACAATTAAGGATACGTGTCAACTGGTTATGCGCCATTGAGGCCATTGACTCCGATTTCAGCCTGCTTTTGTTTTTGGATTTGTTTCCATAGCCTTTGTACGACCAAGAACAAACTACAAGGCATTTTATTTTATTTTTGGGTGGAAAATTTTCCTGGAAGAAAATGAATGATTTCTTTTAAAACAAGAAAACACATCTCTATCGACAATATTGCAGTTTTAGATGTCATTGTTAGACCAGACGACTTTTCGGTTTAGCAACCATGAGCTTTGCCGACTCGACCACGCCGACCCCTCTAAAGGGTTGAAAAGCTTGAATTTATACCAACTCTGATTTCAAAACTTTCATTATGCTTTAATATTTCAGCATTTATAATGACAATATATTTTATTCTGAATGCAGAAAAAAATATTTTTGTAAAAGCAAATAGTGTTTAGCTACTATATTACATACTAAAGTAATTATTTATCTGTTGTGACAATTTACAATTACATTCGAAGAATTATACATATTTAGACTAAAAGAGTGATAATTTCCCCTAGCTCGCTTGTCTTATTTAATATTCTAGGAATCGTTACATCAAATTGTTTTTACAAGCTTTTATTTAACTCACTATATCTTTCTGTCGTCAGTAAGTCTAGATCGAAACACCCGAGTTAAATTACGGGCACTTCTAACTGACAGAGACGGTTCATAATTGGTACGTAGCATCAAGACATGGAGAAAATGCAACATGACGTTAAATTTGACTTAAATAGTTGCCTAATTAATTTTTTATGCAATTAATTTAAATTTTGACCAAATTAGGAGGCTGTCGCATCAAACTATTTCACACTATTATACACACGTCCGCACGTTCAATAGGTGCGTAACGGTTTTAGTCATGTAACTCTATTGTAAATAAAACATGTAAAGTACTAAAAAAAACAGTTTCATAATGTTTTAATAACAAGCTTTTATGAAATAATGCACAAAAAAGTAGAAAATAAATTATACACTACCATTTAAATAACAATAAAGAATCTTGTCAGAACTCTGTATGACAGTCGACGGTTAACAGACGACGTATGAGAGATGTTGTTTGAAAGATGAAGTATGATGGATGACGTATGACGTATGACAGACGACGAATGGCAGATGTGCTTACCTTGTTTGTAAACAGCGATATGATAATGGTGAGCAACAGAGACAGACCAAAAGCGGTCGTTGACCCCGCTAGCACGGAGTAGTCGTGTGACGTGTTGGCCAGGAAGTTGCCGAGACCACCCTCAAAGGTCGAGGCCGTGATGAAGTTGGCGGTGATGCCCCCTACCAAACCGGATATGCTACCTGCAAGAGACGGAAATCCAATGGTCAAGGAAGTAATACGTATATAGATCTACACCACGCTCCTGGAGTCTGCGCTTCCTAGTCAGAACCTTACAAGATTGTGTTAATGCTTGTTGCGTCTCTCGTGACTGAATACTTGATCTGTCTACACAACTTTTGGGTTAATGCTTGTTGCGTCTCTCGTGACTGAATACTTGATCTGTCTACACAACTTTTGTGTTAATGCTTGTTGCGTCTCTCGTGACTGAATACTTGATCTGTCTACACAACTTTTGTGTTAATGCTTGTTGCGTCTCTCGTGACTGAATACTTGATCTGTCTACACAACTTTTGTGTTAATGCTTGTTGCGTCTCTCGTGACTGAATACTTGATCTGTCTACACAACTTTTGTGTTAATGCTTGTTGCGTCTCTCGTGACTGAATACTTGATCTGTCTACACAACTTTTGTGTTAATGCTTGTTGCGTCTCTCGTGACTGAATACTTGATCTGTCTACACAACTTTTGTGTTAATGCTTGTTGCGTCTCTCGTGACTGAATACTTGATCTGTCTACACAACTTTTGTGTTAATGCTTGTTGCGTCTCTCGTGACTGAATACTTGATCTGTCTACACAACTTTTGTGTTAATGCTTGTTGCGTCTCTCGGGGCTGAACTCTTGCCCTGTCTACATAACTTTCCATCAGCCTGAATCTGACGTCAGCTGCCCCAAATTTCACGTCTAAAACGTCACACTTTGCGCGCCCCACCCCAGAACGCGGCCCTTCTACACCGGAAGTTATTAGGGCCGACAGATTACCGGATCAGTTTGGCCCGACACTTTGCCAGTCGTGAGCCGCACGGAGCATGTTTCTGACTCTGTTACGACAGTCTTTGGAAACTTAAATGAGTTCATGTGGTGGTTTGTGTGGTGGCTGATATGTTGGCTGATGTGGTGGATGACGTGGTGGTTGATGTGGTGGTTGATGTGGTGGGTGATGTGGTGGTTGATGTGGTGGTTGTTATGGTGGTTGATGTGGTGGTTGTTGTGGTGGTTGATGTGGTGGCTGATGTGGTGGCTGATGTTGTGGCTGATGTGGTGGTTGATGTGGTGGTTGATGTGGTGGTTGATGTAGTGCTTGATGTGCTGGTTGATGTGGTGGTTGATGTAGTGCTTGATGTGGTGGTTGATGTGGTGGTTGATGAGGTAGTTGATCATGTGTGACGTCAAAATGTGAGGATGATGTGTATATCTACAACACAGCCACTCAAGTAGAAACATATCTTTAGCACTAAGGTCCCAAGCTGGTCTTATAAAACGTAAACCTCATTTCTGGTCTACTTTTTCGGTCGGTAGAACACATGACTCTTCTATAATGACCCCCAAACACATATAATGACCCCTAGACTCACCTATAATGACCCACAGACTCACCTATAATGACCCCCAGACTCACCTATAATGACCCCCAGACTCACCTATAATGACCCCAGACTCACCTATAATGACCCCCAGACTCACCTACAATGACTCCCAGACTCACCTATAATGACCCACTGACTCACCTATAATGACCCCCAGACTCACCTATAATGACCCCCAGACTCACCTATAATGACCCTCAGACTCACCTATAATGACCCCCAGACTCACCTATAATGACCCCCAGACTCACCTATAATGACCCCCAGACTCACCTATAATGACCCACAGACTCACCTATAATGACCTCCAGACTCACCTATAATGACCCCCAGACTCACCTATAATGACCCCCAGACTCACCTATAATGACCCCCAGACTCACCTATAATGACCCCCAGACTCACCTATAATGACCCCCAGACTCACCTATAATGACCCCCAGACTCACCTATAATGACCCCCAGACTCACCTATAATGACCCCCAGACTCACCTATAATGACCCCAAACACATATAATGACCCCCAGACTCACCTATAATGACCCCCAGACTCACCTATAATGACCTCCAGACTCACCTATAATGACCCCCAGACTCACCTATAATGACCCCCAGACTCACCTATAATGACCCCCAGACTCACCTATAATGACCCCCAGACTCACCTATAATGACCCCCAGACTCACCTATAATGACCCCCAGACTCACCTATAATGACCTCCAGACTCACCTATAATGACCCCCAGACTCACCTATAATGACCCCCAGACTCACCTATAATGACCTCCAGACTCACCTATAATGACCCCCAGACTCACCTATAATGACCTCCAGACTCACCTATAATGACCCCAGACTCACCTATAATGACCCACAGACTCACCTATAATGACCCCAAACACATATAATGACGCCCAGACTCACCTATAATGACCCCCAGACTCACCTATAATGACCCCCAGACTCACCTATAATGACCCACAGACTCACCTATAATGACCCCAAACACATATAATGACCCCCAGACTCACCTATAATGACCCCCAGACACCTATAATGACCCCCAGACTCACCTATAATGACCCCCAGACTCACCTATAATGACCCCAGACTCACCTATAATGACCCCCAGACTCACCTATAATGACCCCCAGACTCACCTATAATGACCCCCAGACTCACCTATAATGACCCCCAGACTCACCTATAATGACCCCAAACACATATAATGACTCCCAGACTCACCTATAATGACCCCCAGACTCACCTATAATGACCCCCAGACTCACCTATAATGACCCCCAGACTCACCTATAATGACCCCCAGACTCACCTATAATGACCCCCAGACTCACCTATAATGACCCCCAGACTCACCTATAATGACCCCCAGACTCACCTATAATGACCCCCAGACTCACCTATAATGACCCCCAGACTCACCTATAATGACCCCCAGACTCACCTATAATGACCCCCAGACTCACCTATAATGACCTCCAGACTCACCTATAATGACCCCCAGACTCACCTATAATGACCCCCAGACTCACCTATAATGACCCCCAGACTCACCTATAATGACCCCCAGACTCACCTATAATGACCCCAAACACATATAATGACCCCCAGACTCACCTATAATGACCCCCAGACTCACCTATAATGACCCCCAGACTCACCTATAATGACCCCCAGACTCACCTATAATGACCCCCAGACTCACCTATAATGACCCCCAGACTCACCTATAATGACCCCCAGACTCACCTATAATGACCCCCAGACTCACCTATAATGACCCCCAGACTCACCTATAATGACCCCCAGACTCACCTATAATGACCCCCAGACTCACCTATAATGACCCCCAGACTCACCTATAATGACCTCCAGACTCACCTATAATGACCCCCAGACTCACCTATAATGACCCCCAGACTCACCTATAATGACCCCCAGACTCACCTATAATGACCCCCAGACTCACCTATAATGACCCCCAGACTCACCTATAATGACCCCAAACACATATAATGACCCCCAGACTCACCTATAATGACCCCCAGACTCACCTATAATGACCCCCAGACTCACCTATAATGACCCCCAGACTCACCTATAATGACCCCCAGACTCACCTATAATGACCCCCAGACTCACCTATAATGACCCCCAGACTCACCTATAATGACCCCCAGACTCACCTATAATGACCCCCAGACTCACCTATAATGACCCCCAGACTCACCTATAATGACCCCCAGACTCACCTATAATGACCCCCAGACTCACCTATAATGACCCCCAGACTCACCTATAATGACCCCCAGACTCACCTATAATGACCCCCAGACTCACCTATAATGACCCCCAGACTCACCTATAATGACCCCCAGACTCACCTATAATGACCCCCAGACTCACCTATAATGACCCCAAACACATATAATGACCCCCAGACTCACCTATAATGACCCCCAGACTCACCTATAATGACCCCAGACTCACCAATAATGACCCCAGACTCACCTATAATGACCCCCAGACTCACCTATAATGACCCCCAGGGCCGAAGTTTTGGACCACAGGATGGCCATTAGGGCCGGAGGGAAGCTGGGCGTGGTCAGTATGAACCCACAGACCATGACGTAGTTGAGGTCGACCCCCGAGACGTACACGACCATGCCGATGGGCACGAGGCCGATGGTGACCCACAGGATGCACCAGGACTTGAAGGTCACCAGAGCGTCTAGGTAGGCCCTGTAGGCCCCGTGGTAGGGGCACCTGCAAGGTCAGAGGTCCAGACAGGTGAGAAAAGAGTTCAGACACACAGCTACAGACGTCCACACACAGCTACACACGTCCACACACAGCTACACACGTCCACACACAGCTACACACGTCCACACACAGCTACACACGTCCAACACACGTCCACACACAGCTACACACGTTCACATACGTGTACACACAACTGACATACATAGCACATATTGTACTTATACATTACAGCTGCACACACATTAAAGTGGGGTCCCCCTACACACACAAAGGGACTCACCATCCGCAGAGGGAGAGTGAGCGACTTACAATCAACCTTCCCCCCCCACACACACACACAGAATGAGGGTCTGGCCCCCCCCATACACCCACACAGAATGAGGGACTTCATGTAAACTTCCCCCCCCCCCACCCACATAGAGTGAGGGACTCAACTCCAGCTTCACACCCACAAAAAGTGAGGGTCTCGCCCCCCCACACCCACACAAAGTGAGGGTCTCGCCCCCCCCCCCACACACCCACACACAGTGAGTGTCTCGCCCCCCACACACCCACACAAAGTGAGGGTCACGCCCCCCACACACCCACACAAAGTGAGGGTCACGCCCCCACACACCCACACAAAGTGAGGGTCTCACCCCCCACACACCCACACAAAGTGAAGGTCACGCCCCCCACACACCCACACAAAGTGAGGGTCACGCCCCCCACACACCCACACAAAGTGAGTGACTCACATGTAAACCTTCTGGACGTTCTCCTCCTGCGACTTGCGCCTCATGTCGTCATAGCAACTGTTGCACTCTGACACCAGGGGACACTGGCAGCACTTGGACTGCTCGTCTGTTGCACACTTGTCAGCAGACGTCTCAGACGACGCTTCCCGCGGCTTGACCTCTCCACACAAGACACAGTGACCAGTGCTGTGTGTACGCCTGCAAGTACACATCGTTGGCTGTACACATGTACACATCGTTACTTATACACATGTACATACATCTTTAGCTGTACAATGTTACTTGTAGAATAAATGCTAACACTTGAAGTTTACATTATCACCATGTACACATTTTCTTGTTGTACACACACACACATATTTTCATCTAGAACTGATCCTAACCCCGGCCTTTCAGCTGAAAGAGTCTGTCTGGAAAGTAAGCTTGAGCGAACAAAGTCTACCCCCCACCCCAAACGAAATAGAATTGATATAGAAAATATATACTACCTTTACAATTGTCCTACCGTCTGCCCCCCCCCCCCCCCCCCCCCCACCCAGGAAAATTTATTCCGCCACCCGAGGAATTTAAAAAAAAAATCTGAAAGAAACACTGAACAATATTTGAAAGGACCAGGTTGGTTTAAGTCTGTTGTCGTGTGACTTCACGCATTCATTAATTAACTCGCTCTAAGCCAATTAGGCCACCGCTAAAGATGGAATACCGGATATAAACTTAAAAAACCTGAGGAAGTCATTTCTGTGATTTTTTTTATAGATATGTCTCACGTCTGCCGTGTCTCACGTCTGCTGTGGTTTACGTCTGCTTGCCGCCGTGACATGAAGTGTCAACAGTTGCAGAACTAGCCGGTGTCTGGAGCCGGCAGCCGGCATCACGACCGGTCTTGTGAGACCGGAAGTCACGTGCGTGCCGTGTCAAACAGCGCAGTGGAAACACGGTGTCAGGTGGCCGGGTACCAATATTTTTGGACGGCCAATTTTAGATTAAAGGGGGGGGGGGACTCACCAACCGGAACAAAGTGAGGGTTTGTTGTGGGGGTGGGGGTGGGGTGGGGTGGGACTTTGTGGAGAAAGAGATTTGGCTGCACGTTGCTAATCTCGAAGTTTGATTCAATTTAAAATGTGCAGCTAGGCTTGCGGGATTTATCTGATGATAAACCAACTCCACCCCGGGGGTGCTTCAAGTGGTAAGGAGGGGTGGGGTGGAGGAGGTGTAGCTACAACTAACCGATTTACCCCATGAGGTTCTTAGATGGTGGAGGGGTGAGTAGGGGTGGGGGGGGGGGGTTGTGAAACAACTACACATTATCTGGGGGTTTGGATTTCGAGGGTGGGGGGGGGGGCAGTTACCTCCACACCAGTCTGTACAATGTCGTGGTGCATCGGTTTTTAATGTTCAGATGTTGAGCAAATCATGCCAGCACGTGCTGATGTAGGTCACCACACATCGCTGATGTAGGCACCACACATCGGTGATGTAGGTCACCACACATAGCTGATGTAGGTCACCACACATCGCTGATGTAGGTCACCATAGTGCTGATGTAGGTCACCATAGTGCTGATGTAGGTCACCACACATGTCTGATTTAGGTCACCACACATCGCTGATGTAGGTCACCACATCGCTGATGTAGGTCACCACACACCACATCGCTGATGTAGGTCACCACACATGTCTGATGTAGGTCACCACACATGTCTGATGTAGGTCACCACACATCGCTGATGAAGGTCACCACATCGCTGATGTAGGTCACCACACACCACAGTGCTGATGTAGGTCACCACACATGTCTGATGTAGGTCACCACACATACAGTGCTGATGTAGGTCACCACACATCGCAGTGCTGATGTAGGTCACCACACATACAGTGCTGATGTAGGTCACCACACATCTCTGATGTAGGTCACCACATCGCTGATGTAGGTCACCACATCGCTGATGTAGGTCACCACACATGTCTGATGTAGGTCACCACACATCTCTGATGTAGGTCGCCACACACCACAGTACTGATGTAGGTCACCACACATACAGTGCTGATGTAGGTCACCACACATACAGTGCTGATGTAGGTCACCACTCATTGCTGATGTAGGTCACCACACATCGCTGATGTAGGTCACCACACATCACAGTGCTGATGTAGGTCACCACACATCGCTGATGTAGGTCACCACACATGTCTGATGTAGGTCACCACACATCACTTATGTAGGTCACCACACATCGCTGATGTAGGTCACCACACACCACAGTGCTGATGTAGGTCACCACACACCACTGTGCTGAAGTAGGTCAGGGCTGGAACTTACTTGAACGGCCGGAAGTGGGTCTGGTAGATGTCGTAAACGATGATGGAGGAGATGGCCATGACCTCACCGGAACCGGAAGACATGACGGCCATGATGAGCATGGTGAGCACCATGTAACTTCCGGCCAGTCCCATGGCGGACTGGGCCATAAACACGGTGACCAGACCTGAAACAGACCACGTGACACATTTAGTGACGTAGTTATGTCGACAGTCATCAAGTGGGTGATTGTTTCATGGTAGATGGCCCTGAATTCAGGCGTTGCCTTCCGGAGTTGTCTTCCGGCATGGCCTTTCTACCTATATCTATATTCGTTCACCTCTGGCAACTGTGTGGTTTTACTTATGTGAGGGCTCACCACACACAGCCACACACAGCCACACACAACCACACTGCCTAGTCGACCATGTTGCTGGAGCCAGAACTAACCGACAGCACAAAAAAGTCTATTTTTGACATGTGCTAAACATTGAGATATTTTAAACTTTTTTTAAGACTGAGCTCCAAAAAATAAATGTTTGTTCAAGGTAAAATTTCATAAAAAAGAAGGCACTTACATTATGACGTCACCTCACCTGTAAGCCTACATTACATTTTGTGGGGAGTTCATTTTTTATACGCTTCAACTTCAAATGGATAATAAACCCAGTGGGAAACCAATGGTGTCCTTCACATCAAGTGGATCACCTGGACCCTTGTCCTAATGTTCCTGTTCTCTAGTAATATAGGAACCACCCATCTAATGGTGGTCCCACCCATTTAATGTTGGCCCCACCCATCTAATGTTGGCCCCACCCATCTTATGTTGGCCCCACCCATCTAATGTAGACCTCAACCATCTAATGTAGGCCCCACCCATTTAATGTAGGCCCCACCCATTTAATGTAGGCCCCACCCATTTAATGTAGGCCCCACAAATTTAATGTAGACCTCAACCATCTAATGTTGGCCCCACCCATCTAATGGTGGCCCCACCCATCTAATGTTGGCCCCACCCATCTAATGTTGACCCCACCCATCTAATGATTGAGCACATGTTTGTGTGGGCACATGTTTGTGTGGGCACATGTTTGTGTGGGCACATGTTTGTGTGGGCACATGTTTGTGTGGGCACAAAGTTGTGTGGGCACATGTTTGTGTGGGCACAAAGTTGTGTGGGCACATGTTTGTGTGGGCACATGTTTGTGTGGGCACATGTTTGGGCACATGTTTGTGTGGGCACATGTTTGTGTGGGCACATGTTTGTGTGGGCACATGTTTGTGTGGGCACATGTTTGTGTGGGGACATGTTTGTGTGGGCACATGTTTGTGTGGGCACATGTTTGTGTGGGCACATGTTTGTGTGGGCACATGTTTGTGTGGGCACATGTTTGTGTGGGCACATGTTTGTGTGGGCACATGTTTGTGTGGGCACATGTTTGTGTGGGCACATGTTTGGGCACATGTTTGTGTGGGCACATGTTTGTGTGGGCACATGTTTGTATGGACACATGTTTGTGAGGGCACATGTTTGTGTGGGCACATGTTTGTGTGGGCACAAAGTTGTGTGGGCACATGTTTGTGTGGGCACATGTTTGTGTGGGCACATGTTTGTGTGGGCACATGTTTGTGTGGGCACATGTTTGTGTGAGCACAAAGTTGTGTGGGCACAAAGTTGTGTGGGCACATGTTTGTGTGGGCACATGTTTGTGTGGGCACATGTTTGTGTGGGCACAAAGTTGTGTGGGCACAAAGTTGTGTGGGCACATGTTTGTGTGTGCACATGTTTGGGCACATGTTTGTGTGGGCACATGTTTGTGTGGGCACAAAGTTGTGTGGGCACATGTTTGTGTGGGCACATGTTTGTGTGGGCACTTGTTTGTGTGGGCACATGTTTGTGTGGGCACATGTTTGTGTGGGCACATGTTTGTGTGGGCACATGTTTGTGTGGGCACAAAGTTGTGTGGGCACATGTTTGTGTGGGCACAAAGTTGTGTGGGCACATGTTTGTGTGGGCACATGTTTGGGCACATGTTTGTGTGGGCACATGTTTGTGTGGGCACATGTTTGTGTGGGCACATGTTTGTGTGAGCACTTGGTTTTGTGGGCACATGTTTGTGTGGGCACATGTTTGTGTGGGCACATGTTTGTGTGGGCACATGTTTGTGTGGGCACATGTTTGGGCACATGTTTGTGTGGGCACATGTTTGTGTGGGCACATGTTTGTATGGACACATGTTTGTGAGGGCACATGTTTGTGTGGGCACATGTTTGTGTGGGCACATGTTTGGGCACATGTTTGTGTGGGCACATGTTTGTGTGGGCACATGTTTGTGTGGGCACATGTTTGTGTGGGCACATGTTTGTGTGGGCACATGTTTGTGTGAGCACTTGGTTTTGTGGGCACATGTTTGTGTGGGCACATGTTTGTGTGGGCACAAAGTTGTGTGGGCACATGTTTGTGTGGGCACATGTTTGTGTGGGCACTTGTTTGTGTGGGCACATGTTTGTGTGGGCACATGTTTGTGTGGGCACATGTTTGTGTGGGCACATGTTTGTGTGGGCACATGTTTGTGAGGGCACATGTTTGTGTGGGCACTTTTTTATGTGGGCACAAAGTTGTGTGGGCACAAAGTTGTGTGGGCACATGTTTGTGTGGGCACTTGTTTGTGTGGGCACATGTTTGTGTGGGCACATGTTTGGGCACATGTTTGTGTGGGCACATGTTTGTGTGGGCACATGTTTGTGTGGGCACATGTTTGTGTGAGCACTTGGTTTTGTGGGCACATGTTTGTGTGGGCACATGTTTGTGTGGGCACATGTTTGTGTGGGCACATGTTTGTGTGGGCACATGTTTGTGTGGGCACATGTTTGTGTGGGCACATGTTTGTGTGGGCACATGTTTGGGCACATGTTTGTGTGGGCACATGTTTGTGTGGGCACATGTTTGTGTGGGCACATGTTTGTGTGGGCACATATGTGTGTGAGCACTTGGTTTTGTGGGCACATGTTTGTGTGGGCACATGTTTGTGTGGGCACATGTTTGTGTGGGCACATGTTTGTGTGGGCACATGTTTGTGTGGGCACATGTTTGTGTGGGCACATGTTTGTGAGGGCACATGTTTGTGTGGGCACTTTTTTATGTGGGCACAAAGTTGTGTGGGCACAAAGTTGTGTGGGCACATGTTTGTGTGGGCACTTGTTTGTGTGGGCACATGTTTGTGTGGGCACATGTTTGGGCACATGTTTGTGTGGGCACATGTTTGTGTGGGCACATGTTTGTGTGGGCACATGTTTGTGTGAGCACTTGGTTTTGTGGGCACATGTTTGTGTGGGCACATGTTTGTGTGGGCACATGTTTGTGTGGGCACATGTTTGTGTGGGCACATGTTTGGGCAAATGTTTGCGTGGGCACATGTTTGTGTGGGCACATGTTTGTGTGGGCACATGTTTGTGTGGGCACATGTTTGTGTGGGCACATGTTTGTGTGGGCACATGTTTGGGCACATGTTTGTGTGGGCACATGTTTGTGTGGGCACATGTTTGTGTGGGCACATGTTTGTGTGGGCACATATGTGTGTGAGCACTTGGTTTTGTGGGCACATGTTTGTGTGGGCACATGTTTGTGTGGGCACATGTTTGTGTGGGCACATGTTTGTGTGGGCACATGTTTGTGTGGGCACATGTTTGTGTGGGCACATGTTTGGGCACATGTTTGTGTGGGCACATGTTTGTGTGGGCACATGTTTGTGTGGGCACATGTTTGTGTGGGCACATATGTGTGTGAGCACTTGGTTTTGTGGGCACATGTTTGTGTGGGCACATGTTTGTGTGGGCACATCTTTGTGTGGGCACATGTTTGTGTGGGCACATGTTTGTGTGGGCACATGTTTGTGTGGGCACATGTTTGTGTGGGCACATGTTTGTGTGGGCACATGTAGCACAACATCCCTCACCCAGGTCGATGTCCCCGGTATCGTCCAGCACCATGGTGTTGTTGCCGTCTGCCGTGTTGGCCAGGTAAGCCAACCCGAGGGTTGTCCCGATGGTTGACGGGATGGCGAACCAGATGTAGGTGGCGGCGAAGAAGCCCAGGACCCCCTGGACCGGCTTGGCGGCGATGCGGCTCTGCCAGGACGCCTGGTCGCAGAACGTGATGGAGGCGGTGGCGAAAAAACCCTGGACGGCCCAGATGATGGCGCCCTCCGACCAGAAGGTGATGTAGCTCCTGGGGACAAGGGGGGGACTTTAGGGTGGGACAGCTTGGCATTTAACATGGCATTTAATATGGGATTTAACATGGCATTTAACATGGCATTTAATATGGCATTTAACATGGCATTTAGTTTAGCATTTAACATGGCATTTAATTTAGCATTTAACAAGGCATTTAATATGGCATTTAACATGGCATTTAGTTTAGCATTTAACATGGCATTTAGTTTAGCATTTAACATGGCATTTAGTTTAGCATTTAACATGGCATTTAACATGGCATTTAGCTTAGCATTTAACATGGCATTTTGCATGGCATTTAGTTTAGCATTTAACATGGCATTTAGTTTAGCATTTAACATGGCATTTAGTTTAGCATTTAACAAGGCATTTAATATGGCATTTAACATGGCATTTAGTTTAGCATTTAACATGGCATTTAGTTTAGCATTTAACATGGCATTTAGTTTAGCATTTAACATGGCATTTAACATGGCATTTAGCTTAGCATTTAACATGGCATTTTGCATGGCATTTAGTTTAGCATTTAACATGGCATTTAGTTTAGCATTTAACATGGCATTTAGTTTAGCATTTAACATGGCATTTAATTCGTTCAATTAATCATGCCATTTGTCTCTGCCAGAAATTAGTTTTTCTGTTTATTAAAAAACTGATTTAAAACGAATGAGTTGATAGAAGCATCGTGCCAACATGAAGTCATTAGACCGTTTGACCTCGCCATTTGCATTTAATGCGGGTCTGTGTCCTGTTAAGGTCATGAATTATTGGTCGGTACGTCCTACTTGACCCCTAGCCGGACAATGCATGACCTCATGTTTGTGAAAAGGAATCGAGACGCTCGATTTGATCCCCCAGTCCCACATCACAAACTTCTGACAACCATAAGGTGAAAGATGTGAACCAGATGGTGACACACATAAACCAGATGGTGACACATGAACCAGATGGTGACACATATGAACCAGATGGTGACACATGAATGAGAACGTGACACATATGAACCAGATGGTGACACATATGAACTAGATGGTGACACACATAAACCAGATGGTGACACATATGAACCAGATGGTGACACATGAATGAGAAGGTGACATATATGAACCAGATGGTGACACATATGAACCAGATGGTGACACATTAATCAGAAGGTGACACATATGAACCAGATGGTGACACATATGAACCAGATGGTGACACATATGAACCAGATGGTGACACACATAAACCAGATGGTGACACATATGAACAAGATGGTAACACAGATGAACCAGATGGTGACACAGATGAACCAGATGGTGACACATAAGAACCAGATGGTGACACATGAATCAGAAGGTGACACATATGAACCAGATGGTGACACATATGAACCAGATGGTGACACATGAATGAGAAGGTGACACATATGAACCAGATGGTGACACATATGAACCAGATGGTGACACATGAACCAGATGGTGACACACATGAACCAGATGGTGACACACATGAACCAGATGGTGACACATATGAACCAGATGGTGACACATATCGACCAGATGGTGACACATATGAACCAGATGGTGACACATATGAACCAGATGGTGACACATGAACCAGATGGTGACACACATGAACCAGATGGTGACACATATGAACCAGATGGTGACACATATCGACCAGATGGTGACACATATGAACCAGATGGTGACACACATGAACCAGATGGTGACACACATGAACCAGATGGTGACACATATTAGCCAGATGGTGACACACATGAACCAGATGGTGACACCACTTACCTCTCCTCATTGTTCTCCGGCCCCATCAGACAGTTGACCTTGTCAAAGACGTAGTCGATGGCCTTGAAGGTGCCAGCGTTGTCCCCGTCGTAGAAGATGCTGACCGTAAAGCAGAGGAGGCAGACGAAGATGATGACGGTGTTGAAGTAGGACACGTAGAAGGTCGAGCCCAGACCTCCGATAAATGAGTAGCTGCCTGGGGAGGGGGAGAGATCAGATCTTTAGCAAGGGTGGGGGTGGGGGGCTAGAGATCAGCTCTTTAGCATGGGTGAGGTTGGGGGGGGGGGTGGGGGGAGATCAGTTCTTTAGCAAGGGTGGGGGTGGGGGTCTAGAGATCAGATATTTAGCAAGGGTGGGGGTGGGAAGGGCTAGAGATCAGCTCTTTAGCAAGGGTGGGGGTGGGGGGAGATCAGATCTTTAGCAAGGGTGGAGGTGGGGGTGGGGGAGATCAGATCTTTAGCAAGGGTGGGGGTGGGAGGGGGTGGGGGGAGATCAGTTCTTTAGCAAGGGTGGGGGTGGGGGGGGGGCTAGAGATCAGATCTTTAGCAAGGGTGGGGGTGGGGGGGGGGCTTGAGATCAGCTCTTTAGCATGGGTGGGGGCGGGGGGGCTAGAGATCTTCTATTTAGCAAGGCTGGGGGTGGGGGGGGGGCTAGAGATCAGCTATTTAGCATGGGTGGGGGTGGGGGATCTAGAGATCAGTTCTTTAGCAAGGGTGGGGGTGAGGGGGGGGGGGCTAGAGATCAACTCTTTAGCAAGGCTGGGGGTGGGAAGGGCTAGAGATCTGTTCTTTAGCAAGGGTGGGGGTGGGGGGGGGGGCTAGAGATCAGCTATTTAGCAAGGGTGGTGGTGAGGGGGGGGGGGGGGCTAGAGATCAGCTATTTAGCATGTGTGGGGGTGGGGGATCTAGAGATCAACTATTTAGAATGGGTGGGGGTGGGGGGCTAGAGATCTGTTCTTCGGTGGCGAAGTGGGGGGGGGGGGGGGGGGGGGGAAGATCATTTTGTCTAATAGCGGTTAGAGGGGATCAGTTCTTTAGAAGTGGTGGGAGGGGAGATTAGTGGTCAGTTTTAGTACTACTTGGGGGGGGGGTGAAGAGATGTTACCTTCAACAACAACAACAACAGACTTTATTCGTGGCTGTTTAGCCACAAACACAGCCCATTTCACCACACACTGACAAGTCACAAACCTAACCACTCCCACTCACGTGACAAACCTAACCACTCCCACTCACGTGACAAACCTAACCACCCCCAGTCACGTGACAAACCTAACCACCCCCACCCACGTGACAAACCTAACCACCCCCACCCACGTGACAAACCTAACCACCCCCAGTCACGTGACAAACCTAACCACTCCCACTCACGTGACAAACTTAACCACTCCCTCTCACGTGACAAACCTAACCACTCCCACTCACGTGACAAACCTAACCACTCCCACTCACGTGACAAACCTAACCACCCCCAGTCACGTGACAAACCTAACCACCCCCACCCACGTGACAAACCTAACCACTCCCACTCACGTGACAAACCTAACCACTTCCTCATGCTGACCTCAAACAATGCACACAGTTTGAAACCTCCCACGGCAACAGTTATCCCACTTGTCACGTTACAAAATAACCCAAAAGGTGTGGGTTCGGGAACGAATTGGGCCAACATTAACATGTCACGTCTCATGACGTCACAGTCTCGGGGACAACTGGTGAAGCAAATCTTTACTCAGTTAACTGGGTCAGTGAGAGAAAACACAGTGTTGTAACTCCTAGCCACACCCCTCACAACACCCCTCACAACACCCCTCACAACACCCCTCACAACACCCCTCACAACACCCCTCACAACACCCCTCACAACACCCCTCACAACACCCCTCACAACATCCCTCACAACACCCCTCCAGTGTTTCTTCCAGACTTTATTCTCCGGGGGAGAGGGGCACTTGAAACTTTCGGGGGAGGGGGGGGGGGGGCGGACACTGTCAAAAGTATATAATTTATATTTTCTATATAAATTCCATTTGGTTCGGGGGGGGGGGGGGTCGGAGCCCCCCCCCCCACCCCCCGAAGAGATGCCTGAAAGAAATTCTTCACCCCTCACAGCACCCCCCCCCTCCCCCAATAACACCTCTCACAACATCCCTCACAATACAACAGTGCCACTACCCTAGCCACGGCCCATAGCTCTGGTACCTCTAAAATCTAGGCCCGTAACTTGTTAGACAGTCCCCCCTGTACCCAGCCACTTGCATCAAGACGAACGAACCCTTCCCCCCCCCAACACACACCACGCCCTACACCCAACGACGCGCCACCCTACCAAACATGCTGCCATCTACCCCAACACATCTTACCACCCCCACCCTACCAAACATGCTGCCACCCACCCCAACATATCTTACCACCCCCACCCTACCAAACATGCTGCCACCCACCCCAACACATCTTACCACCCCCACCCTACCAAACATGCTGCCACCCACCCCAACACATCTTACCACCCCCACCCTACCAAACATGCTGCCACCCACCCCAACACATCTTACCACCCCCACCCTACCAAACATGCTGCCACCCACCCCAACACATCTTACCACCCCCACCCTACCAAACATGCTGCCACCCACCCCAACATATCTTACCACCCCCACCCTACCAAACATGCTGCCACCCACCCCAACACATCTTACCACCCCCACCCTACCAAACATGCTGCCACCCACCCCAACACATCTTACCACCCCCACCCTACCAAACATGCTGCCACCCACCCCAACACATCTTACCACCCCCACCCTACCAAACATGCTGCCACCCACCCCAACACATCTTACCACCCCCACCCTACCAAACATGCTGCCACCCACCCCAACACATCTTACCACCCCCACCCTACCAAACATGCTGCCACCCACCCCAACACATCTTACCACCCCCACCCTACCAAACATGCTGCCACCCACCCCAACACATCTTACCACCCCCACCCTACCAAACATGCTGCCACCCACCCCAACACATCTTACCATCCCCACCCTACACCACTACGGCATCAGAACCATCTCTGTACTGTACCTCCCCCACTACATCCTACATCCCCACTCCCGCCCATACTAAACTTCGACCCCCCACTCCCCCCCCCCCCCCAAAAAAAAACCCCCACCCACCCTCTGGTGGCTACCCGTGAGAAAATTACCCACATCTCACGGCTGATTGCCCCCAGATCAATGGGTGGGCCATCGATAATTGGCCATCGATGGGTGGGCCATCGAATGGTCCAACATTTGGACGATTAAAGAAATCTTTCAAGAGTTCACGGCCTAAATCGTTTATGATCGCAGGCGGGTGGGGGCTGAGGTAGTAAAATGATCTCATTGTGTTTGGCTTATGATGGGGTATGCTCGGGGTGAAACACTTTTTGTTCCTGTCTCTTACACAAAGTAAAAAGAATTTTAATCGGCCAGAAAAATATTTTAATAGCTTTCGCCGTATTACTCCTCCCCACTATATCATATACCGAATATAAAGGGTGCATTGTAATCGTGCAAAAATCTAAATCAAGCTTTTGACAAATGGTGGCGTTTTATAACATTAATGAGCCGGCGAAACTGTATGTGTGTCTGTCTGTCTGTCAACACGAGAAGTCTTTATGTTATGTTGACCGAATTTCAGAATTAACTATTATGTCGAATTTGTACTTTTCTAGCAACTTTGAGCTATTTTCGGTAACCGAAAGTGATATAGATTCTATATATAAAAAAGCTGATAACTTCATTACCATTTACCAGGTAGACAAATGTAAAATACAAGTATTAAATTGTGAGAAAAGAATCACTTCAACTAATGTACTATTTCCGGTAACCGGAAGTAGTATGTTGCTTTATTTCCTCGTGAAAACGAAAACTCTAATACTGTTTGAGTCAGACGAAATTTCGAATGTGAGTATTTTGGGTGACCTCCGATATCCTATTTCTAAAATAAAGATAACATAAGAACCATTTCAGCTAGATGAACGAAATTTTATAATTAGGTAAAATACCTTATTCTCATGAATTTTTTTTCAAATTATTGGTGATTTCCGGTGACCAGAAGTTTATACGGTATTTCTGATTCCTCAAAAAATATCACTTCTACCGGACTGATTTTTTTTCAAACTTTTTACGGAAGTCAAGACTCGATTACAATCCCGTGCGACATAAAATTTGATTTAGTTAGATGTTTGATTAACTTTTTATTCACAATCAATGTTTGTAACGAACTAATTTTCTATTCTTTTTCGCATAAAAAGTTTACGATAATTTGGTGTGTTTTTCTTTATTCTACTCGATTCTATTATATTTTTTTTAAATTAAATATTTTAAAAAATTAATTTAAAACATTTCTATTGCTAGATTGCATTGAAAGTGCCACATCCCATGTTATATAATGATATTCGAGAAAGTTTAGGGGAGATCACTCTCTCTTTAATGTGTTAATGTAATGGCCAGTTTGTTATGTATTTGTGTGTGTGGTTTGTAAAGAAAGATCAGGAACCATTTCTCATGTTTTCAATCAACCAATTCTCATATTTCTCAGATGAAATATTTCTCATGTTTTCAAGCAAACCACTTCTCATATTGCTCAGATGAACCATTTCTCATGTTTTCAAACAAACCAATTCTCATATTTTTTCAGATGAACCATTTCTCATGTTCCCATGGTACCCCTGCCCCAGACATGCCCACATTCCGTCATACCTGCCAACCCTTGCAATGTGCACCGTTTGCTTTCAAGAACGGCTAAACACCGCCGACAAAAACGATATTCACTGTGATGCATCAATATCCAATCTAAAGAATCAATCACTGGCATGATTAGGCTGTTCGATACCGAGTAGGTTGGGACTCAAGATTTGAACTGGCCTTGGTGATCCTAGCTGAGTGGGAACCGATGCTAGTAGTAGGACACAGGTAGTAGTAGGACACAGGTAGTAGTAGGACACAGGTACCAGGATACAGGTAGCAGGACACAGGTAGTAGGACACAGGTGGTAGGACACACGTAGTAGGACTCAGCTAGTAGGACACAGGTAGTAGGACACAGGTAGTAGGACAAGGGTAGTAGGACACAGGTGGTAGGACACACGTAGTAGGACTCAGCTAGTAGGACACAGGTAGTAGGACACAGGTAGTAGGACAAGGGTAGTAGGACACAGGACACAGGTAGCAGGACACAGGTAGTAGGACACAGATAGTAGGACTCAGGTAGTAGGTCCCAGGTAGTAGGACAAAGGACTTAGCAGAAGGACCTAGCCAACGGTGAGTATTGTACATACGAGGCCAGCCACTGATGATGTTTTGTAATTCAAGGCTTTGTTTGCCTAAGGCTCGGGATAACGGTTAGGACATGAAAATCATTTTAGGTTTTGTGTTTCAAGTTTGTGGTTTTTGTAGTCGCGGTGTCCGCCATATTTGATGACGTCACAAGGCTGGATTATGATACAAGCAAGCCAAAACGTTGTTGGTCTGTCAGGTTAATTTGTTGGTCTGTCACATGTTGATGTAGGTCTGTCATAAGGTTTTGATAGTCTGTCATCAGATGGTGTTGTTCTCTTATAGATTAGTTGTCTAGCCTCACAGACCATGTCAGATGTATAAAAATTTTATATCATTAAATTATTTTCCCATTATTCCTCTCTTTATCCAAATGTCCCGCTAAATTTTGCCAGACAATCGTGGTTTTTACGAACTGACCAATGATTGAAATAAACAAAATACTGACCAAACAAGGTGGCCATGATAAGAACACAAAACAAAATACTGACCAAACAAGGTGGCCATGAGAACACAATAACAAAATACTGACCAAACAAGGTGGCCATGAGAATACAATAACAAAATACTGACCAAACAAGGTGGCCATGAGAATACAATAAAAAAAATACTGACCAAACAGGTGGCCATGAGAACACAATAACAAAATACTGACCAAACAAGGTGGCCATGAGAACACAATAACAAAATACTGACCAAACAAGGTGGCCATGAGAACACAATAACAAAATACTGACCAAACAAGGTGGCCATGAGAACACAATAACAAAATACTGACCAAACACAATAACAAAATACTGACCAAACACAATAACAAAATACTGACCAAACACAATAACAAAATACTGACCAAACAAGGTGGCCATGATGAGATCACAATAACAAAATACTGACCAAACAAGGTGGCCATGAGAACACAATAACAAAATACTGACCAAACAAGGTGGCCATGATGAGAACACAATAACAAAATACTGACCAAACAAGGTGGCCATGAGAACACAATAACAAAATACTGACCAAACACAATAACAAAATACTGACCAAACACAATAACAAAATACTGACCAAACACAATAACAAAATACTGACCAAACAAGGTGGCCATGATGAGATCACAATAACAAAATACTGACCAAACAAGGTGGCCATGAGAACACAATAACAAAATACTGACCAAACAAGGTGGCCATGATGAGAACACAATAACAAAATACTGACCAAACAAGGTGGCCATGATGAGAACACAATAACAAAATACTGACCAAACAAGGTGGCCATGAGAACACAATAACAAAATACTGACCAAACAAGGTGGCCATGAGAACACAATAACAAAATACTGACCAAACAAGGTGGCCATGAGAACACAATAACAAAATACTGACCAAACAAGGTGGCCATGATGAGATCACAATAACAAAATACTATCCAAACAGGTGGCCATGAGAACACAATAACAAAATACTGACCAAACACAATAACAAAATACTGACCAAACACAATAACAAAATACTGACCAAACACAATAACAAAATACTGACCAAACACAATAACAAAATACTGACCAAACAAGGTGGCCATGATGAGAACACAATACTCCCCGCTAGCGTCCTTGACCAGCGCCTGAAGTAGAGCAGTTGATGCGGTCAGCAGACAGATAGTCACCATCAGATTCATCAGCAGCGCGAAGAAGCAGAAGACGATGTGAGCGAGGTTGCCGAACCTGGCGTGTATCACCTGCGGAGATATAACACCTGGTCATGTTGGACAACACATGGTCATGTCTGTCTGTCTGTCTGTCTGTCTGTCTGTCTGTCTGTCTGTCTGTCTGTCTGTCTGTCTGTCTGTCTGTCTGTCTGTCTGTCTGTCTGTCTGTCTGTCTGTCTGTCTGTCTGTCTGTCTGTCTGTCTGTCTGTCTGTCTGTCTGTCTGTCTGTCTGTCTGTCTGTCTGTCTGTCTGTCTGTCTGTCTGTCTGTCTGTCTGTCTGTCTGTCTGTCTGTCTGTCTGTCTGTCTGTCTGTCTGTCTGTCTGTCTGTCTGTCTGTCTGTCTGTCTGTCTGTCTGTCTGTCTGTCTGTCTGTCTGTCTGTCTGTCTGTCTGTCCGTCTTACATTAGGAACTTTTTTTTCTCACCTGCAGGAAAGTTTTGGCACCAGGTGCGCGAGTTTTAAACTGGACAGAGAGCACCGGAAACAGAATCATGTTGACCACAGCACAGCTGGTGTACCAGAAACTCCCGGCGATTCCGTTCTAAGGGAAACAGTTGGGGAGGGAGTTAGGGCTGGTTTATGGCTGTTGGTCTATGGTTGGTGGCTAATGGCTGGTGGCTTATGGCTGGTTTATGGCTGTTGGCCTACGGCTGGTGGCTAATGGCTGGTGGCTTAGGGCTTATGGGTAGAGACGACCCCTACTTATGCCTGGAGGAGACCCCTATTTATCGCTGGAAGGGACTTCTATTTTCTGCTTAGAGAGACACCTACGACTTTCAGCCAACTAAAAAACAAACTGAAACATCGACCACATCTTGGCGTAAATCGTGTTCTTGTGTGCGCTCAAAATCTAGTCTTGTAAAATGTCGCACTCTAATTAAAGCGACAATGTGAAACTATGTGAACCTTATGAAAGCAACTATGTCATACATTAAATTTTCATTAATTTATTTATTAAAAAATTAATTCTGACATAGTTTGTTACTGGTCCATAATAGGACAACAACAGACCATTTCTGACCTACCTTAATGGCCACCGTGGCACTCTGCAAAAGGTCACCTGGCCAAAGCAGCTGGCTGGCCACCGTGACGGCCGTCAGGCTGGTGGAGACCTTGCCCCCGGCGTCAAAGGTCGTGTCAAGGTTGTCGGCGTCGTGGAAGACGTGTTTCCGGATAGCCACGTAAAACAGCGCCAGCAGAACTGAGATCCCGCCAAAACCAACTAGCAGCAGACCCGCGGCCTGGTGCTTGTTTAGGACAGGGTACACCTTGCTGAGGGGGTCAAACACAGAGGTCAGCTTGATGAGGGGGTCAAACACAGGGGTCAGCTTGATGAGGGGGTCAAACACAGGGGTCAGTCAGCTGGTCAGTTAGTTGGTCATCTTGTTGGTGAGCTAATTGGTCAACTAGTTGGTCATCTTGTTGGTCATCTTGTTGGTCATCTTTATTGTCTTGGTCATCCTTTCCGGAAAACCTTTGTATTGCTAATCATCGGCTTGTTGGTTATTTGTTGGTCTTGTTTGAGTCATTCGGTCTCTCTGGTCTTTTTGGTCGCTGTGTTGTCTTTCTTGGTGTTGGTCACCTAGGTCATCGTCGTTGGTCATTTTCACAAAACGTCAGTTCCCCCCTCCCCACACAAACAAACACACCCACTAAATAAAATAACGTCATACTAATTCCCCGAGTGAATAATTTGGTAACATGCAATGTTTTCCCTTGACCAAACTGATAAAATCAATTGATGACCAACTGCAAAAACTTACTGCCACTAAATGGACTCGCTAGACGGTTAAGGGCATCACTGTTATACCCCTACCCCCACACCCACCCCTACCCCTAATTTACCCTGCCCCTTCTCAACTCAGAGAGGGAAGACCAAACAAGGCAACACAACCTTAATGTAACCAAACAATCAAATGTACCCATCATAAATATAGGGCAAAGGTCACAAAGGTCACTGACCTGTAGGTCACGTTGTGTAGTGAGTCTTCACAGCCCTCTCGGTCCTGGACGGATGACGTCACTTCCGTCAACAGTAACGGTAACAACAGCAGGAAATATGGTGCCATGACAGATGGTCTTCTGATGGTCTCGGTGATCGTGATGGTGATGGAGATGGAGATGGTGATGGTGAGTGGGTGTGGTTAGGTCAACATCAGTGTTGTCATTTGATGAAATAGAGATGTCAGGTGACCAGATGTCAGGTGGCCAGATGTCAGGTGGCCAAGTGTCAGATCAACATCCAATATGTCAGTTCACACATTTTTTCTTGCTTCATCAAACAACCAACAAGCTAGCGGCTACTTTCGCTAGCGGCTAGCTTTTGCTACCATCATCATACTGCTACCGGCTGGTGGTTTGCTGGTACAACAGATCTCTGATCTGTCCGTGGAACAGATTTGTTGCGAAGAAAAATTGGATTATCCAAACATGCTCTCGTACTCCAGTTTTAGACTGACCTATCTACCACAAGTGGCTGGCCACAATATCTTGACCACAATATCTTGACCACAATATCTTGACCACAATATCTTGACCACAATCTGTTGAGCACAATCCGTTGACCACAATCTGTTGAGCACAATCCGTTGACCACAATCCGTTGACCACAATCCGTTGACCACAATCTGTTGAGCACAACAATCCCCTCACCTTTCTTTGGACCAATCCTTTAGACCTTTGTTTGGTTAAGGACGGATGAGAAACATTTCTAGAAATAGAATAAAGAAATTGAAAACATTTTTAATGTGTTGTCTATGGTCTTATATTGATGTACCAAGTGTGTTTTGTCTTTGCATTTATCTACTGTTATTCTTTCTGTTTTTGGTCTTGTATTTTTGTTTGAGATTTATATCTGCAACCTTCTGTTAAATTTATAGGTTTTTATTGTATTTCACCACTATTATTTAAGTTATGTATCCCATTCAGGTTAAAAAGTATTATATTTTGTTAATCAGATTAAAAAGTATCATATTTTTGTTATCTATATACTACTAAAACTCATGTTTGTTTACATATTTGTATTTTTTCCTTTGTTTGTCTGTTTGGTTACAGGAGAGAATCTGCACTATTTTTAGAGCTGTAAAATACGTTTTTAGGTAGAGAATAATGTTCTTTTTGACCAAACTGTTAATCACAAATTTATTTAAAGACGTTAATTATTTTATTGATCTATTCATTGATAGATACACCACTTTAATTATAAAAGTTCAGAAAAATGACTTTACTTATAATGACGTCACATGATTTATATACTTTTCATAACAATAATGGCGGCTTCCATCGAAGAATTTGTTACTTAACGCATTATAAAGCTAATGTTCTGTTGGCTATAGCTTTAACGATACGTCCGTTTGCTATTTTTATTAGGTTCAAACACTATTATCAATTTTCAACAGTTCTTGTTATTTGAGTATATAATAAATTTCTCTAGATCTACAGATAAGCTGTCGCAGAAAAGGAAAGTCAATTCTAGATGTAAAATCTAGAATCTGGGTCAAATCAAAATTAATTTGTTAAAAATAAAAACCATTATAAATTCACAATAACTTGTTGAGTTTCTTTATTAAACTGTGTTTGTCCTTAAATATTTGATATAAATATTTGCTTTTTGTCTAGGTTCCAGATCGGAAAAACTACACTTAAAAATAAACAAAACAAAAAACTAGCCAGCCGTATCCTCTACATCTGGATCTAGCTCTATCTAGATTTAGAATGTACGCCAATAATGAGTTTTTATGCTAGACTATTTCAGGCCAATTATTTTATATAAATCTTTGTTGATTTAGCTATGTAATTGGGTAGTTTTGGATATAATTTAATTTAAAATAATAGGAACTATTTACGTAACTGAAGTTTCTTACTTTGCAGTAAATTATATAACTAATTCTGACATATCGTAAGAGCCCACATAGCTAAGACCATAGTGTAATAGTTTCCATGCAAGTGGTATGAGTTCGAGACACATAACGGCAACGAAAAAAAACAAATTAATTTTGCATGTGAATGATACAGTTGCCTATCGGGACTTGGCGGGACACATGGCAGGTGAAGTAGAGTTCACAAGTTTCTGTGTCCTCAGCATATGAAAGTATAGTGTGGTCAGACCTATGCTCGGCCGAAATCAATGTTTTAGAACGATAAAAACATGTTGCTTGAGACTTGACGGGACTTTGGGCAGGTGAAGTAGAGTTGGGTAGGTGTAGAGTTCATCTGTGACCTCAGCATATGAAGGGATAGTGTGGTCAGACCTATGCTTAGCCGAAATAGGTGTTTTTAAAAGAAAAAAAACATGTCTGAGGTGAGACGTCTTTTTTTAATGTTGGGTCTGGTTTTTGGTGACGATAAGTGACAGGAGTGATGTCATTTATGGATGACCCCCGAAATTTACAGTTATCCAGGGATAACGGGTCGTCTAGTGTATATTAACATGTAGCATATTTGTGTTATTCACATTAAATGTATCGTATTTTTGTTATTCGCATTAAAATGTATCATGTTTTTGTTATTCTGATTAAAATGTATCAAATTTTTGTGTCAATACTTTTAAATCAACTACACCAGCCGCTACTACGAACCTTCTGGAATTACTTTATATTGTTGCATACTTTTCTACTGTGCAAACATTAAGGGGAAAACATGTAAGGTAAGCTGAAGAATTCCATCACAAGAAAAACATTTGATTTAAACTGACGAATTCCATCTCGAGTAAAACATTTGAGGTAAACTGACGAATTCCATCACGAGTAAAACATTTGAGGTAAATTTACGAATTCCATCACGAGTAAAACATTTGAGGTAAACTTACGAATTCCATCACGAGTAAAACATTTGAGGTAAACTGACGAATTCCATCACGAGTAAAACATTTGAGGTAAACTTACGAATTCCATCACGAGTAAAACATTTGAGGTAAACTGACGAATTCCATCACGAGTAAAACATTTGAGGTAAACTTACGAATTCCATCACGAGTAAAACATTTGAGGTAAACTTACGAATTCCATCACGAGTAAAACATTTGAGGTAAACTTACGAATTCCATCACGAGTAAAACATTTGAGGTAAACTTACGAATTCCATCACGAGTAAAACATTTGAGGTAAACTGACGAATTCCATCACGAGTAAAACATTTGAGGTAAACTTACGAATTCCATCAGACCTACAACCGGTGATCGTGAGAGCGATCAATGAGGCGCAGCATTGGGAAATCGAAACCCGAACATCCAGCCCAATTTCCGCAGATCGATTTCATTCATTAAGAGCTCGAGGCCCGGCTACTTAGATATGCTTTTAAGTGAACAGGTGAGTTGATGCCGGACGATAACAGGTGAGTTGATGCCGGACGGTAACAGGTGAGTTGATGCCGGACGGTAACAGGTGAGTTGATGCCGGACGATAACAGGTTAGTTGATGCCGGACGATAACAGGTGAGTTGATGCCGGACGGTAACAGGTGAGTTGATGCCGGACGGTAACAGGTGAGTTGATGCCGGACGGTAACAGGTGAGTTGATGCCGGACGGTAACAGGTGAGTTGATGCCGGACGGTAACAGGTGAGTTGATGCCGGACGGTAACAGGTGAGTTGATGCCGGACGGTAACAGGTGAGTTGATGCCGGACGGTAACAGGTGAGTTGATGCCGGACGGTAACAGGTGAGTTGATGCCGGACGGTAACAGGTGAGTTGATGCCGGACGATAACAGGTTAGTTGATGCCGGACGGTAACAGGTGAGTTGATGCCGGACGGTAACAGGTGAGTTGATGCCGGACGGTAACAGGTGAGTTGATGCCGGACGATAACAGGTTAGTTGATGCCGGACGGTAACAGGTGAGTTGATGCCGGACGGTAACAGGTGAGTTGATGCCGGACGGTAACAGGTGAGTTGATGCCGGACGGTAACAGGTGAGTTGATTCTATTGCCGGACGATGTGGGACAACCATCAGAGGCACCTATGTTGTGGTTACCTAACAAAATGCTGGTGTACGCAACAACGTCGTGTCCTCGATGCTGTTGGGATTTCAACACGAATATCTTGGATGATCAACTCAACGATATTGTATCATCGACGCTTTGTATCATCAACGCTTTGTATCATCGACGCTTTGTATCATCAACGCTTTGTATCATCGACGGTGCGTATCATCAATAAAAAAACTACACATGTATAGAATAATTATGTATGAAATTTCGTCAACACAAATGAAACGGTACTCAAGTTATCGTGTGTACACTCACAGAAAGAGAGAGATAGAGAGAGAGAGAGAGAGAGAGAGAGAGAATGGAGAGACGGACAGTATTGCAAAACTACGTCTCTCCGGCTCCCGAATATTGTAAAAAGTGAAAGTGTGTCTAAATCTCGATAAAATTTTTGAACGCTTACTAAACTTCCTTTATTTTCCGTAGACGATAAAGTAGGGAGGTGTAAAACTGCGAAAAAAAAGTCAAATTTCGTTTAATTTTTGTTCACGATTAAAATACTTCCTTCAAATTCTACATACGGAAGGGTAAACACTGAGTTATTTATAAAGTCTGGTGGTTTTAAATCGGGAAACTTGAAAATGTAAACCTACGCACTGTTACATGTATAAAACAGAATTCACGGGTGCGGTAGACTGGAGTAACTCGTTATCCTAATCGTTAAATTTTAATTGGCCTTTTTAATTATAATAATATTTATAATGAAATTAATAAATACGCAAATTTTTCAAAATAATTTCACATTAGTTATATGGTTTCTGAATACGACGTTACAGTTTACACTAGTTTAAAAAAAAAGTTTGCGCGTAAGTGCCGATTTTCAGGGTTTTCCCAATGTTGCCTTTATTTCTTGACTTTTGTCAAGCACCATTCAATGACGTCACGCTGGTTACTCCACTCGAGCACCTGTCGGCTCCTGTCCAGGTATACCAACACCTGGAGCCTGACAGAGCCAAGACAGAGCCAACACCTGGAGCCTGACAGAGCCAACACCTGGAGCCTGACAGAGCCAACATCTGGAGCCTGACAGAGCCAACACCTGGAGCCTGACAGAGCCAACACCTGGAGCCTGACAGAGCCAAGACAGAGCCAACATCTGGAGCCTGACAGAGCCAACACCTGGAGCCTGACAGAGCCAACATCTGGAGCCTGACAGAGCCAACACCTGGAGCCTGACAGAGCCAACATCTGGAGCCTGACAGAGCCAACACCTGGAGCCTGACAGAGCCAAGACAGAGCCAACATCTGGAGCCTGACAGAGCCAACACCTGGAGCCTTACAGAGCCAACACCTGGAGTCTGACAGAGCCAACACCTGGAGTCTGACAGAGCCAACACCTGGAGCCTTACAGAGCCAAGACAGAGCCAACACCTAGAATCTGACAGAGCCAAGACAGAGCCAACACCTGGAGCCTGACAGAGCCAACACATGGAGCCTTGCAGAGCCAACATCTGGAGCCTGACAGAGCCAACACCTGGAGCCTGACAGAGCCTGACAGAGCCAACATCTGGAGCCAAGACAGAGCCAACACCTGGAGCCTGACAGAGCCAACACATGGAGCCTGACAGAGCCAAGACATGGAGCCTAACAAAGCTAACATCTGGAGCCTGACAGAGCCAACACCTGGAGCCTGACAGAGCCAACATCTGGAGCCTGACAGAGCCAAGACAGAGCCAACACCTGGAGCCTTACAGAGCCAACACCTGGAGCCTGACAGAGCCAACACCT